ACGGAGTCGACCGATAACACCATTGCGTGTTGTACAATCATTGGCTTCGTTTTGTTTGTTTTCGAGCCGATAACTATTGTGGCTTCATATACCGTAAGTGTGTAATTTTGCTTCAAAAATAGATGGGACATATCTAACCAGCTCTTGGCAATTTTTCTTTGATAATTTTTGACAGTAAAAGCTTCTGTTTTAGTAGGCAAAAGAAATTCCTCGTGCTTATTTTGATAGACTTGTAGAAAGCATAGAACTAACTTTACATAATCGGCAACAGTTCATGAGATGTTTTCTGTGCTGTTGCGTTCTTGCGCGTCCGGTCATTACAACAAGGGGAAAATTGTTTAGTCTTTGGTTCGATAAAACTATCATCACTCATGGGAAATTGCGTTTGATTTCCAAGTTATATTTGCAACAGCACTCTTAGCAAGCCGACTGCGAATTTATAAGGAACTGATCGAACGATCGTCGTCATCCGCACGTTTAAGTGGGCTAAGAGCGCAATTGTTCTCCTTTGGTTGAAATCTGGAGTTTTTATGGCTGAAATTCGATTTTTGATATTCCAAGTTGTCGTTACTGTTAATGAGGGTGTTTGTTGTTTCCAGTGGAAGTAATTTTGTAAATGCTGAGATGCTTGGAACTACTGTTCTGTCTTGATTGCAGCAGTTTGGCAAACACTTTTTGAGATCTAAAATCGGCAAGCTCACCCCAAAACTGTTTTCATATGGATAGCTTTAGATTCTTTTGCTGCTCTTAAAATGTGCAACCACCTATATTTTGCGGTTGCTACCTCATTTTAAACGCTCCTTACTCAAATGTACCATAAAGATCCGGCTGACTTGCTCAACTCAATTCGTTTCCGACCAAAAGTAAAGCACAACAATACCATTGTATCGTTGAGAGCTCCAGCCGAGCAGTTCGCGTCTTGTTGGCCCGGTAGTATCGTACGCTCCTCTGGATGCATCGGTTGACTCACCCCGCCAAAATCGAAGCCAAAATCGAATCGAATCCAAAACTTTTGGTCAGCTATCATTTTCTTGTCTGCTTGTTTTGAAGCACCTTCATGCGTGGTTACCAAACTGTTGATAGCCTTTCGAGCAGTCATACAGCTTGAGTCTGCTATTTTTGGATTACGTACCAACTCCCGTAAAGTCGAACATCGTATTTTTTGTAACAGGAGAGCTTTTGTAGCCACGTCAATGATAGCTGATCTACCGACAGATTCTTAGGTCACCGACAACCATCGTTCACTAATTGAGGAGTGAACTCTTTTCATCTCTTGTTGATTGCGATCCGCCGATGCCGCGGATAAACTTTTTGAAACTGCGGATTTTTTTTGAACAGGAAACTCAGGAAGCTGCGCATGACAACGCTTGCAAATTTTGTATAATTATTTTGTTCTGAGTTTTCACTCAAGCTCCTGGTCGATGGTGGTATCAACATTACCAAATAAGCGGACGACTTCCTGCTATGCATAGTCGTTTAAAATAATAATGCACTGGCACTGCTTGCACCGAAAAGAAGATCTTGGAAGTTTAATTCTTCCAGTACACCGATCTAGGTGACGTTATGATTGACTATTTCATACCACGATAAAAAACTTTAGCCAAATTTAGGTAGAAAATTAGATGAGATCGTTCGAACCAAGTTTTGCCGCATATAACATTCAATTCACGGCCGCTTCTTAATGCGTTCAAGTCCCGACGCAAACAATTTCGAATCAATTTCGAATCAATTTTTTTAGGGCAAAGTTGCGTGAGATGTGCGTCATTGAGCTTCGATTAAATGTTTAAAATCAGTAAGCAATATGTCCGAGCTTTATATGCGAATACAGTTAGGTAAAAAGTAGGTACTTACACTCAATAAAAGGGAAAATTGGCGCTCAGAAAATGAGCTTAAGATGGCTGACATCTTATATAAATGATCGAAGACACCGAGTTTCGTTGTAATAACCTGTCGACTGAAATGCGAAGCCAAACAACAGCATCCGCCGTTTTACACAATGTCTTCAAACGGTTGCACTCCACAAGCCCCTTAAGCTTAAACCCGCTTTTGATGATTTGGAAGCGAAGGATGTCACTGCGTGTGCTACAAACATTTGTTAGTGAAAGTACACATTTTTGGGGTACTTTGTTTCAGGAAAAACCGTACTGAAACTTCTCAAACCATAACCTAATTTAACTTAAAAATACCTAAACTCAAATTCATTCAACTTTTCTTATTAGATGGTTATTGTGGAGTCTATGTCTCGTTTGCGCTGACTTCTGCCGTTTTGATGTTTGGTATTTTGAATTTTTCACCATTGTTGAAAGGTCTTTTACCGAGTTGATTATAACTTGTTGAATTTGTTGCAAACTTTGAGAAACAATTGCAAAAAAAGTAGATTAGTTGGAAAATAATTTTGACTTTAATCTGATGGGGAAGGGGAGAAGGGAAAGAAGCCGTCGTCTTTTAAGTAATGTTTTGAAGCCTGCTTCCCCCTCCAAAATAAAAATAAACTGAGAAAAACTGGCCAAAACAAAAAATAAAAAGTCCAAGAAATTTAATTTCCAGACAAAATTGTCACAAACATGTCCAAAAATTGTTCAGCAGTTGCCACTCTAGTTAATGACCGGTTGATTTTGATAAGCTTCCAACTGGAAGAATTAATTCGATAAAGCCACGCAACATGGCCAGAATTGCACATTAGAGACAAAATAAACACAAGAATCAGATCACTTACACATAGCAACACAGTTATTCCTTGGTTGATAAATTTGCAAAATGTAGGCATGAGAGATCATAGTGACATTATTATTGCTCTCAACCACAAGTTAACGATGAAAATCCTTATGAAAAATAAACAAAATGAAATGCTAGTTCATGGTGCATACGCGTAATTCAAACAACGAATGTTAAAAAATTACCTCGATTTCGCGGTGATGTATTTCATCTAAATGCAATCGCCCTGTGCTTAGTTTACTAGAGAACGTCATGATATCAAAAGATCATAGACAATTTTCATTATTGGTTCTGGGATGGCAATCTTTCTACGGCCCCCAGTGTGTTCTTTCAGATGTACACCACACACGCGTCAATCGAGGAGAATCTAATCTTTATTGGGTATGCCTTGCTCCCAGTCAAGAATCGCGAAACATATGTTCGTTTTTTGAGCTTTTATGACATAAGATTTTTTGTTTCGGCCTAAAAACCCGAAAACGTACAAACTCAATACTGCTTATTCCGTTTTTACCAAGACATATGGCGTCAAATTCAGTCCTCTGGGAACAGAAACAACTATAAATTAAATCTAGAGCTCCACAAGTATGTCTGTATGCTACTAAGTACCGCTTTCTTGCCAGTAAGTGACATTTCTATGGCTTTTGAAAGTTTCAGAAGACATGCGCTGAGACAGTTCACCCAGTCTTCGTCTACTTCGAAGATAATTACATTGGTCTTCTTTCGGCAGCAAATGGCATTGGAATTGTCATCGACGTCTTATCACCGGGCGTCCAAGATTCAACAATGCTCATTAGAAAGATTCAAGATGAACTGAAAAAAGCCAGATTTTTGATCGAAAAACTGTGTGACGGACAAAGAGTGTATCGTTATAGAAAAAAACCTCAATCTGAGTTAGTAGCGGCATAAAACCCAAGTAAACTTCAGAGTTTACGGATGAAGGAACAGCATCAAACTATGATTCAAAATTAATACATTTTCTAAAAGTGTACTTTAAAACAATTTTACAATTTTTAATAAAACAATTCAGTTAACTTTTTCCTGGAAAGTTTCAATTTTGAGCTAGACCCGTTTTAAAAACAGCAAAACAGCATGCTTTTATTGTCACCTTCCTTTAGATCCAAACGATTCAACTCATTTCGACATCGTCATAGTTTCAAATTTGGGTTTTTCTATGAGTATGGCCTTAGTTTCGATAAGATTTTTCAATTTCAAATTAATCGAATTACAAAACATTTTGTCGGACCCGAGACTTAATTTTACGGCCTTTCGATTTTGAACTAGTGACTGCAGCGCTCGGCCAAATGTCAGTTTTTTCTTTTGGGAAATTCTGTCTCCTGGCTTTGACTGTTCTGTAGTTCTTTGGTACTCATAATTCTAAGTATTGAAACAATCAAACAAACGCAATAGAACAAAGCATAAATGCCTGGGGCATAAATGTCTAGTAAAATTTTATAATTTTGGACAACGACACAAAAATCTGGGACTTTAATATACATGCTCCGACCGATGTTACGATGTTAAGTACAAGAACAAACGCGTTCACAATTACAAATTTGTTTTTCATGCAAATTTCAACAAGTTATGACAACGTTTTGCCTTTTTTCAGTTTCTTACTTGCCTCGTAAAAATAAAACCCAAAGAGTTTTTAAATTGGTTATACGGCAATCTGTATGTTAGAAATCTTGTTTTATTTTGTTCCTTTGTTCACAATGAGACGTGTTATTGCGATTTAGAACATCAAAAATCATTTTTCATAGGGTTTCAAAAATTAAAATTCAGAAAAAAGGGGTAACTTGAAAAGAGCCATACTTTAAAGCAATTTTTCAAACTTTTTAAAGCAATATTTGCTGTTCTGATTTAACCTTGTAAATTTCCTCATAATTGATACCTATTTGAAAAGGGGGAAAAGTAAAAGGCTTCCAAGTGTTGGGGGAGGGGAGTCGAAAAGAGTCCAGGGGCCTTTTACCATTGCTTGAAAGGCAAGTTACCTGATTCTCTTGTTCTTGCCTGTGTTGATAATTGAATGAAAACTAAAACAAGTGCAATTTTAAATCCTAAATACACATTGAGCCGCTTACGCGGAGCATAGGAACACTGAAAAATCCCAGGAAGTAAAGGAGCATCAACTATCCCAAATTGGCCATACTTAAAAATTTTTAAAAGACTGTTCTGTTATTTAGATGGTCTACATTATATTATCTTCATTCATTGTTAACTATCGTTTGAGCTAAAAAAAGTGGTTGCCTGACCTAAGCTATAATTAAGCGCACGTGCTTAAGCTGATGTTTTATTCATTCATTACACGAGCATAAAGAGCAAAAATTGTTTTTGAAGTGATCATTTATTTAAATTTCAGCACGTAATTTGGTGTGCGCTGTTTTAGTGCTTAGTCTGTTCTGCTCTAGCTTCAAGTTCAATCATGGCTCTACACTTTTCGGCTAATCAGGTAAAAGAATTCCAAAATTTCAAAAAAAAAATAGAAAAAAGAAGAGAACCGAGTTATCGATAAGACAATATTTACAAAACATCTGCCTGCGTTCTTTTGCAGGTACCTAACAAAAACTTCACAAGTTTTTTTTGTAGATTTTCTTCTGGATGATAAAGATATAAGTTTTGATCATTTTTTAAGTTTTAATTTGGCTACAATCAAAACCATAAGGATACAAGAAATGATTTTGTTGTTTATATATTTCTCTTTTTACGATGTTCTAGTTTTGATAAATTTAGAAAGTTTGATGTTTGTTTTAGTATGAAGAGCCGTTCAAGCCGGAGAGGCTTGGAAACTGGGAGGTGCCTCTGCTCCACAGAGAGGCAAGTGCAAAGGAGACCCCCATGTCAATTAAAATATAGCCTCTATTCCATTATCACCCCATAACCCAATCCCCTACTAAATAAAAAAAAAATGATTTTGCAATGTTTCTATTTTGCGAATTTTCTGTTTTCATAGTACGTATCCTAAACCCCTCACCCGGGTTACAAAATCTCTTTTTTTACAATACTTCATGCTTGCTTTTATTTGGCTATAAACTCATCGTTTTTTGTATAAAACTATAAAAACAAATTGGTTCAGAAAATTTAAATAGTTCACAATGCAAATTTTATTGCGTTAAAACAATAGTAATTAGTTCTCCAAAAAAAAATTAACTGTGGGGCTCTTTTCCAGTTTCCCACCCCCTTCGTAAAATTACAAAAAGGAGCTATTCAAAAATTATTGACACGGCATTTTGCATGTAAGAAATGTTGTAAAAGTTAGTTCAACTCTGGTCACGATGACACGTTTTGATGCAGTTTTCAACATGAACTTCCCCATCTTTACAAAGTTACAATGAAATGCACACTGTACATTCAACTAAATCTAAATTATTGGCAATTTTTCGCATCCTCAGATTAATAATTTTATAGACCACCCCAGCATTAGCATTGAAAGGGTATATACTTTTCTGGGGGTGGGGGGGGGGGGTACTATTACTATAAGAGTAAGGAGCCTAATCATCCACTTTTTTTTGAAATTATTTATGGAGTTTATTTATGACACTACCCAAACAATGCGGTTCATCTTTTTTTTATATTTCAAACTTACCCCCAAAATTTTTCCACTCCCCAAAATTTGAATTTCAGTTATGAAGAAGTAATTTAACAGCGTCATATGGTAATGAAACTTTTTATGGTGAATAAATTAACTATCCTGAACACATTTGTTTTTAGGCATAATTTTAATGTAATTTTTAGACATTAGTGTTAAAATAAAACGGGCATGGAAAATGGAAACTTTGAAATGTGGATTGAAGCGAAAAAGAGCCCAAAACTGGCTTCTGAATTTGGTAAAAGTGTGAAAACAGCCGTGCTCTTATTTGCAGTTCCCCGAAACCAGAGACGGTTTCACGCAAATCATCGCGGACGACCGGGGACACCTGCTAGACGGGGTGCCCAAGTCAGGGAAGAACCCTTGGGGGGACTTCGTGGGCACGTGGGACATGCCTAGGAAGTTTGTAGGCAACATCACCACTTTCATGGGCAGGACGGAGGAGGCGGTGGATGAAATCAAAGCCGCCACAGGCAAGCCACTGAACAAGAGCTTCAACAAAAGCCTCCCGGATGAACCCGAATTGCCCAAACAGGTAGCTAAAAAGGCCGTATACAGATACGCTTGATCAAAATATTGCAGGCAGAAACTAAATGAGTCAATGTAGCTCGTGACTTTTTTCCAGTTTCCGACCCCCTCGCTTCCCTCACAGCAAAAAAAAAATTGTCTAAGAATCGTTCATACGATAAATTACACCTAAGATATGTTGTTCGCTTGTTCACGCTGACCAGTTTTACTACAGATTAGAACATCAAAAGTCATCCTAAGAGGAATTCGTGAATCGAACTCTATAAAAAACCAAACGCGGTTACTGCAAAAGAGTCTGGTTTTTCCCTAGCGGTATATAACATCTAATTTTTGATGAAACCAATGGTTTAACACGGTTGGCACCGAGAAAAAAAAACATTGAATTGGGCATTTTCAATTCAAAATAGATTTTCCCATACGCTAAATTGTAAAACCACTGCTTACCGCATAAAAGGGCTCGTTTTCCTATGCCACCCACCTGCAACAAAGTAATTTTCTGTTCACATCATCCGATTGTTACCAAAATTGACTTAAGCTTGTAAAACCCCTCGTTACATTTTAAATTTGATGCTCATAGCCCATAAGGGATAGTCCATAAAAAGGAGGTTTATATGAGGTGGAGTTTTTACTTATAAAAATATGGTGTCATTTTTCATGAAAAATTTTTGAAGTCTTGAAACTTTTTTTGCAGATGAAGTATAAGAAACAAGGCTGCTGTCGCAGAACAGGTTTGATCTTCTGATTAGAAACGAAATCATAAGCATCTGAATTCATCTTTCTCTTCTTTTTTGTCATTTTTTATGAAAGTTTTAATCTGAAAACTTGTACTGAAAAACTCAAAAAGCTTAAAGATGCTACATTTTTTCTTTGAAGCTCGAAAACTCCTATTTTCGAAAGAAATTTTTGCTATCCTTCAGTTCGAGTAAATTTTTCCGGTACTAGTTGACTTGCTTGGTCCCTCAAAAATGTTGTGGTCCCTAATAAAAACCGAGGTACAGTTTGTGCCAATTCTAACAAGTAAACTAGTACTGTTTTTCCAACTCTCTGAGTTTGTATGTCTTTTTTCGGCTAATTTTTACATCTGTTAATTGCATTTGTACATTTTCAGACCCGCCACAGTTCCTGTACCCCAACCGCATTCTGACCGAGTGAAGTTAGCCGACCAACAACTTAGCCTAACGTGCAAAATGTCAGCTCTATAATGGAAAACTTTCGAATCAACAACTACAACAAATTTCAATCAGGACTGTCAAAATACTACTAACCACTGTACATTAAGAACCAATTTTAATCGTAGTAGTATAAAAAATGGAGTATAAAAATTTAAAAAATTCCATTAACCTCTTCCTCAAGTTTCACTGAGTGGTATCAAAAATTACTGAATTACTTTTTTTGGAGTGAACATTGTAGCGAAAATAAAGTTGAAGTGGAAACCAAAAAATTTTGAGACAAAAATGCTGGAATGGAAATTCCGCCACAAATTCCGATGGGTGAAGAGGACTGGAAGGTTAAGGGGAAAGGCCATGAATTAATTAAATTAGGAGACTTTAATTTATAACTAAAAGAATAGAGCGAAAAGTTTCAATTCTAACATATTTATGTAAGCTGGTCAATAGCTAGTCTAAGTTTTCATCACTCCATAAAACACACGTGCTAAGAATGTTTCGTTGCCATATTTGAAAAACTAGGGCATTATTTGAAACAGTAGTGCAATGTTTGAAACACTAGGTCAATATTTCAAGCAATAGTGCATTAACTTTTTCAGAGCAATCAGCAAAAAAATTAGGAGATAAAATCACGTATGAGCATAAAATTTTTTTGAAATAATTTTTTTTCAATTTTTTTGCATGTGTTTATAGTGAAAGCATCAAATTTTTAAATTTTGGCAATTTTTGGGATGTGTTCGTGACCAAACACAAGTGACAAAAACTATTTTTTCATAGACTTAGTTTATGGAATAGTATGATTAGCATTTTTGGTCTATGGAGGTCAACCAGGAGTTACTGGCCACTCGCATCAATTTGAATGTTGATAATTTTTAAAACATAGTACAAGTTGTGAGTGGTAAACAAGTTGTTAAAAAGCTAGAAGTTAAATTTTAGTTTCGGCCAAACTTCGCTATTGTCTATATAAGTTTGAAGTACTTGTCTATGTCAGAAAAAAATCTGATTATAGGCTAGAAAACTGTTCATGTCATCGCTCTACAAGAATTGTCCCCGCTTGCAACATCTAGAAACATTTGTTTTAAAAAACTCCGAGGAAGAAAATATTTTTGGTGAAATTGCTTTTTGTTGATAGAATTCAGTCACGTGCCGAAAACATTCAACTTGATGAAATGAAGTTCTGATATGACATAAAACGGTACGGCGCATACAAGCAAGTCGATGCGTGGCCTGTTGCTGATGAAAGAACTTCGGAAGTTCTGAGAAAACTTAATTTTCTTTCTCACCCAGGATCCGTTCCTGCCCAAACTTCTGAAGTTCAGGTGGTACCAAAACTCGCTGAACTGCTTTGTTCTACTTGCACGAGTCGAAAAACAGCAAAACTCTTAGGTTTTCATTTATCTACGACAATAGGGCGTTCTTTCGCCTTGACAGCATTTTTGACTAAAACCGAAAACTGTCGGTTGCTGAGCAGCTTAAACGACACGCCCCCAAACAGTTTTTGTTTGAAAAACAGTTCCAAGTTTGAGTAGCTTTTTGTGCGCGATGTAAGCAGACAAATTCAAAATTCCTCAGATTTTAAAAAGCGTTTTAAGTACTACGTTTTTTTGGAAAATTGGCAACAAAACAAAGAAGTTTTCTGTTCAAAAAATTCCAAGTGTAAATTTTTCAGATTCATTTACTAGAGTTTACGCAAATCTTTGTACAAGGGGAAGCGTTAAGCAAAACTTCAACAAGAACGGCCGGTTTCTTTGCAATTAGCGCATTTACCTATCACATTTACCTGAAGCTGCCGATCACATTTACCTATTGTTCCGTCTTTCGAAGAAAGTGACGGAATATTTGTGGTTGATGTGGTTTTTTCTCCAGACGAAGCTCAAATATTTATCTATACGCTAATTGTGTTACTTTCTACTTTATATTTGCAAAAAAACTTAAAAATTAGATCAAGTTTTTCTTAAGCGAAGACTACTCCGTAAACTTTAAGGAGCAGTCGGAACATTCAAGGCTTCGCTCTGATACAAGCAGTTGTGGTGCAAGCAGAGAAACCCCAAATACCTAAAGTAGGGTTTTTATTTACTATTTATCTTCGCAAAAATTTTAACTTCATTCATTCATTTCAACAATTTCGGATTCTTTTAAATTCTTAGCGCTGGAGAAGAACTATTTGGAGTAAAACAGAGCAAAACATATTTTTATAGCTTAGTTACGAGCGATCCGTGTTGCGCACTCCAAATTAGACTTAAATAAAAAAATGTTCCGCGCCAACTTTTCTCGAGTCAGAGAGCTTTACAGTTACGCTCGTCTAACGGCCGAAAGGCTTCAAGATGATATTTGACTCAAAATATTCTGATAAGTTTTTGTGGGACGTAACTTTGCGTGGGTAAAAAAATATTGAGACATGAACACAAAAATTCTCCCCACTTTTAGCGGTCGGAACAAACACTATCTAATACAGTTTTTTTTTCTCATCAAAATCTTTGTTGAGCGCCTAGAAAATTTTTTGCGTTTTATTAATGGTATACTCAAGGTTGTAAGCAACCACAAATCTGTTCACACCGAAAGGAACGTGATCCATTTAAAATTAATTCCTTTTTCTCTCTCAAACAGCGAACACGTACTATGAGAAGCCTTGCACCATTAAACTCTTCATCGCAAGATGGAAGAACTAACCACTTCACCCAAACTCCCATCCACTTAGGAAAAAAAAACTTATTTCGAACAAAATTTAATTTTGCTCAAGTTTTAATTTATTTAATTTTCATGCTACAGAAAATAAATTGATTTGCCCCAAGCGGAACCGTTTCTTGAGATCCATTCAAATTTTGGTCACCGCAATTATTTCCAACTTCAGATCAATTTAAATTACGATGAATCCCTAGAAAGCCAATATTTGATTTTATTTTCAATACAAAACATCATACAAATGCGGAATAGCTCCTACATGCAAGTTAACAAAAAGTTTTATAGAAAGCATCTAGCTTCACTGCAAGCACTTTTAAATACAAATTAAATTGATTGCGGCTCCAACATTTTCTAAGCGTCACTGGATCTAACTTTATCTTGGAGCGTGCAAAACTTAATGATTCATAGTTGCAAAGCATGGTATATATGCATATATGCTTTATACTAAATCTATCACTAATAACAAGACATGATTTTTATTCTGCAATACAAAACAAAACCTAATATTTCATTTTTTCATTGAAGAAAATACAAAAAACGTGAGCAACCCTCCCTTAGTCAAGGACCGCACATACAATTACACTTTCAGTTGTCAACAATTAAGTTTGCTTTTTAACAATAAGCTAAAAGGTATGTAGTGAGGGAAGGTTGGCCAAGTTTGAGACACCTTTGTCCAGTTCAACACATCGAAATTGCGCATGCTTATCAATGAATTATTTATTTATAAAAGATACAAAACACAGTTACACAGTAGTACAGTGTCAAACAAGCGATAGAATTTGAGAGAATAGCACCCAGCAGCAATTTAATGCACTTATAGTTCAATGACCTTTTGTACCTTTGACCGCTAAAACGAAAGAATGCAAATATTGCATTTTCATAATCATCCCTTCAGTTCATATCAATTTAATCTTCATTTTAACAATTTCAAATGAAGTTATTATTCATCTTACAAAAATTATCCATTTAATTTATCGTGTAGACAGTAGTGCATAATGAGTTTTCTCAAAAAAAAACATCTCAATATTTCAAGTTTTCTACTTTGAATTACGAGCAGGAAAATTGTGAATTAATCTTTTGTCAAGCAAAAATTATCAAAAGTTTCGTAGATTTCATCCAAATTGACCCGATCTGGTTGTCCATTGTAATTTTTGTCCAGGTTTCGTTCCAGTTTTCGCCCAAGTGATTTCGAAACTTTGTGCCATCAAGTATTCCATAGAGTCCAAAGTTGTTGGCTGGCCAACGAAAAATAAGTCCAAAAAGTCGCATTCAATTTTGTATTTCCAAACTGTCCATTAAGATGTCATGTCAAGTCAGATTTCTTTTCATTTGTATGCCAAATCGAATGACCATAATTGCATAGTAATTATATTTTTCCAAATGCATGTCCACAGTTGAAACGATACATGGCCATTTGCATGTCTCTTTATATTTAGTATGAGTCGACACAAACTTGGGAAGTTGTGTTCAGTTTGGGCATGCTTTCAATGTCCACTTCCTGACTGCCCCCCTTTCGCCCATGACCCCCCATCTTGCCCCCCATTCCTCGCTTCTTGTTCAGATTGGGAACATGGATGTAAATTTTGCCTTGTGAGTTTGCCGACTTCCTAAGACAACACAAGAACAGACAAATTTAGAAAACTTGTTTACTCTTCGCCAGATTGTTTAGTCAATTTCAATTTGATCAAAAATTATCCCATGCGTTAATTGGAGCAGATATTTTCGTGGTGAGTAATCGGTTTCAGTTACTAATGGGTATAGTATATTGCCATTTAAGTTAATTTTGTAATGTTTCTGCTTTGATTAGATTACCTCAAATCGATGTTTATAGTGATGTTTAGGGGCGTAAAATCAAGGTCTTTGACCTGTTGATGGTCCTAGGTATGCTGTAATCATTGACTTCATTGATTTAGTTCTATGAATTGGTACAACATGATTTAGCTTTGTAATGTCTACTGGAATACAAAATGTGGTCATTGCACTCAATTTAAAATACATCACAGAAATGTATCCTTACAAGAAACCGACGTTGCCTAGTGGAAAACTGACAAATTTCTTTATCAAAAAAAGACTTCAAATGTCTTCAATACGATAAAACATTCAATCACCAATATGCTTTTTTAATGTTCTTAATTCGCGTAGATAAAAATATCCGTCGGCATCGTTACCTTCTCATTTCTCAGGAGTGTAAGAACAAAGTCTGTTTCGAGAAAAAAATGGGATCTTTTTCGTTCTTCTCCAAGCCATTTTTGCAGGTGGTGATGGGGTGAGAAAAAAGAGCCAGAAAATGCAACCATTTAGATATTTCCACAAGGAACAACAAAATACCAATTAGCTGCCTATCAATGGCCATTCTCAATCCAGCAGATTGGAAGGAAAAAAAAAACAGAGTTAAAATAATAAAAATTAATTCATGAAAGTTCTAGACGCACTAAAGTCTTGTACAACTAAATAACTCAGTCTGGAACGAAGAGAAATAATACAAATGGACTATTCTTATACAGGTCTGTTACGGCCAACTGATAGCTCCTCCGCAAATAGACTGCGATTCACAGGAACTAAAATTAATAAAGAAGAAATTGAAAGTTAAGAAAATGTGTACCTTGCGGCTCTTCGGACGACGTAGAAGAGAGTGGAGAGAAGTATGAATGCGATGAGGAGTAGGGCGGCGATGAATACGGGCACGAAGGTGGTGGGGGGATCCTTGAGAGCCACTATGACCACATTGGACACGGGACTGGAATTCAGGGTATCATTCGCACGCAGACCCACAGCAAACACCTGCAACACAAACAATCATTGAGAACGAATTTTTTTTCGAAAGATCTTTTTTCTAACAGAGACCATTTACAGTTCTTTGGTTTGATAGCAAGAAAATTGTTTGAAAAACAACAAAATTTAAGGCCACGCAGTCTCGTTTTTGGGTATTACAAAACGGAGACTTCGGCTTTTATAACACTGTTTATTTGTCCTGATGTAAAAAAAAGATATTCTTAACATGATACACGCAAAAACAATACCTATAGAGAAATGAGAATTTGTTTTTGCATCTATCAAGACCATTAGAGCTTTAAATTATTCGGGTAGAAACCTTGGAGGTGCTTTGCAGCCAGACGTCTTCGGGTACTGTGAATGTGAACATGGGTAGGGTGTAGGGAGTGGTGAAATCGGGCATGATGCGGGTGTCCACGAGGTGTTCTGGTTTGAGTTGGAAGCACGAGTCGAAGTTGAGGTACATCTCGGTCAGGTTGGCACTGATGCGGATGTCATACTGCACCATCTTGCCTATTATACACAAAGACACCAATTCAACCAAGGTCATCAAAAAAACCTATATTAAGACAGGTTCTTAACTGAAATGCCAATGCTCTTTTTGAACACAAACTCGAATCAAATTTGCTTGAATTTTATAATTAATGCCAAATGGTTGGCAATATCTGTGAACTGTGACCTTGAGCAACTTCGATGACCGGTGACCTTTAGATTCGGTGACCGGAAAGGATATTGTCAACAACTTGGCATTAACTATATTTTTCATAAATTCGCAAAAAGTGAAATCTGTTACTGTTTCAACTATCTACCATAAACACATGTCGTCTTCCTTACCAATGGTGACCTTGTCCAGATCATCTCCACTTCTGGTGAACTTCATCTGAACAGTCCTCTTGCTCAGCGAAGAGTCCACTAGAGCCAAGTCGATCACTCTCGCCGGGGCTATCTTGTCCACCTCCGAGGTGGTCTGTCCCGCACTGTTGTCGAACGACTCAAGCACCAGTTCTCGTCTGAATGCTGGCACAGTCTGCTCTGCTTCTCGTGTGAAGATCACTCCTGGAAGTAACAGGAAAAAAATAAATTAGATATTAGTAGCATGAGTATGACAAAACAGTACTCAGAATCAGGAATTCGACTACCGTGCTGTTTTGGATTACCAATTATTTGGCATTTATCTTGCAGAATCAGTAATTATATGCTATTAGCAGTTTCGTGAACTATAGTATTCACAACAAAATTCGAGGAAATTTAGCATTGAATTGCAAGACGTGTCAAAATGAAAATTTGTAGAATTCTTGCAGACTGACCTGGGGCCATGTCAACAGTGGATACTCTTCCCAAGTCTCTCAGATGTTGAGGTCCCCCCTGGACTCCCGTGGCCACCAGACGTCCACTGCACCTCATCTTGCTCGTGTATACGAAGAAGCCAGAGTATACTCCGTCGCCAGCTGTCACGTCTCCATCTGTTAATATTTATCAAAAAAATGTACAGATTTTGAAAGAAAACACTTACATTATGGAAAACAGAAAGTTAATGAAAGAACAAAGAAACAAAAAAAAAAATGATTGAAGTTGTTTTGAAAAATTTTCCATCTTTCGAAGAAAAAAACATCTTCTTAAAGCTCTTTTAATTTCATAATTCCGCACCATTTTGTAAGTTTTATCGTCTAATTTCAATTTTTCTGATTGTATATTACAAACTTTATCTTAATTTCAACAGATTTACTTCTTTCTTTTTAATTTGAAACGTTTCAATTTAAACAAACAGCATTTAATTCCAACGCAATGCTAGTAACGAAAAAGCTTTATTTGCCAATAGCATCTAGAGCGAGACATCTAAAACTCAAGGGTGAAGCATTGCAAAATAGCAAATAGAATCAATAATAGAAAAACGATTCAAAAAATTCAATTGCAGAGAGGCGAAAAACGCAAGCACGAGCATTAACCGATGATAAAAAAAATGGGTAAAATTATAATTGAACACAGAACCGAAGCTGCGCTTCGCAAACACTAGCAGGAACAGGACAAAATATGGCCAACTGACAGTTGGAAAAGAGTAACGAACGCAAGGCAACTGAAAAAAAAACTTCTTTTGAGTTCAACTTTTGAGTTTGAAGAAAAAAATTGATGGCCTCAAAGCTCTTTGAATTTGTAGAACAATTTGTGATAGTTTGCCTTCCTTTTAACAATAGAAATGCACTGAACTTAAAAAAAGCACAAGTCAAATTGCGGAAAATCAAAATTGAGCTCGAACAAATTTTCAGACTTTTTCCTAAAAACAAACAAAAAAATCAGCAATACCTATATAAGAGTACTAATACTATATAAAGTGAAATAATAAAAAGTATAAATAAGCCTCGAATTAGTAAAAATTTGCTATGCAAAGCTTCGCACCTGCGACCACGAGAATGGGAGTGTGACGCCCTGCCCTCTCGGCCACGAACGCTTAGCAACCGACAAACTAGTCACAAATAAAGCAGCTACATATGCTAACAAATTGCCAATGCCATGCACCAAAAACAATTTTGCAAGCAATTTGGAGTATAACCAACTGAAGGCATGCTAATTAATTTTGCATGTAATAAATTGGAAAGCATAAAGCCACATTACGTATGAATTATGCAAATTTCAAAAAATTGCAAGATATATCGAGTTAGAAAATTTCTGAAATCGAGTTTTTATGATTGTTATGTTGTTTGGAACAAATAGCTTTTTAAGGTTCAATAGATGAATTTAAAATGTATCAACTGTGCCTTTACTTATTACTAATTGAATTTCAATGCACATGTCATCAAAAAGCCGTAAAGGTGCCCCAAAAGTTGTACCAATATTTTCGACTTAGGTTAGAAAAAATTTTGTCGACCATTTTTTTAGGCCGACCAATTGATTTTCTGAGCTCTCCTAAATCACAATAAAGACCCCATTTTGACCAAATTTTCTGCGCCACAGGCAATTTTTTTTTTGAAAAACAGGCTAAAAAACAGCTCAAAATTAGTATGATCAGGCGTCGAAGGCGCCCTTAGACAAATTTTAGGGTCAGTCAGCCTAGAATGGATATCTCAAAATAGTACAAAGGGGGACCCTTTGGATCGAATACCTGAGGGGGGACCAACGCCCCCCCCCCTAAATCTGCTGGTCTGTGCGTGCGTGTATTTATGTATGTATGTGTGAGTATGTGCGTGCGTGTCTACAATTACGACTCACTGGCTCCGTTGTCGAGTAGAGTGATGGTTCTGCTGGTCTCGTCCTTGTTCCTGGTGTTCGTCTTGTCCCCTGCAGTTCCACACTCGAACATGACCTTGACCTCTGCGTCCAGAATGGCATGGTAATCTCCCCATGTCAACTCAGCTACTACTTTCTTCATCTTCGAACTGCAAACACAACAAGAGTACACAAACTGCCACAAAGTAGCCGAAGCCTTACTTTCGTTATACTATATACCCCCGAAATTAAATTAAAGTTTCTTGGGGAAACTACGAATAGTGTTTTTAAGTGCTTCGATAGTGCCGTAAAAAGTATAAAACAAAAACACTTCAAAATTTTGTTTGGCTAAAACACAATTAAATTTCTCATTATAGTTGTGGCAGTTGAAAATTTTGTTCGAAAAACTTCTATTTTCGAACACTTCTATATTTATCTCCAATTGTTCCCCTAAAAAATTAACGCACACAACGCGTTGTTAATGAACACTGAATTAGTAGAAGACGAATCACGGCAAAATCGCACAAGTAAAGCGACAAAACGGAAGCAGCGTTTTAAACATTAGTAGCCACACATTATGTACATCTCTCTAAACAAGTTAGCAGACAAGTTTGTTTCACGAAAAACGAGACACGGAATCAAAACTCCACTTCGCACAAAACGCATTATAGTTACGATTGTCCGCTTTCCCATTCCATTGGTTCCATTGCATGATTTTTCAAAAACATCGAGAAAAATTGTTAAAAAAAGGAAAATTTTTACCGTTTCTCTTCAACTATTTTTCCACTCAGTCTTACGATGGGACCATTCTTCTCGTCCAGGTGTTTTTGAATCAACTTCGCTCGGGCTGCCTTCGGGTCCATTTCTGCATCTTCACTTGTCGCTTCATCATCGTCCATTAGCTCAACAGGCGACTGCAACTCGGCTCCGACATCTTCCGATTTTGATTCGGGAATAATATCATCCTCCATAAACAACTCCGAAGATCTCTTCGCTTTCTCCGCCTCGGTCTCTGCTTCGTTTTCGGTATTTTCATTTGTCGGCTCAGAGGCAGTTGATTTTTTGTTCTCCTTCGGAGGGTCGATCACAAGAGGGTTCGAGGCTGGAATGTCCACCAGAAGTTGGCCCGAAATCTCCGGCTTGGATAGATCTTCGAACACTGTGATAGTCCAGTTTCCAATAGCCTAAGACAAACAAACAGCATTACCAAAAGGAGGCCTTCAAAACATGCCAATTTGCACATCACATACACGAGCAACAAATTTGGGAAACGTTTCTAAATTTTCTGAGAAAATCAAATCATTAAGTTAGTTTATTAATCCGCTGAATCTAAAATTCGAAAAACAATTCAAAGTTCCATTTTCGTCAACAATCGCACCTTTTTGATATAGTGGTTTTATGTAAGCTAAAAACTACTTTCAAAATTCAAGCCACCAAAATTTCTCGAAACGGGCCCAGAACTTCCGTTATTAACCTTTTCCGACCATAGCATTTTTTAAAAGCCCGAAAAATCCCCTTTGTCACGAGTAACTTAAACAGCGCACCATTGTTGACAGAAAAGATTCAAATGTCCTTTTGATTGCAAAACAATTTGAAAAATGTGTAGGAACTTTGCATTCGGGTGTGTTTTAGTTTTTTGTTTTCCACGCAAAATCAGGTACCGCGACTATTGATTGGAATGGATTGAGTGCTACATCATACTAAAGCACTTTCAGTCGTGATTCGAACGACATTAGAAGATTTCCAAAAAATTTTCCGTCTTGAGAAAAACGGTTTGAAATATTCGAGTTTAAGTCCAACTTCGAGCAAGTAAAGCAATCCAGTAACGCTCATTATATATAAATATTAGCCATTTGAGTTTAAAAACAACTAGATTTAACTAAAAATAAAATCAGTTTTTGGAAGCTTTATTAAGCGCTTTCTTGGCCGTAAAAATTTTCATTCATTTTTTCGCTTATTTATTCTTTGAAGACAATTGTAGAATTTTATGTCAAATTTATTAATTTTCTACGCGCTTTATAGTTCTATAATTTCACCACGCAGAATAAATAACGCTAATTTGAAAAAAGGAAAGTTTTCTTGTAGTTTTTTACGAATGTGGTCGGAACATTACGTGCTACTTGCACAGCAACTGGCTATCCTTGCTATAGCTATTTGCCAATTGAGGTAAGTACTTCAAACTAGATCTATAATGAACGACCAATGACAAGCATGTTGCTGACATGCAACAAACAGCTCAAAAACAGCGCAAATAATTGGCAAGAATTTTCACATCCAAAAGCGGAGCCTCGGCCCTAACTAAATGCGAGCAAAACTTTTCAAGTTTACAACTTTACCTTTATAAGTTCTGAAATCATTTCTTATTTAGAGTATACTGGCTCTGAATCTAATTGCTTTTTAAATCTGGCACTAAAAGCAAGCAACAATTTCGAATGATAAAATATGACCAACAGACAGACTTGGATTTTCGAATTTCCAAGATAAAAATAGATGACTTAAAAGCGCTTTTACTTCCAAGAAAGATTTATGATTGCCACGTTTAATAAAATATTAACATGTTTTGAGAGAGATTGATCAAAAGGTAAAATTTGTAATTTTCGGGGATATCTCGCAAATTAAAACTCGTTCTTCAATAGTGGAGTTTTCCTTCCTTTCATCAAAGGAAATTAACTTAAACAGAAATCAAAAATCACAACAGAGGCGAAGCTGTGCTTCGCAAACACTAGCGGAACCCGACAAAACGTAGCTCTATAAAGTGCAATGAGACAACGTAGAAATAAGCCTCGAATAAGTAAAAATTCGACTACTTCTCGAATCCGATCTGAGACCTAGAGATTATCAATCTCACGCACTAACCACGGACGCTTACTAAATCACAAAAACTAGCCACAAATAAAGCAGAGAACAGGTGCGATGAAATTTCCATTGCTACAGGTCGTGATTATAGCAAACAAGTGAACACTTTTAATGAAAACTGCTAGTTACGAGTTAGGTTAGAAAAAATAAGGTTCGTACTAATACAAAAACGCTGGGAAGCTGGCTAGTGTAAACAGCGAAATGTCAAATTTGAACGTGAACTTTTTTCGACGTTTCATGAAAAAAGCAGACAAAAAATCATCACGACCAGTGTAAGAGTCACTACGTTAATCGACGCTTAAAAATAACTAACGTACAGTTGTAAAGTTCCAATAAACTCCAAGAGATCAAGAAAAAAACTATATCTATTGTCTTGGAAATTTTTGAATTTGGAAGAGTAAGTTTTGATTGAATTTTATTTGTTGAGAAAAATCCAATTTGAGAAAACGGGATCAATAGAGAAAATTTCTTATTCCGCTTTCTCCACTCAATCTGCCCCAGGAAACAACCATTGAGCTTTGTGAAGATGGATCATATTTACCTTTCGTCCTTCAAGTGGAATCATGAATCGGACTGTGTTAGTTTCGTTGAACTTCTTAACCACATCACTTTCGCCATCTTTGTAACTATCGGGCGAGAACGAGAACGAACTCTGGCTTCCAGACTTCCTCCCTTTAACAGGAGCAAATGGAGCTTTTACGGTTATCGCCGGGTACTGAACTCTGTCTTTGGCCGTCAAGCGTGAAATGTCCAGAGCAAAAATGACACGAAGGAATTTTCCACCGTCCACAGTTACAGTGGTGATGTTGTTGAAACTCTCGAATTTTGCAATGGGCATTGTTTTGTTTGTTTCTGCGTCAAGGTTCTTGAAGGGCTTGTTCAAGGTCACTTGCTTCTGAAGAATCTGAAATGGGAACCACAAAATCATCATGAAATATTGAAATCAAGCAGACACACAAGACACGTTAGATTCAATTATTCTTTTCGAGAAATTAGAGTAGTTTCAGCTAACTATTTCCAATTGCAAGACTAAGTTAAAGATAGAAATAAAAACTTGACTTTCAATATAAAAACCAAAAGGTCGTATCAAGTATGTGTGCTTGTTTAAGCATCTTAGAAAGGTGATTGTGGTTATTAAATGAAAGTACAGATGAAATCAGTCAGAAATTAACAAAGCATGCAAAAACAGAATTTTTTAAGCGTCTACCCTCTCTCAAAATGATCCCTTTGCCATTAAATAAATGCTAAGCGCTACGTGCAACAGAATCACTGATAAAGTTAAGGGATACTATGCCATAATAATGCAAAAATGCAGGAGTTAGAAGGAAGGAGGTTAGAGTTAAAGGTCGCAGCTAGGCGTTAGCGACCAGTCCTCAAGTTTATCTTAAATCGCATTTGTCGCCAAAGCTTACTAATTAAGAAGAGGCGAGAGCGCGCGCTGAAAAAACTCACTTTATTGGTCAAAACCTTCCAAAAATATTTCTAAAACGGTAATCATTTTTGGCCTGTAGTTTTAAAACATTCGCTTGTGGCGCACACAATTTCGGCACAGTAATTTATTTAGTTTAAAAAAATTCGCGCACCGCACCCCTCGAAAAACCCTAAAACCAGATCCACTCCTGGCTTCAGAATTAATTTTAAGCTCTATTTTTTAAGAAAAAATTCTACTCAAAATAACGAGTGAGATTAAAAAAAAACACAAAACTCACAAGGAAACATGCAATGATTTTATCATTTGAAGGTTACAGTCAATCAGTAGTAGCAATCACGTCCAACAAAAATATTTTTAGTTTGCTCTCAAGGTTTTTTGGAAAAATTCCCATTTTTTCTAAAACGTATATTGAAAATTTTGAATCATTGTTCGGGCAAGTTGAGCTATTTGTGAGATAATTTTTCTTTTTTAAAAATCTTCTTGCCTTTTTGATAGTAAAGCGAAAGCTGTCTTCGGATTTGTCATGGTGCAATCATAGGAAAGACAAAAGCTTCGAGCTTTAGTATATTAACATAGCCATCAGACAAGAGGAAAAGTGTCAATGAACGCAGAGAAACAGAAAAAAGACCAACTTCTTTTATGAAAAACTTCACTGGGATCCCTAATTTTATAATCTATATGCAGTGGGCATAAAAAAAATTGGGTTAGTAAATGTATTAGAGGATAATTGGACAAAAACTAATTTTTATCTCGAAGAAAAATCGGTGCCCTTGAAGCTATTCAAGTTTCCAAAATGACACTTTTTGACATAGAGTCGAAACGAAGCTTCGCACCAATTGCGATAGCAAACTACATGCCAAAATTCTCAAGATAGTCTGGCACGTACAAAAAAGAACAATTAAATGATTTATTTGGAAATCGTCGGCTGAAAACCCTGGATATTTTTCGCAACTCTTATAGAACTCGATTGCCAAAAACATGAAGGACACATTCTACACTAATTCCCTTCATTCTTTTCTGATAACAATTAGATGGAAAGAATACGAAAAAAGAGGTTTCGGCCCGAAAATCATGATCCAAAAGGTCCTTCAATTCGTTGAAAACCTTGGAACCAAACAAACTGCATGTCCATCAAGAACATCCGGATGCATTAATATACACTTTCGACTGCTTGCTAAAAACAGAGATCGAAATGAACAAAAAATAAACACCGAAATTTCAAAAATTTTGATTATGAAAATTTCAATAAAATACAAAAAGAAATTACAAAAAAGGAAAACTCTAGAAGCCTATGAAATTGACCCAAAAATATCAATCTTGTCAAATAAGAAGCTAATACGCAACGGCAAGGTAGCTGAACTACAGCAAAAAAAAAGATCACAAAAAAGAAGCCCGTCAGTAAAAAAAATACACGCACTTTCATAAATTACAAAACAATTCTACCAAAAACAACCTGATTTTTAAACAAAGTACAACACCCGTCACACCTTCGTACACAAGACAACCAAGTCAAACTTTTAAGAAAGCGAATTTTCCGGAAATTTTAGATTATTAAGTTAAGTTAAACTAACTGAACACTTTATCACAACAAAAAATCGTAGCGTGCAGCGTACTGAAAAAACGTGCAGCGTACTGAAAAGGGAAATCTTGAAATTGGAGATCCTACTGTGAACAAGTTCTTAAACGACAAAAAGTCTAGCACGCGATGGCAATACCCTTGCTTATCGCAAGTGTAGTAAAACTAACCCAATTTGAGGAAACTGGATCAATATGTTTTTTATTCCGCCGGGAAATCAGAGATATAAAATCCATTTTGAATTCGAAGTCGTCCACATTTTTACAAGACTTTTACACTTTTCGATGGAGTTGCCTTCAAAAAATATCATGGAGAAATCATAGTTCGATAGTGATGAAATTATAATTCCAACCGGGAAAAAAAAACAAAATTCAGCATGAACAAAAATCATTCAAAAACAAAAATCATCACGACATACTTAAAACTTTCCACTACGCTCATTGCCACTTAGTCTTAATCGACTAAATTGCAGGCATTAAAAAAAGACAAAAAAACATTGAAACAAAATGAAAAAAATTCCTAGTTTATGCAAATTGCATTTTGAAAAATTTTTATTGTAAGGAAAGCGCTGAATGAAGCTCCGAAATTCGTCTTCCTGGAGTAAACCCATGTTTACCACACCACGGCTTAAGTAACCAATTTTCATCGCAAAAAAAGGCTACTCGCACACTCGCTTTACTTTTTCAAACGAAACTGACTACATTTTGAAAAATGTTGTTTTCTTGTTGTTCCGACCTGTAAAATGTGGCCACTATCAAGAAAAACATTTAATTTGAGACGGCAGGATTATTCTTATCTTTTGCAATTGAGGCAAGCTCGTTGGTTACAATGAATGCTCTACGTTTTTAAAAAAAAATTTGCAGTACTTGTTGTTCCGACCTGTGAAAGTGTAATCAGTGTCAAGTATTGCTGAAACAAATTTTTTATACGTAGAGTAATCATTGTAACCAACAAGCTTGCCTCAATTGCAAAAGATAAGATTAATCCTGCCGTCTCAAATTAAACGTGTCGAACATCAATGATTGGTGCATTTAAATCTCGTTTCAAACCTCTTTTTCCTCCGACCATTGAAGATGGGGAAGAACTTTGTATTCGGGTGTTTTAGATTTTTTCTGTTGTGTTCCACGCAAAATGAGGTACTACATAGAACAATTGGATTGGGTCGAGTGATGTATTCACATTTTAGACCTTTCAGACGTAATTCCAACTATTAAAAAAAATTCCCAGAGTCGACTAAAATTGCTTTGAAATTTGTGAGGATTTACACTAATTTCGAGCAATTAACACAATCGAGTAACGTTCGTTATATGAAAAGTAGAGATTTAGGCTCAAAATACTTGTTTTTTTTCGTAACCGGAAAACTTCATTTGAAACTTCTTTTAGCGAGCGCTTTCTTGGCCATTCCCTACTTTGAACAACAGAAAGCAGCTAAAAACGCTGCTCTAAACTTGCGCTTATAACTCTAAATAATTCTGAATTTGAATCATTTTATACCAATTATACAGAGAGGTGAAGTTGCACTTCGCATGCACAAGCAAAAATATGACCGATAAAGCTACTGGGAAAAATTAAATGCGTAAAACTTTGAGCCTACAAAACTTCTGAAATGACGCATTAGCAGTACCAGTCAATTTGAAAAAAAAATTAGCAACTAACATGCCTCAATTTATAGAGCGGACGAATTTTAACTCCTATAAGAAAAATTTCATTTAAAGCATCAGACCCTGCCCAGGTTCGAACCCTCTTATTTTGTTGGGGGTCTCCTTCCCTAATATCCTTAGCATTGGCTACACTTAATAGCTGGTTTATGCAAGCTGGTTTATGCTCAAAATGAACACTAATATTAGCGACTTAGGTTGGAAAAAACCAGAGTTCATACTATCACACAAGCTTTGCTTGTGTAATAATGGGCTTATCTCGAATTTAAGCAAAGGACGGATACCAAAAACATTTGAAAAAATTTAATATTATGTTTTCTACCGTAACTAAATTGAAACTGGATCAAAAGACGAGCGTATTCATGCTTCTCTTCGCGAATTTAATGATTAAGAATTGTAATTATGTTTGACTGACTACACAAGAAAGACTCTAAGTTAGAATGAGAGGTGACAAGAAATTCACAATTACACCAATAGCTTGTTGCACTCACAATACAGATAACATGCAAATAAGTTAGCGGTCGGTCGGGCAGCAATTTCTAAATTATTGACTTTTATTTCGAAAAATTCCATGAAACCACAGGCTTAACAACAGTGCAGAGGTTTAGTTTCACTGCAATTTTGCGGTTGCTATTTTCGCTGTTATTAAGATTAAAAAATGGCAAGACACCCAAAACAAGCTCAAATCTGGTTCGACTCTTACAACAAATCCGCTTCTTGGCGCCATAAAATTTCTCGAGTTCACAACATCATGGACTGTCTCCTGGAGCTGTGGTAATATTTGGCCCATAAATTGGTTCGGCTCAGTTAATCCAGGGAACATCATCACCATTTCGGGTTGGTTAGTCACAATGAATTCGTGTTGACTCCAAGCGTGAGGTGCCGTAAAAATGAGTTTGTATGGTTTTGCTGATGATGCAACCACGATTTTGACATTGGGCGACATTACCGAATTTCTGCCGGGCGCCTAAGCATATGAAATAGTTGTAAGTATCGCAAAATATTATTTTATTGGTCGAGCCTCAAGCATAAATGAACGCTCCGAATACTTTTTTTCTCTTTTTAAGAATAAAAATTTAAGTTAAAATATGTCTGGAGCCGCAATAATGTCCGAGATAACGAATAAGCCGTTGACAATTTTGGAACTAGCAGTGCATTTAAGGATAGGATTTTAGATAGTTGAGCAACTAAGCGAAACAACAGAACCATGGACTAGATATTTCATCATTGAAATCATCTCGGAAAACACAAGCGAGAGCAGGCAGGCCAATCAGAACGGTTTCAACGGAAGCACGAGAAAGAAGTGACAAACCCCATTTGCAAATGCCTACAAACCCCTGCCACTTTCAAGAGTGACAAGGCATCCAATGAGATCAAGTGACGATAAATCAGCCGAAACTTTTCCAACAGACAACGGAAGTAAAACTTTTATATTGACGGACCTATTCTTATCCAAGAGAGAAAAATTTTTCATACCAAACAAATCACTTTTCCATGAATAGCTTCCCGACCGCCGCGATATTATGATCTACAGTTTACAACATGCTGTCAAATTCGATGATACTTCAATCGCCCTTTTTTGTATTACCATTGCACTTTTTGCGTCCAGGTCTTGGCTTTGCAGTGTGAACAAAGACCCCGGGGTTCCTTTCAGATTGGAGCCCTTTTCCAGTGACAAATCAAACAAGGTTGCATTGTTGTAGTTAATAACTCGCATAAGTTGAATATAAGAGAACTGTCGAGCGTGAACAACTGTGAGAGAGACTCCTGCTTCTTGCAACCCTTTAGTATCCACGTCTGTTATCGTGGACTCAACGTCCATACTGTCTTGGTAAGAAGTTATGAGAACTATTTCATGGGCGTTCTTCCCTGAGATAGCTCCATAGTTACCCTAAAATTTCATCCGTATTTGGACTAAAAATTTATAGGTAAATCTTTGCAGAAAACGCGTGAATTAATATCCAGAATCCTGAAAACAAACATGGCCTCTTGTTCGATGACATTGTAGGAATCTTGGATTTTTTCACAAGAGCGGCTTCGTAGATTCGAAAAATTCACAAAAACAAGATTCGTATTTTGTTCACTGACACTGAAACATGCTTTAGCTCCTAGTTGAAGTGAAGTGGTCGGAAGAATGTAGAAAAAATTCATTGCAGACAACGGCGACCAATTTAGTAGGAGTGTTCGGATTTTCGTGAAGGTGGTCGTACTGTCGTGAATCGGTCGTACTGTCGTGAATCGGTCGGACTAATACAGAAAATCTTAGCCGAAAATAGCAACCATTTTAGGACCGAAGACGTTCCCCGCAATAAATGCAGAAAAAAACAAGCAATTCCTTTCATAGTCTCTTGCTATTCAACATTCGATTTTATGCGTTTGCTTCCCGACCTACTTAATATCATAATCTGCAGCATGCAAGCATCACCACTTAAAACTACCATTTCACTTTTCGCGCTCATATCTTGACTCTGCAGGCTGAATAGAGAGCCAGGAGTTCCTTTCAGATCTGTCGATTCTGAGTTCAGAGCCAAGTCATATAAGGGAGCATCGTTGTCTTCGATAACTCCTAGGAGCTGCACGTAGTAGTACTGTGTTGCTTGGATAACCGTAAGAGCGACTGCTGATTCGACCAGTCGGTCTGTTTGTGCTTCATTTATCCAAGGCCGAGTTGAGTCTTCAAATGAGGTGATGAGAACTATCTCATGAGCATAGTTCCCAGATATAACTCCATATTTATCCTTTGAACCAAAACCGACAGACATTAAGACACTCATTGTTAAACTTCCTGTTTTTTTTCCCAAAAATAAACGTTTTAAATCTTTGACCAAAAAGTTTCGGAGTTCCGAATCCAGGAAAAATATCCCAATTTTGCTGCCCGACATCGATTAAGAAGTTAGACCGCTAACTTTGAAGAAACATTCCAAGAGCCGTTACCATTCCTTCTGATTTCTAACAGCTGCAACAATTTTCCTTACCGTCAGGGTTTCTAAGCCGACTGGCATTTTAAACCTACAGTGAACCCCGCAATTTGCTCCTGTGTTGAAATAGGACGACTTCGAAGCTGCTATTATACCGTCCAACTGAGCATATTGGAAGTTTATCGCGAAGAAAACGGAAAGTTTGATGTCTGAGTCGACAATCACTTCCGCGAAATCGTCGGCAAACGGTCCGAAGTTTTCGACGTTTGACACAACTAACATCAACTCGCTGTTCGGCAACACAGAACCAAAAGCTCCGTTCTGGTCAAAACAAACAAAGTAAATATTCAGCTCATAAGACTTCCCCCAGATGGAAGACATGAACTAATCTGCTTTTTTTAAACAGATTCTTAAATATTTGTCCGCTAGCATCTCACGAAAACGCGTTCGATTCCAATTAATTTGAACAAGCAACTCGTTATCTTATCACCTAAAATAATTTAGTAAACCACAAGCTTCGCTTGGGCAAACAAAAAATAGAAAACTTGCCATCGTGTTGGTTTCATACCACCGACTGCCAGGCAAACCGACCGCTAACACTTTATAACCACTGCGACACATGCTATCCGAGCATCGGCAATGCGTTTAAATACCATTTGCGCTTTGGGCTGTGCAATTTGGACAGGCAAATAAAACTCTTTAATCGGCCAGCCAAATGTCGTGTCAAATACAGCCGAGTCCGCCTTTTTCATCAGCTCCACGAGAGCCGGACCCCAAGCGTGATACCTGGCAAACGCGAACGAAAGCTTCAAGCTTTGTTCGAGAACAGTCGCCTCGTATATATTGACGAAGGGACTATGATCCGCAGGGTTGCTCACGACGAACACAATTTCGTGATTGGGAGCAGCTAAACCGATACCGTGCTTCTGTTTAAAATACAGTTTCTGCATTACGATTGGTTTAAAATTCACTTGCCAAGGTTTAAAATCAAAACAGCCCACCTTTTTTTGCCTCTTTGCCCAATGCAAGAAAGTTTTAAATATTCAGTTAAACCCCCCCCCCCCTTTGCTCCCGAATCATTAAGAAGAAAAGCAGTTGCTCAACTTTACACAAAAGCCTCTTAACTTTTACTATTGAGTAAGAATCTTGAAATGATCTGCTGGTCGAGTCGTCTTCAGCTACGAGCTGATTTCGAAACACGGACATAAATTCCGAGTTAGGTAGCTTTCCAATCCATAGTTATAATGTTTACAACAACAGTAGAGCGAAATTGAGTTAAAAATAGAACCAACCTTGAACATATGACTAAAATATCAAATGAACATTATCCAATAAAAATAAACGAAGTTGCAATATAGTTCAAAATTTGTTATCGGTTAAGTTGACTCTTATCTTATCCCAGGATAAACTTTTAAATAGACCGTCAAAATATTTTTTAAAATAGATACGATTGTTTTTAAGTCCATATTTCTTTTTATATTTGAGTTTTAAAAATCATGTCGATATGTTGATGGTGTCAAAATTAGGGTCATTTTTTTTCTTCAACTTCAGATCTCAGCAAAGGATTTTTCTCAGCAAAAGAATTTTGATCAATTCAAAAATTCACTCTTTTAAGTCCTCTTGAGATCTTAATCCACATTCTCTGGCAACCCTCCCCCCCTTCCCCCCAAGACACTTACATAGTCCGAGTCGGCATTTTGGTTGCCGGTGCAGCCCAGTGTTCTGAAACTGGCGGTTAGACTCCGTAGGGACTCTTGATTGGCGGGCGAGGGGTCTGTTTTAACTGTTTGACTTAGCCCATCGATCGCACTGCTAAGAGTAGCACACGTGTTATCCTTGGAGCCGGCCTCGTTCTAAACAGTGATGTACGGTTCGGTTCTCTATTTGTTCATAAACTAAATTATCTACCATAATTTAAGTAAGAAAAGCCACTATGGATGAAATGGAAGTATAAGATTTTCCATTTTTAAGATTCGGAGGAGGGGGGCGGGCTTTTTCTTGCCCTAGAAAGAAAACTGAATAGACGCGCCTGGAGCTGACGACACCAGCTTAGAATCAAGTGGCTTTCTTTTTACCAATCAAATTAGAAAAAAAAAGATTTTATACTGGAACTTTGTGCCACCATGAGAACAAACATTGCAAAGAGGAACCAAACGGTACATCACTGATTGACATCAACAGAAGCACGAACGACCGACAACCAAAGAGGCAATCAAGTATAATGAACTAATTGCGTGACCTTTTCATAAACCGGATGCTTAATCGTATCTTAATGTTTAGAAAAATACTGACCGGAAATATCCACTTGTTATTTACATTTTCAAGGAGTTTTGACTTTTTCCACTACTTTTTGATTTTTAAGATTTTATAGACAGAATTTTGACGATCTATTTTGTCTACTATTAATATAGGACTTGATGGCATGTGAAATAAATTACTGATCTTAAACCTTAGAAAGGATATAAAAGTATTTTATTGACTAACCAAGCCTGATATATCAGCGCCACCCTCCGCTACACATTTCGAGTACTGCGCTTGCAACTTTCGAATCAGTTCCGTTTCGCCCGAATCCCCGCCGTTCGCTTGCATCATCTTAATCGTGTCCATTATGGAATCACAACTAGCCAGCGCATTGCCGGAGCCACCCTAAACCCAAAATACCGGACATCAGTAAGCCCAAAAACTGAAATGCCTGTTCAAACTATTGAGTGATTAATTTTTCAGAAAACTAAATTATACGCAGTACCAGTCTTAAGTTTATGAATCTTGAAATAACATAAAATGAGCCTACGAATGAGCTTAAAATGAGCATAAAATTATCATTTTATGAAAATAAATAAACGATCGTTTTAAAACATACAGAAAAAACAAGTTGAAACCAAGGAAAACAATCAAGATACTTTTTAAAGTTAGAGACGGACTCATTAGCACGTGCGAGCACTACTATCGAACGGAACTTCAATTAGATCGGAACAAGAGCAACGAAATAACACAAGCGCAACAAGAAAAACACCATTAATTTGTAACTTATTCCACAAGCCATCAAATAACCACATCTGAGAAACCGTTCAATGAAATTCGAGAAAAAGAAGTCTCTGGCAACTGGCTTGACGCTGGAACCATAATTGGTTTCTATAACCAGGTGTTCATCGTCATCTACTCACATTAGTATCGATTCCTCCTTGTTCCAGACACTTTTCGTATTGATCCTTTACACTTTTGATAGCAGCCGAGTCAGAATTGGGGTCTGCTTCCATAGACGCCAGCACTGTTGAGAAATGGGAGCAGGTTGTGACTCCGGTATTGCTGTCCCCACCCTGAAAAACGACGCCAGCGTCCAGCCAGTTGCCAAATAGCCAATATATTCAACTTTCAATGCATTCAAGCCAGTCTGGGCCAAGTTTCATTGCAAAGCCAAACTAGATAAATATCCTTTCTGACAACATATGTAACACTTGGAACGCAAAATACGGCCTGTTCATCTTTAAGCTTCTCTCAACAACACAAACCTAGCAAGACAACTTAGCGAAAAAGATGAAGTAAATTTTATGAAGTAAAAGCGACATGCCATTAAACGATTTCTCAGATACTGAATTATTGCGTACAAAACGCAATCTGTATGAAATTACACCGGAATAATAATTGCAACCTTTCAGTTTTTGCCAATTTTCTTTCTTTCGACTTACATCGATTTCTGATTCGTCCAAATCTGTTAGACAAGCTGCGTTTTTCTGCATGAGCATATTTCGCACATTGACATCGGAAGTTGAAGTGTAAAGTTGTCGGATATCTTTGCACGATAGTGTTCCGTCGCCTCCCGACCCGCCCTGAACAAAGATTACCCTAAGGGGGTCCGATCGTTTAACAGCATGCCGCCTTATATCATAACCAACACCATCATTTATTGATAACTTACTGACAAATTTACTGTCCAACAAACACGTCAAATTTTAGACCTAAATTGCGACTTCTCATTGACTTCTACTACGCACGCATTGCTTTTACAAGAGACAAAACAAATTTTAACAACAAATTTAGCGAATGCTAAAAATTTTGGCCAAGCCATTCTGGATTTTTTCTTCTTTGTGTTGGACAATAAAGTTGCAAGTAAATTTTTGCCAGAATTATCAGATACTGCGAGAATAATAACAAAAATTTTTTCCAGAACGCAAAACACTAATTTCAGTTAAAATAACAAGCGACTATGGACGATGGAAAACAACAAGCACGATTTCTTAAAATGGGAAAAATGCGAAACAATTTATTCGGACCAAAAACAAGCCTGTGAAATACTTGTGAGATACTTTTGAAGAAAACTGAAGTGAAAGCAGAACCAAAACTTGAATTTGATCTTGAATGGAACATTGCTGACCTCTTTAGTGGCCCTCGCCCTGCACTCCTCCAGGCTTTTCCTACTCAACTCGATCAACTCAGAAGTTCCACTCTTCATAGCATTGTCATACATCACCTCCCAAGCACTACAGTCCACCCCCTCTCCCCCTTGACCACCATCCCCACCCTCACTCACACCCTAAGCAGAAAGAAGGGGCATGCGTTTGATTAATTAACAGCGCTTGAACCGGGGGAAGGGGGGTACTCATGCTCACAACCCTTTGACCATGGTTCCCGATTATCTTAGTAAATCGAGTAAACCAACATATAAAATAGCCAACAAAAAAATTCAAAACCATTAAAAAAATATGGCCATAAATCTTTTTTGAATTTAAAGCATTTTTTTAAGATTGACCCTTTTATGGATAAAATTAGTCCAATCTAAAAATTTAAATCCACGTTTAAAACTCAAATTCGGTCACATTTTTTTTGCAACATTAGCCCTTTCGTTACTGAAGAGCGTAATTTACCGTTATTATAGCAAACTAATAAAAATAGAAAATAAAACTCGAACAATCAAAATTGGGCGAGATTAAAGGATAATACTTTTTCCCGAAAACATAGCCAACTGAAAGTTGGAAAAGAGTAATGAACGCAAGGAAACTGAAAAAAAAAATGACTCGTTTTTTGTTTCAAAAACCTTCACGTTTTGAATTTCGAAAAAATACAGGACACTAAAGCTCTATAAAACTGTAGAACAATTTATGATGAACACTTTTTTGTTAAAAAATAAACCCAACTTGAGAAAACTGGATCAATAGGCAAAACTTTGATTTCGCAGCGAAATCTGATAATTAATTTCCATTTTCGAAATTAGAAGTCGACCATGTTTTTCATGACCTTTACCTTTTTGCTGTTCGATAGTGGAGTTGGCCTTCCTTTTAACAACGGAAATTCACTGAACTTGAAAAAATCACTAGTCAAACCGCGAAAAACCAGAATTGAAAAATTACCAAAAAAAAATACAAAATCAGCAAGACATATATAAGAATACTCACTACGTTCATTACTCTTGAAAACCATCACGAAATATATGAGTTTCTTCCCTACGTTCATTGACTCTTAACCATCGTCAGCATCAAAGCCAATTACTCTCGAACGAAATGAGCAATACCTCTACCCTGAAACGACTTCTAAAGGCTGCTTTTTTTAACGAAGATAACAAAAAAATGGAAAACACTATTGACACAGATGCGAAGCTGCAATTCGCAAGCAAAAGCAAAAAATGGCAAATGGAAGCTTTCAAATAGCGTGAAAATGCCATAAAATTAAACAAACTGAAATATGGAAAAGCAAAAAAAAAAATTTTCCTCTACGGGAATCGAACTTACTCCATCGACGACCAACAACATTGGAGAGTAATCCATTGCTAATTGAGCTATATGCGCATGCTTTCATCCAAATACCAGCTACACGGACACTAAATTTGGCATTTTGGAGAAATTGGCACTAATTCATGTGACTTGGCTTTAAAAAAATCTGACGCACAGAGACGAAGCTCCACTTCGAAATCACAATTGAAAAAAAGCAGTTAAAAACCAAGTCTAAAATTCAAACTGAAATTAGAGAAATAAGTAGCCATTTAAGTTCGAAACGACGAGTTGAAGTGGCACTCGGTCGGTTTTTTTAACCTCGTGTATGAGCAGGGGCGGATTTGGGGGGAGGGGGGCGGACGCCCCCTCCCCCTCAGGGATTCGACCCAAAGGGTCCCCCCTTTGGTACTTTTTAAGAAATCCATTTTTGCCGACCGACCCTAAAATTTTTCCTAAGGCGCCAATATATACTAACTTTGAGGGGGAGCGCGCGCCCAAAAAACGCGATTTTTTTGTCAAAATTTTTTCAAAAATTTGCCTGCGGCGCAGAAAATTTGGCCAAAACATTACCTTTTAGTGCTTTAGAAGAGCTCGGAAAATCAATTTGGTCAACCTAAAAAAAAAAGGTCGTCAAAATTTTCGAAAATTTTTTTGAAAATCCGCCCCCCCCCCCTCGAAAAAATCCTAGGCGGCCCTGTGTATGCGTATTGTTTTCGTACCCGTGATAGAAACATTGTTAAGTGCTGAAAAAAAATTTTCACTCTAACAATGAACACACATGGTAACCGACAATAAATCCAGATTTGCGATCAAGTGTAAGACTTAATAAACTGAGTGGGACGCAGAAAGCAAATTCATTGCAGCAAAACAGTCAAAACTTGTGCTACAAAGCGCTTTGATCAACATATGAGCCACTAAATCATTCCTAGACACTTGAGATCCCGTTTGAGCGCATCAGATTTGGATTCAATATCGTGCACTTAACTGAGATGAAGAGTATAACGAGAGACAAGCCGAATTGGACAAGCATTTAGTTTCTTGTACAGTTTAAAAAGTATACTTTTTATCAACAATTTTCATCGGAGATAAAAAAAATTTTTAAAATGATTCATCATGTTCGTGCCAAACTCAATTTTCAGTTGTTAAAAATAGGTAAGTTTCTTAAATTACTTCTTTCAGAAAATGAGAAATAGTATCGCTAAAATTTCAAGATCATATCAAAATTGAGTTCATTTATGGCCAGTTGTTTGTGATTACTCCTGGAGTAGTTACTCCTGGAGCTGACAGAGAATGAAGCTTCGTGTCAACGACAACAACCAACTTTGTATTGCAGGCATTCTTTGATTCTTTGTATTGCAGGCAGCAGGAAATGGAAGCGATACTGATTCTTTGTATTGCAGGCAGCAGGAAATGGAAGCGAGAACCCAAGGGTCTATCAGAAGAAATAGTAAACGATTCAATTTAACCAACTGACGCAATTGAGACAACCAGAAAACAGCAAAGCTGAGGAATTTTCATGAGAAGCGTTGAAAATCTCTCACAGTATCAATTGCAATTAGGAATATTAGCAGATATGATTTATCCACACAAGAGCAATTAAAAACAGATCGACCTAGAAATAAACATCATCGTAATGATGACAAGAAGGAAAATGAAGCCTGCATCTTGTTCGACTGACCTGGTTTGCTTCAAGACATTGGAAGTAGGCCCCCCTCGCTAGTTGTTTCTGGGCCTCCGAGAGGGAGGAGTCTTGCATTGCAATCTGATAGGCCAATTCTTTACTCTCACACTCGTTCGACGCAGCCGACCCACCATCTACACCCCCACCCTACAGAAAAATGACATCTTTCGGCTCTTTTCCACCCTCCCCCTAATTTCCTATTCCAATAGCAAAACTTCCAAAACGTCTTTAAACGTAATATTACGGCTCGATACATAATTTTATGAAGCAATATTTCTCAATAATTTATGTTCACTAAGCCACATTTTCGTTATTGTGAAAACTGGAAAAAAATATCTTCTGGTCTTTTCCTACGCAAAGACAAAACCGTCCAAAAAACTTACAAACTCGTGAATAGTTTTTGTTAATTTTCAACTTCGATCATTGAAACTTCCACAAATTGTCAAAAAAACGAATATCAGACGCGCGACGAAAGAACACAGATATATGTGCAAATATTCAGACCACAAACTTCCGACGGCATAAGGACAAAAACTGCATCAGGATATCAACTCGGAAACAATATCAATCAACCTCTACTCATGAAAACATCCACGATGGAGGAACCGCCCCTCTGACAGGAGCAAGCAACATACATACAAACATACATACATAACAAACAAACTATCCAGGAACAACTTATGCCCTCATCTTGGCAAACTAAGCGAGTTTGCGGCCAAATTCACAGCTTGTTCGTCTGGAATGGTCTGGTTTATGGTAAAAAACGATAGAAAGCTGCAAACAGTTGTGAGACAAAATTAAATGAAGATCAAATGAATCAATTCAAAAGCTTTATTCAAAGGCCAAATTCAAAAGCTTTTTTTTCAGACTTTTTTTGTTTCAAGGTCATCTGAAAATGTTTAAGTAGCGAGTTGTGACCAAACATTTGCTCAAAATTGGCAGATAATGTTTCTTGATTAATTCTGTCAATCTGAACTTTTTGCAACTTATTTAAATGAGTGAAACTGTCATTCAATCAATCAGCCTACCTGGCATTCCTCTAGGTCAGCTCGTAGCAGTCGGATGACGTTGGGACTCAGTCCCTTCTCTAACCCTTCTTGCAAGGCTGCCCTTTCAGAAGTGCAATCCCCGCCATCCCCACCACCCCCCTCGGGTACAACCACCTGAATAACAGGGGGGATCAAATAGCTGCATGAACTAGGCTTGTTATTTATTTAAAATATTTCAGCTATTTTCGATGAAGAAACCTGATTTTGGATTAAGAACCATTTAGAAAACTTCAATTACAATAAAATATGGACAAAAGTATTACAAAGTTTTTTAATGGATGTTCTCATATTTGACGAATGGAGGGGAAGGAAGGGTTTTTGGAGGTGGCGAGGATTCACGAAGAAAAAATACAACGCAAACAATTCGACAAACCAGATAGTCAGTGTGGGTTAGAAGTTGGATTACGGCTAGTTAGCGATACGAGTTGGAAAAATATTGACAATTAAAGATGACAATCTATTAACCAAACTATATCAGATTAAAGATAACAAACTTCAGAAGACGCCACATGATTAACTGAAGAAGATAACAGGCACAAAAATGGAACCTCAGACACTCAACTGATTTAAACTCAACTTACGAAGCCACATATACAAAGAAGAGATCCAATTTTCAAGACAAAGTAGTGAATTTCTACCGGAAATTACCAGAACCCACAACAAAAAACTGAAATAAAAGCCTCATCAAACCGAAGCGCCACATACATAGAGACCGAAACGACTGCTGACAGATGGAACAATTTATAAAATCCAAATCACTAAAATTACGATAAACGAATACTAATACATAAAATTAATTGATCTCGACGCAGGATAAACACGCACCGAAGACTCTTGCTGTTGACTGATGCATTTGTCCAAGCTGCTCTTGAGGGACTGGATGACATTGGACGAGTAGCCTTCTTTGATTGCCTCCTCCCACGCATTTCGCTCTCCTTCACACCCAGAAGCAGCCCCATCATTTCCATCAACCTGGCAACACAAACGCGCGCTACCCTCACCGTCAACTTATGCCATCCATATCATCGAGAACAATAGGAATGACATGCAGAACACACTTCCGAGAATCTAATTTTTCTCAAAAAACAAGGACAACAGCCAACAGGACGTAGAGCCCAAAAAACTGAGCGCAGAGCGAACACAAACGAAGCTCCTATAACGGCTACAACCTGCTACTACGGGATTCGAACATGCGTCTCCTGGTCCCGAACCACTTGCTTCAAACTTTTAGCCATAACATCACCACATACTACTTTCACGCATATTTCGTTCTTAAAAATCAGGAAGCAAAGAACGTTCTTAAACAAAGCGGATAACGCAGTCAAAAGGAAGTTTGAAACCTGTCTATAATCTTAAGGAAATCAAAAAAAAATATTTTAAAAAGAGTTATTACTCTGCCTAAACTCTGTTGGGATGAGTAAGACTCAAACTTCGATTAAAAAAAGACTCAGATGTTTTTTGTCCAACTTTTGATCAAACAAATCGAGCCAAAAATAGCGCATTTAATGATGAAATTTCGGGTCACTATTTTGCAAAACAACTTGCACCATAAGATTTCTGATGAATCGACCTCACTAAATATCTTCACTCCGTTCACCAACACTTAATAACTAGATCATACTGAGTGTGTATTTACAACGAAGATATCATAAAAATGGAAAAACTATTGACACAGATTCGAAGCTGCAATTCGCAAACAAAACCAAAAAAAATGGCAAATGGGAGCTTTCAAATAGCAAGAAAATGCCAAGAAAAATAAACAAACTGAAATATGGAAGAGCAAGAAATTCCTCCTTACGGGAATCGAACCTACTCCATCGATCAAGCGAACTCATTGCAGCAAAACAGTCAAAACTTGTAATAAAAAGCGCTTTGATCAACATATGAGCCACAAAATCATTCCTCGACACTTGAGATCTCGTTTGAGCGCATCAGATTGGATTCAATGTCATGCACTTAATTGAGATGAAGTGTATAAGAGAGACAAACCGAATTAGACAAGCATTTGTTCAGATCTTGTTGCAGTAAGTCTATCATATGCGCCGAGTACTTCTTCTCAACCGCCTCTTCCAGGGATTTCCTCTTACTGGAACAGTCTTTGGAATCCCCGCTGCCATCAACCGGGTCAACGACCACCTAACACAAAACTTACTTGTGGCTATTCCTATTATAGCTAAATAAAGCATACTTTTTATCAACTAGTTTTCTTCTGAGGTAACAATTTTTTAAAATGATTCATCTTGTTCATGCCAAACTCAATTTTCAGTTGTTTAAAATAGGTAAAATTCTTAAGTAACTTTTTTCAGAAAATGAGAAATAATATCGTTTTGGGCAATTAAAATTTCAAGATCATATCACAATTGAGTTCATTTCTGACCAGTTGTATGTGGGTTGTTCATCACCAAAAGGGTTGTTCATCACCAAATTCTATTCACTGCAATGAATGACCTAGCTTCCTATTAAGGAACAGATAGAGCAAGAAAGCAGACTAAAGAGCAGCAAAGATAAGCTTTCTCTTTCTCTCCTTTTCTGAACTCAAACTCAATCATACTGTCCAAATGAATCCAAAGTGATCTCCCGATTACATTTCAGCCCGATCTTAAGTTAAGCATCGCAGAAAACTAAAGGCATGTATCAAGCGTGACATCGCAAGAAAAAAGCAAGCGTGACGTCGCAAGAAATGAAAGAAAGTGAGCCAACAACCAGCTGCTCCTGGAGCTGACAGAGAATGAAGCTTCGTGTCAGGCAACGACAACAACAACCAATGATTCTTTGTAATGAAGGCAGCAGGAAATGGAAGCGAGAACCCAATGGTCTATCAGAAATTTTTTTTAACGATTCAATTAAACCAACTGAAGCAATTGAGACAACCAGAAAACACCAGTGCTGAGGAATTCTTATGAGAAGCGTTGAAATGCCCGCAGTATCAATTGCAATTAAGAATATTAGCATAGATGATTTCCCGCATAAAAGCAATAAAAAAACAGTATCGACCTAAGAATAACATCATCGTAATGATGACACTAAGCATACAAGATAAGCATAACTATAAAAAACTCATGCGATGAAAATCAAAAAAGAGTGTCAAACACACTTGTGATTTAGCTAGACACTGGTCCAAGTCTTTTTGGAGGAGATCTATGACATTAGAGGGGAAACCTCGCTCCCTCCCATCCTCCAGATCTTCCCTCTGTTTCAAACAATCCGAGGAGCTGGAAGAAGAAGCATCGTTCTATACAAACATATTCAATCTCCATTTTCTCTCTTATGCATACATTGAGTGAGGTTGGCTTCTTCTAAGAAACTGCTCTTTTTTTTCTACGGCAGCATTTTTGTCACAAAAAATGAGCTCTGAATTTATGCCATTGTGTCAGAAGCTGTAACGTTGCTCTCCCGTAACTGGACAAAAACATTTAAGAAAGTTTCCTTTTGCTAAATTAAATAAAATAAGGTAAATGTTTCTTTTTTTTAAAGCTGAACAGAAAAATTTGAAAAAATCAAAAGATTTTCGCCAAAACCAAGTTATTTTCAAAAACCTACAAAAGGTAAAGACTTAATCGATATCGCGAAGTTTGACATACTTCGCGATATTGGACAAAAACATTTAAGAAAGTTTCCTTTTGCTAAATTAAATAAAATAAGATAAATGTTTCCTTTTTTAAAGCTGAACAGGAAAATTTGAAAAAATGAAAAGATTTTCGCCAAAACCAAGTGATTTTCAAAAACCTACAAAAAGTAAAGACTTAATCGATATCGCGAAGTTTGACATACTTCGCGATATTGGACAAAACATTTACGAAAGTTTCCTTTTGCTAAATTAAATAAAATAAGATAAATGTTTCCTTTTTTAAAGCTGAACAGGAAAATTTGAAAAAATCAAAAGATTTTCGCCAAAACCAAGTGATTTTCAAAAACCTACAAAAAGTGAAGACTTAATCGATATCGCGAAGTTTGACATACTTCGCGATATTGGACAAAAACATTTAAGAAAGTTTCCTTTTGCTAAATTAAATAAAATAAGATAAATGTTTCCTTTTTTAAAGCTGAACAGGAAAATTTGAAAAAATCAAAAGATTTTCGCCAAAACCAAGTGATTTTCAAAAACCTACAAAAAGTGAAGACTTAATCGATATCGTGAAGTTTGACATACTTCGCGATATTGGACAAAAACATTTAAGAAAGTTTCCTTTTGCTGAATTAAATAAAATAAGATAAATGTTTCCTTTTTTAAAGCTGAACAGAAAAATTTGAAAAAATCAAAAGATTTTCCCCAAAGCCAAGTGATTTTCAAAAACCTACAAAAGGTAAACACTTAATCAATATCGCGAAGTTTGACATACTTCGCGATATTGGACAAAAACATTTAAGAAAGTTTCCTTTTGCTGAATTAAATAAAATAAGATAAATGTTTCCTTTTTTGAATCTGAACAGGAAAATTTGAAAAAATCAAAAGATTTTCGCCAAAGCCAAGTGATTTTCAAAAACCTACAAAAGGTAAAGACTTAATCCATATCGCGAAGTTTGACATACTTTGCAGCACCAGAGCATGAACTTGCGCATAATTGCTACCATGAAAACGAAACCAGATGTTGGAAAGGTCTACAACTCAACAAATACTCAGACTAGAACAACATGACAACAATAAATACATAGTCCTTATCAATTGAAGTAGCCTATTTTCAACTTATGACGCACAAACTAACCATAACCAAAGAGACCCCACACTCGAAATCACGACTTAAACATGCATCACCATGTCAATAACGACCTCAATTAACAGAAACAAATTGTAACGCCAACTAGTAGTGAAACAATTGCCGTCATGACAACAGCATCATCTAACAAGTATCAACAGATTTGATCTCCTGCGACCGCAGATAATTTAGTAGCTTTGGATGAGCCAGGAGGATAAATATTTCAAAACATTCGCCATTATTGAACTAGGAAACATTAACAATAGAAGGTTTCCAGTAGACTATCGAGATGATATCATAGCCCCATTAGGAATCACAATAATCAATAATGCTCATATCTATCAATCTACTCAGTGTCTAACCTCAGTATATTCTGCTTTACAATCGAGAAGCGCCTTTTGTAGAACATCTATCAGTGACTCATCTCCTCCTTGACTTATGACCTTGTCTAGTGCATCCTGCTGCTTAGCACATGCGGTCGCAACTGAACCCCCACTCGACTCCTACAACATATTCCACTTAAGGAAGCTTACATTCTCAACCTGTCTCACTCAATCAAACAATTCAAGCACCATGGAAGAAATCATTTAAAACAAAACCTTCGCCAACAGACAGTTGGGAAGCTATTAACGAACAAAAAACTATTCCTGAGCTTCATGAAAAAAAAATTTCTCAACTTTTGAAAACTTTAGATCAAATGAAAACAGCCAACTGACAGTTGGAAAAGTAATTAACACAAGGAAATAGAAAAAAATGGAGTTGTTTTTTGAAATAATCTCAACTTCTGAAAAAAAATAGATGCCCTTCAGGCTCTTTGAATTTCTAGAACAAATTATGATTGGCCCTTTTTTGATAAAAATAACCCAATTTGAAATCACTGGATCAATAGATAAAATTTCGCTGGGATATCTGATGATTCCACTTAAACTACTATTTCAAACCTGATAGCATTAAGACTGGCATGAAGCATTAAGACTGGCATAAACATAAAAAACTATTGGAAACACTGAATGATTTTTTTTTAAAAAAGTTCTCATGAAAATTTCTCTCTTTTATGGCAGCTATTTCACTTGCAAGAACGATGAATGACTCGCAGATGCAACTAATGCTACGATTTGTCATAAAATTTTAGAAAAACCCTGAGCCAAGAAAAATCACAATTCTTGACGATACTGATGAATATTCTTTTCGTTTCGGATTGAAAAACACATCACTGAAAATTGAAAATGACTTAAAATTAGAAAAAATTCTGTTGAAATTTAACACATCAATTTTGTCTTTTCTTTTTAACTGAACCGTTCCCACAATTCAGAAAAAATCTAGATTTGCCAACAGACAGCACTCGATTAGGCTGAATATCTAAATCACATATTACATAAAAAATAAATTGAATTTTATTTTAAGGCAAAAACATATCCAATCGAAGATTGGAAAAAGGTAATGAACTCAAGTAAACATAAAAAATAGATGCCCTTTAAGCCTTTTGAATTTCTAGAACAATTTCTGATTGGCGCTTTTTAGATACCATGAACCCAACTTGAGAAAACTGGATCAATCGGTAAAGTTTTTATTCCGCTGGGAAATCTTAAAAATAAATTCCACTTTCGCAACTAGAAATCGTTATAAAAATAACTTGATCCGAAAAAAAGCGACATATAAAGTTACCTTGATCCGAAAAAAAATCGAAAACCAAGAAATTTTTTTACTGAAAAGCCTAACAGTGCTTCCTTATACACCATTGCACTTTAATAAACGAAAATCATCTTTCAGAATCTAAACCGACAGCTTCACTCGAAAACCAGAAAGCCGAAAAATAATCGGCAAAAAAAATTAAAATTCGATCGCTTCATATACTTCTGTTAGCAGCCTAAATATAACGATGTGTAAGAACTAAAAGGGTTGAATTTTATCGTTTAAAAAACAATTGAATGCAAGCTGGCTAAAAAAGAGACCAAAAAAACGACGGAAAAATGAAGACCGAAATACAGATAGCAAAAAATTATATCCCAGACTTTGGAACCTCAATCAGGCCCTTTTAATTCTACACTAAGTGGGCAGCTCCAAGGATGTAATTGATATTTTATAAGAAAGCAAGATCAAGTTGTTTCTAGAGATTTACATAAAGGCAAGCAGCTCTATAAAGTAAATACACTAAGCTGATCGCAATAGTAACACGAAAAATAGTTAATTAGAAAAAGTCAAGCCCTGATTATACAACATTTGTTCTTTCATGTCTAAGAAACAACTCATTTAATTTCACAAAAAATGGATACTGTCCTTTTGACTCATGGTTACGAGACCTAGAAAACAAGTATTTGACGCTCTAAACATTGAAAAAACTATTAAAAACTATCGAAAAGACTTTGAAAAAGTTCAGAGGCTGCCTTTAAAAATTTGTATCTCAATTCATTTTGAATGTTAACTTGAAATGCCTATTTATTGTTCGTACTTCTGTTTTAACCTCATTTCATCTGTTTGAAATTTCAACTGTCCTATTGCTAACGAAAACTTATAACTTCCAAATCTGAATAACACAATCGAAGTAGATGAGAGCTCCGACCAAAAGAGTGGAAAACTGAACAACATGAACACTCATCGCTTCAATCGAGAGATCTATCCAACGCATCTGTCCATCACTATTGAACCTTATCACAGCAAAACAGTAACTCATTCCATATAGCCCTAACGAGCACTTCCAGTTTAAAATCAAGTTTTTCCATAACTAGTCTCGCATTAAATGAACTTCTGGTTCGATTCCCGGCCGATGATTGCTTTGAAAAACAGATGATTCAACTTCCTGAAATTCCAGTACGTCTATTCAAAACGTCGGCAGGTCCAAAATGATACGTAACGTAAAAAAACATCAACAAAAAATAACAAAAGCTATTTGAATAATTCAAAGCACTTTCATCGTTTCAAGACACAGGAGTCTCGGATCATAGACTAAAACGGTCTCAGCCTCATTCTCACGGCAATATTTGCAGCCTGCTCATGGTAACAACAACCAATTACAGCAAACTGGTATATCAATCTCTTTAACCAATTTAGGTCGAGACAATTTGGTCTACCGATTGAGATACTGAAACTAAAAGAGCTCATACTAGCATTCTTGAGACATCCGTTCGAGTCCTCAACACTGCGTGACGTAATGGAACATCAAACTTCGCTATTTGATTAGTTTTTATAACTGTAATAAAACTTCAATATATATCATTCTATTGTTTGATCTAACCTCAGTATTGTGTGCTTTACAGTCAAGTAGAGCCCGTCTTAGAACATCTAGAAGATAGTCTTCTACTCCTTGTCTCATAGCCTTGTCTAGATCTTCTTGCTGCTTAGCACATGCAGCGCCTGAACCACCCGACTCACTAGAGTCCTAAACATACCACTCAGACTTACTGACTTCTTTATAAGTAGAATTTCTCATACCATAAGAACGAAAGGCCTAAAAAATTATGCTAGCTTAGCAGACTTCAGAATTTGAACAAATAGGCTAACAAATCTGTCAGTTTTGGAAACTTTAAATGAAACTGATTTAATGAACATTTTCCAACATTCCATCTTTTTGTCGCTCGAACAGTGCTGATTTAAACTAACACTACATAACGAAAAAAAAATTGAAATCCACGTTTTTTTTTCTCATTAGACATTAGACAAAAATGATGAGAAAAAACCTTCGCGTCCATTTTCTCTTGTCTAGAAAAATTTCTTTCTGCTAAAATTTCCGATTTGACTTACACATTTTCACATTTTGCAAGGTATTCACACATTTTGCCCCAAACAAAAACTTTTGGCAGCTTTCGCCCCATAAATTGTATCTTGATAAGGCCGCTAGTAGTTAACTCCAAAGCAAACAAATACGTGAGTGCTAGTGGCACAAACTAATGGAAATGTTTGGACCGCATATGTCCTGGTAGAGTGAATCCATCAAGCACGAAGGACCGAATGCGCGAAAATTCTGCGAGCCACTCAGAATTACCTATTCATAAATTAGAAAGAAACAAAAGATAAAATCAGTCAGTTTCGGACGATTTAAGGCGCATTGATTGTGAAGAGTAATAACATGAAAAATTAAATGAAAAAAAAAATGAATTGTTTTTAGTTTGAGATTTTTGCGAAAATCATCCACCCACGCCATAAGTACAAAGTAATAGATTTCACTCCTAGTTACAAATCCTTTCTTCAACCAATTTGGAACCATTTCTAAGACGGTTTAAATCTCCGCTTACGCGCGAAACATATCGCTCGTCAATTGTCCCAAATTGGCCAAAAATGCCAATCTTTAAACCCGTATAACTTTACGAAAATTGATTACAGGTGAAATATCTTTTCAAATTTAAGCTCAGGACAACAACAGCTTTTGAGTAATATTTAAAAATTCCGCCAAAAATGGCTAGGTAAAAAGTCGAAATTTGTCTGAAGAAAAAACCCACCCTGAGCACAAATATTCCGTTACTTTCATTACCAAAGTGAAGTTTGGGTCTTTTAGCAGACTTTGCTTGAAAGCTTTATAAAGGGACCAAAATTTGGCGCATAACTGATTGACCTAAGTAAAAAGTCATTACTCATTGACCAAAGTCATTGATGATTGTGCAACATTCCATACGCACTCAGCAGATATTTCAACAGCTACCAAATATGTCACTCAGACTTGAAGAAAGAGCTGAAACTCATCGAGGAAAAGCATCTCAACTTGCTCAACAGATTGATACGGGAGGTAACCCCTGAGCTATGACCTTTACTGAACTGTCTTGATGCAAAGTCGAAGTTTTTGAATTTTTTGTTTCCCAAAATGAAGCTAAAAAAACTCCAAAAACTAATTTTACCTGCTTGAAATTAAGTTTTAAGGTAATAAATTAGGCATTTCAGCTGTTGTAAGCCTGATCGCTTGCTTTACTCGCTCGAATTTTCGAAAAATCAAAAATTTCACACCGGTTTTTCTCGACACTAGAAAGTTTCGGGAATTTTTGAATGTGGTTTCAATCACGACTGAAAGGGCTTTAATATGATATAATGCCCAACCCAGTCCGATGATTTTTTTGGTACCTGATTTTCCGTGAAAAAAAAACTAAAACACACCCGAATACAAAGAAACCTTGGTACCCGAAATGGTAGGAACAATGTCCTCTACGTGATTCGAACCTCCGTCTTCGGACACCCAACTACTGAAGTCTACTACCACACAGACCTGAGCCACTGAAACTTACAGAAACCAAACGCTAGTCACTAAAAATTGAGAAAACATGCTATTAAACTACCAATACTAACAAAAAAGTTACCAAAATGAGCAGTTATATTGGTGAGTTAGTTTGGAAACAAGAGGAGTTCTAAATATGACACTGCGCTCGATGTGTAAACAAAACAAATGACGAGCAATTTTTGGGAAATTTTCCCGATAATTCATCACGACCTATACACAAAGGCGAAGCTTTAACTTCGTCTCAAACAAGCAAAACAAAACGGAAAAGGGTCAAGAAGTGAAAAAGATGAAACTAATAAAAATCTGCTATCTGCTGGATTACCACGTCCTAGCATCTGCGCCAATGGCACTTAACTACCTATAAACACTAACCACCAAACAACCAGATACAGTGATTTAATGTTATACAGCAAAACTAAACCAGATAATGTTTCAGCTGCAAAAGTGCCACCAATAAATGAGGCTTTTATTTGCATTAGAAAAATGCGGAATTCGTAATTTACTACAAGGCTCCGCCTGAGTAAGAAGTGCCACTTATTAACATCGTTTTTTACACTCAAAAGGCGAACAGAAGCTCTAAAAAACCAAAAAACATGCCTTAAAAGTAAACTTAAAAAGCGGGAATGCCGCGGAGACAACGGGAACTAAACCGTACCTTCAAAGAGGTTCTTTACTCAACCAGTTGGCCACAAAGACTATCTAAGCTACATGCACGCATACTTTCTCTTAGATATCAGGCAGCTATAAAAAAGTGCCGAAATCTGCTCAAATATTACGCATAAACTTTCTTTGCGCTAAAGCGTCACTTCACTTCGCTTGAAAAAAGGCTATACCATACGCTTGTGTTATATTTCGTTAGTTGAGAGCAGATAGCTTTATGTTTACCTCGGTACAAGTGGTCTTTATGTTCTCTTTCAGAATTTGAACAAGGAAGGTTTTTCCAGTTGCCTCGGCATCTGCCAGTTCCTTTTCCAGCGCCAAACACTCCTCGCTTTTCGCAGTACGTTTAAGTCGCTCATACTCCTGTCCAAAGTTAAGAGCTTTTTAAAAAATAAAATATCTAAGCTTCGAAACAATATTCCATAAAGCAACCTTTATTCGATTATTCAAGTCAAGTTATGCCCAATGGAATCGGAATCAAGCTATACATTCTGAAACCTTTCAAATGCTTTGAAAACATTAATAAAAAAATGCCAATTAATTGCAATCAATCAAACCAGTGAGAGATTTAGACCACACAGTATTACTCTAGCGTACAAGTGGGTTAGCTGCAAGCGTAAGAAGAAGCCAAAGCATTAATATAAATACAGAAGCGAAGTTGCAATCACCATGACACACAGCAAAAAAAAACAATGACGAAGCAAAAAGAATAACAAATACTTTAAAATTTTTTAAATTGTTATATGAAACTTAACATCTTACTGTAAATATTTTTAAAAAATTACGCTGCACCAGCAATTGAAATTCTGCCCTGATTTGCAAAACATAAAAAATGCTTTATCGATTATTTAACCGCAACTTGTAGTCCACATTTAAAAAGAAACGAAAATTGTTGCTGCTCAAATGAACAAAAAAGACAACCAACAATTTGAAAGCTACAATCAGCACCACCTCGAATTCACTAGCTACTTAAACGAAGCAGCAATACTTATTTCTGGTTTAAACCCCTGACAAACTTTCTGCGCCGAAATTTGCAATTCGCAATATGGTATACTTAAATTTGCAATATGGTATACGCCATATATTGCAGAAAGACAAGATGTTTTGCCAATTAAAGCCAACGAGAGAAGAACGTTTGAGTTTTAGCAGAAAAACAAACAAAAACATAAGACCCTCTAATATGTGACATCGTTTCTCTTCGAAAAACACGTTAACCGATGAAATCTAGAAACACTAAAAGACGTTAGCTGTCTTACTAAAAACTTCCGTCGACGCTGGTAATTAGACATACTAGTATGATTAAAACCGAGATGTCGATCTATGAGACTCAGCTGGAGAGTTTTTTAGGCTTTCTTTGTTCCATATTAAACCTTTCTATTTTGCTATCTACATCGATTCTACTGCCTTGTGTTCGGTTCGTGAAATTCAATCAGGCGTTTGAAATTATCTCTTGGGATAATACTCCTTAACACTTGTTGCCAAATTGAGCAAGTCACAAACCGACGTGATCAAGAAGTATTCTACTATACCTATTTTGCACCAAGCTGATTCCAAAAAAAAACACGCCAAAAAGCCATTATAGTTCATGAAATGTGGTAACTGGATCCAAACACAAACGCAACTTTGAAGAGCATACGTGCTTTCTGAAAGAAGTTCTCAACGCCCCTCTTTTGGTAGACAAAAAATTCAGCAAACATGATACGGATAAACTTTCGGAATAAGCCTCGAATTAACCAAAACTCGGTTACTCGGATTCGAATCTGCGACCTACTGCAATCAAGAGATTTAGAGTCTCACGCACTATCCTTTCAGCCACTCAAGCTTAACAACCGACAAGCACAAGTCACAAATAAAGCAGCTACATATGCTAACAAATTGCCAATGCGATTCAGCACCAAATACAAATACTTAATTTTGCATTAATAATTCGGAATATAACAAATTGAAGGCATCCACACAAACTTTGCATGTAACAAATCGCAAAACATAAAGCCACATTATGTATAAATTATGCATTAAAAAAATTGGGAGATATATTGAGTTAGAAAATGTCTGAAATTGAGTTTTCATTATTATTATGTTGTTTTTTTTTCGGTTTATTTGATGAATTAAAAATGCATCAACTGTGTTATCTTATTATCATTCGAATTTCCCAGCACATGCTATCAAAAAGCTGAAAGATGCCCCACCATTATTGGGGTGCCGCGCCATAAAATTGCCGCACCAATAATTGCGACTCAGTTTGGAAAAAAAGGTTCGTACTAATACACTAGCTTCGCAAGGGTGGATAAAGAAACATTCACAACCTATGACTACCAACCTCCACACAGTCAGTCTGTATTTTATCCTCTATCATCTGCAGCATAAACTCAGGCTTGTTTCTGGCTTTAGCGTCTTCCAGTTCTTTTTCTAGTTGTTCACATTCGTCGCTCTTAGCGTCACGTTCAGTACGCTTAACCTCCTGCAAAAGTTCTCTATCATTTTTCTATGAGGACTTTCAGAGGTCAAGAAATATACTTGCTGTGCCAATTTTCGAAGAAAGTGTCGAATATCTTTGCTTGGGTGGTTTTTTATTCACTCAATTTTCGACTTTTTAACAAAGCATTTTTGAAGGAATGAGCCTAAATTTGAAAATTTATTTTACCTGTGATCATTTTTCATGAAGATGTGGGGGTTTGAAAATTGCTTGTTTAGCCAGTTTGAGATAATTACCGCGCGATATACTCCATTTTTACAGCACGCGTAAGCAGCGGGTTAATGCGTTCTAAATTTAATTGAGTCAAGGCATTTACTCCTATTATTAGAATAAAGACGCTAAATACGTCCCTTTCTAGTTTACATTAGCGAGCCGGGGATAAATTGAAGAAATAAAAACTCTTTCAGTTTTTAATATATTTTCAATTATTTTATCAATTTTTCAACCAAAAATAAACTGTTAAATTGGTCTTAAAAAGTGGTCGAAACAATCAGGGCTTCATATACGCGGAGCAGTCTTGTTGATCGTTTATTAATTCAGCTCTTTCTCCGGCAACAAGAATTATAATTCAAACAAGACTGCTCGTACATCAGGACGAAGCCCTGAATGTTCTTACTGCGTTATACGGCCAATTTAAAACTTTTTTTTGCATTTTTTCCGTCAGTGTAGAGAAATAACACAGGGTTGTATTTAGCGTCTCGTATCCTAATAATAATACCAATGACTTGTATTCAGTTTGGAATGCATTAATCTGCCGGTTACACATGTTACAAGAACGCAAAAATTGCGCGTTAAGTATCCCAAATTGGCCCAATTAGCAATTTTAAAACCCCTGTATATTTACGAAAAACGATCACAAGTGAAAAATCTTTTTGAATTTGAGCTCCAGAAAACAATATAAATCAGATAAAAAACCTTCGTCAAAAAGCTTAGTTAAGGAGTAAATTGACTGAATAAAAAAGACCGACAAGCATAAAAATTCCGCACTTCAAAAGTCGGAACAATTTTAGTTATTACGAACAACCTTCAATAAGATTCACTCATTTGACCGAAATGTAAATAAATAAATTCCGCCTATTCGATTGTTTTCAGACACTACCCTCTATCACTATCACTGACTTGACTATCTTAGAAAAAATTCATTTCGATGCATTAACTTGGAAAACTGAACCGAAACAGAACTTTTTTACGCAGACTAATCTGCACTGAATCACGAATTACGCCAAAATACAACAGATGGTCAACAGGCAACAAAAAATCTAAATCTCACCTAGAGATCTCAGGAAATATCCACATGTTAGGCTCCTCAGTTGACAAAAAAACAACACGAAATGAAACTGAAAAAACGTGGCGAAGGTTTATGGGCAAAGATACAATCCAAGCTATGAAAGAGCAGCTTTAGTAACATACAACAAGCCTAAATAGTAGAAGATTGTTGAGAAAGAGGATTTTAATTCCGTGCAACAGGCAGGGGCTACCGCTTTTAATCTGCATACAGGGGCTACCGCTTCAATTGGAGCAACAAAAAGGCCGACCATTCAAAGGAAAGCAAGAGAAAACATTCATGAAAGATATGAGATGATAACATGAACCCAACTTGAGAAAACTGGATCAATCGGTAAAGTTTTTATTTCGCTGGGAAATCTTAAAAATAAATTCCACTTTCGCCATTAGAAATCGTTCACGTTTTTTCGCGCCCCTTCCAATTAGTATTTACGTCACTTTCAGCAGATGAATTTCAATTGAACTCAAAAGTGCATTATACCTAAGTGCATCAATATTGTTAGACTTTTTCCTGAAAAAAAATAAGCAAGACCTATATAGGAGTCGTCACTACGTTCATTACTCTTAATAATTAATAATAAATCACAATAAACTGTTTACAGACTAGTATACCAGAAATGATTGTTATAATATCGCATGTTTTCTCAATTTCCCAGCTCCGATTTTCATCGGAACCTACCAAAACTCAAAAAGGTACGAGCTTTATTAAGAAAAGAAAAACAAAAGGAAGTATGAAATATAACCTGTTGAGATGTTGCATTAAATTTCCTCGCTGTATATTATGTTCAATAGATCTTCATTGTTTAAAAAGAAGTTATCTAAGAAAAATGATTTTTTCACTTCTAGGCTGATTCGGACATTTACTGGAAAAACTCATCCCAGAGTACTCCATAGTTAAAACAGTGTAACAGTGCAGTTTTATTCTTTTATGCAGTGAGTTCTTGGTTCTGAAAGTTGTGCCGAATCTTATTGAGTCGAATTTACGCTTACAGAAAAATATTAAATTTACGCTAAAGAGAACCGAAACGTGAGTAACAAAACAAAACATTGACTTTGGTTATTTCTAAGTACCTTAAGCATTTCGTGTTTTCAATATCACTTAGATTCTTTCCCGCTTCAAAAACCCTTTTCTGTTTTTATTTTAGTGATTGGTATTCAGGTTTAGAATGTTTTCGTTCAGCCAAATTTCAGTTTCTTTTAGTGCTGTTTGATGCTCCTGAGTTAATGAGTCACTTGTACTTAGATTGCAGTGATATCAGCATAAAAAACCTGTTCTGTTGACCTGATGATAAATCATTTATGAAGACAATGAAAAGGAAAGGACTAAAACTGAGCCATGCGGCACACCTTTAGATATTTTTGTTGATGATTTTTTATTGATTATTACTAAGATACGCAAAGAGTGTGACACGTTTTTAAGATATGATATCCGAAGTTCAAAATTGGGACCACGCAGTCCATGAGAGTAACATTTGTCAAGAAACTATATATGGTCGACCATTTCGAAAGCTTTTTTACAAATCAAGAAAAGTACATTGTGTTGATTTCTTTTGATTATCCCACTCAAGTTAAACCGTTTCGATAAGGGACAGTACGGCATCAATTGAAATTTGATTTTGTCTGAAGCCAAATTATGTAATCTGTAGAATGTTGTGATTCTCAAAAGAACTGGTTTATTCTATTGTATATTAGTTTTTCAACTACTTTACCAAAGCGGGAAGTAAAGAAATCGGTCTGCAATTTTCTCATTTTTGTTTAGTTCTTTCCTTATTAATAGTCTTTATGTTTCCAGATTTCAGAAACGCTAGGAAATAGACTTTTTCAAAACTCTTCCCGCACAGGGGCAATTTGGTTAATTATTGATTTTAAGAAATCATAATTCAAATTGAAACAACTTTACTATATTTTGATTTTACAATTTGATCTCAAAAATTTTAGCCTTTTCAACCGGCCTTAAAAATATTGTTAAAAAATTTGTCCTCACTTCTAGGCTACGCTGCTAACTTTTCTCCTATGAATAAAAAAACAAATATTGAAGCTTTCGACTTCTAATTCATCGATAACTTCGTATTTAACTTTTGGTTTACTTTTACCGACTAAAACATTGACTTGATTGAAAAATTCCCTGCAATTGGTTTTAGCCTCTCTCTCAAATTCATAGTGTGATCTTCTCTTGACCCGTATCAGATGCTCAACTTTTTTGCTTGCTCATTATATCTTTCACGGTTTATGGAAGTTTTCACTTTGCAAGATAGTTGCTAAATTCTAGGTTTCTTTTATATTAGGTTTTTAATGGTGTTATCTACCCATACTTTTTCAAATTTTATTCTTGATTTCTTTTTTGGCAGAAAATTGTCTAATAATTCTGTTAAAACCATATCAATTTTCAGTCAATATGTATGAAGTTGAAACGATAATCTGATAGCTTTATCCTGAGTTCTTCTCTGGGATTCTGTAAAAACTTAAAGTTAGTCAGTTTGTTACTATTGACTGCATCTAAAAGTAACTTGAGTTGTTGATTCAAGTATTGTGTTAGTTTCATATAAGACAGAAACCAAACTGAGTTCAATTTTCGAAACTAGAAATCGATCAGGTTTTTTGTGATCTTTAAATTTTGCTCGATAGTTGAGGTTAAGAAAGGAAATGAACTCAAGTTAAAAGTAAATCAAAAATCAAACCGCGAAAAATCAAATAAGATCGTGAAATTTTATGACTTTCTTGAAAAAAATCATCATGACCTAAATCAGTCTTCAAAACGTTCATCGACTTTTAAAAAACCTGCTGAACAGATAAACAGACCCAACTTTGCGAGCGAGTGCATACAGACCCAAAAAAAGACCAAGCCGGAAATGCCTTAAGAAATCCTGTCAGCCACACTGCAAGTCAATCACGCAGCTGCAAAAGTACCTCCCGACCCAGGTGAGATTCTATGATCGGAAACGCAACAGTTCTAATTATATTCTGAACAACTCTTATAGTTCTAGCTAAAGGAATTTTAAGCAAGTTGCAGCTTTCTGAAACACTTCCAACTTTCATCAGGTTTTTGTATTACGGTACAAGTTGATGAAAGTTCGAGTGTTTCAGAAAGCTGCAACTTGCTTAAAATTCCTTTAGCTATACTTGAATCAACAACGAAGTTCAATATTCGAAATACTCTGAACTACAATTCAGTACAAAAAAAATTAAATTTCAAACCAAGACTAGTTCTGGCAAAATTATAGCAGTGTGCCCCTGCTCTAATTCTGTGCTACCGCTGGATAAACTATTGGATGAAAATTATCAGTTCTACGAGCTCTTTTATTCGTGTTGTGCAAAAAATAACTCCCCACATTGAAAGCCAATGTCGAACTTTCAACTAAAAAAATACATTTTTCCAACTAATCTCATTGGAAGCAATTGTCACGCGTTCTGCAGATATTACTATTTTCCCATTCTTCTTGCAAAATTGCTGTACTTATAATTTACAGATTGTTTCGAAGTTATATACACGAAGTTGTATACCGATTGTATACACGAAGATTCTCAGCTCTTTAGGCTTTTATTCCCTTCGATTGATCTGAAAATGTCAAAAAAGCAATAAAAAAAAGCCCAGTTAAATGCCGTAGTTTTTGCGGAAATTGAACCTGGTTGAGCAGCAAATTTGGAAATTGTTAATGAGCAGAGCTACTAGAAAAGATATTTTCATGATGACAATGAGCAGTAGAGGTTTTTTTTTTTGGGGGGGGGGGGGGGCAAGTCGTAGCTTTCTCAGGGATTCGACCCCCTGCCGACCCGAAGGGTCCATCCTTTGTAGTATCCCTTTGTAGATACCCATTTTTGGCTGAAAGGCCCTCAAATCTTTCAAGAGGCGCATTGGGCGCCAATATATACTAATTTTGAGGGGGAAGCGCGCACCAAAAAAAAAACGCAATTTTTAAATCAAAACTTTCCATAAAGTGCCTGAAAACGCAAACGCTGTTTTTCAAAGTTTAGCCTAGGGTGCAGACATATTGGTCAAAATAGGGACTTTATTATAGAAAAATTTTAAGAACTCGGAAAATCAATTAGATCGAAATAAAAAAAAGTCGATAAACTTTTTGAAAATCCCCCTCGAGAAAATCCTAGATCCGCCTCTGACAATAATAATATTGCAAGCAGGGGCAGATTTAGGGGGGGGGGGGGGCGAACGCCCCCCCCCCCCTCAGGGATTCGACCCCCTGCCGACCCAAAGGATCCCCCTTCGGTACTTTTTAAGAAATCCATTTTTGGCCGACCGACCATAAAAATTTTCTAAAGGCGCCAATATATACTAACTTTGAGGGGGGAGCGCGCGCCGAAAAAACGCGATTTTTCTGGTCAAAATTTTCCAAAAAGTGCCTAAAAACGCCTTTTTTGGACTGTTTTTCAAAATTTTGCCTGCGGCGCAGAAAGTTTGGCCAAAACAGGGACTAAAACGTTCTTAGGGAGAGCTCGAAAAATCAATTCGGTCGGTCAAAATTTCGCAAAAAAGGTCGACAAAATTTTCAAACATTTTTTGAAAATCCGCCCCCTCCTCGAAAAAATCCTAGATCCGCCCCTGATTGCAAGGCAAACCACGGGGAGTATTTTTTTATCACTCAATTGTGCCAACCTGCATCGCTTGATCTGTATAATTTAACATTTCTGATTGCTTTCTGAGAAATTTATGAATATAAGATTTGGGGAATTTCAAAATGTTTTAATTTCATTGAATCCATAATGCTTAAGGTTTTAGATGGTTTATCGATAACTTCTACGGTTGCTACAAAAATAGACGTAACTACGTATATTTCAAAATCTACGCTATATAAATGCAATTTTTTTTTACTATTTTATCGAAAATGTGGACGCGTTATATCACACAGCGTCTTGGTTGTTCTTAAATCAGAATTCATCCTGTTTTAAATCATAACACTTCAAAATTGCGCAGGAAAAATTTTGTCCGAGACAAAAATAGTTTGTAAAAAAATTCTAACTGTCAAAACACTGACTCATAAAATATTAACGATTATAAATCACTTGCTAATCGCTAGAATTATTACCTTGCACTTGGAATTAAAATTTTCCTTGAATGTCTTTTCCAGGAATGCGTCGCCATCTTTCACTGCATCTTCGAATCTAACTTTTAACTCTCTGCATTCCGCACTTTCAGCGGCACGAATTATTCTCCGGTGCAGCTTGAAATGCAAAAAAAAAACACATTTTTTCAGCATTTAAAGATCAGTTTGAAAAAAATAGTTCTTTCATTTTTCGAAGCTTTTTTACCTCCTTTAAAAAACACAAAAACCTTGCATTAAAAAACTGATGAGCAATAGGGCTCTTGAGGTTTAACTCGAGAAACCAAAACGAAGCAGAAGTTGCCTTGACAATAAACCAATTATTGATTCCAGAATACAACCTCAATTTCAGACACAGATGTAAACTTTCACTTCACATACACAAGCGACAAAATGCTGCTACATGATGGGGAAATAAGCTGCCTAAAAAATCAATAAAACAATTCTTAAGAAAACCGGGAAACACTGGTATTCGACATCAATACTCCGACCTCTGAGTTAATATGCACTGAGTAAAGCATAGTGACCTTGGACTATGACAAAAGCTCTGCTGGTGTAGCAACTCTAATCATGGAGTGCGGTCTATAAAAAGTCAATCAGGTATTCATACTCGTCAGCGAATAGAAGACACTCTATTAATCAACAAGAATCGATATGAAAAAACGTACGCAAGATTAATTACTAGTTATTCTTGCGCATGTTACTTTTTCTCGTCTCAATTCTTATTGGTTAAAATGAGATTTGTCTACTCAGTGACAACGACAAGTATGAATACGCGGTTGTCTAATTATTGCTATGTAGCCCTAATTATGCTCTGACGGCTCGTCTTTTGAAAGTTTATAGCAAATCACACTCGCATTCACAAAACAGTTTTTAGTATACCACTCCAAACTTGCACAACAAAAAAAAAACAATTGTTTGGACTCAAACTCAGACACTATAACAGATATCCGTTGCGGGAGGTATAAAGAAACTCCAGTCAAACCTAGCTAATCGAACTAAATGTTTATAAATATTATTTTACTCTTGTGCTGGGTGTTTTTTTCTTGACCTTGACTACCTCAAGAAAGCTCATTGGGAGTAAAGTATGATATCATATGAAAACCTTTCAGCCGGGATTTGGATTACAAAAAATTAAACACAGAAGCGAATCTGCATCCTCAAAGACAAGCTAGAAAACGGTAAAAAGTAGCCCTAAAAGGTCAAAAAAGGAAAAGAAAATTAAAACCCTAATATGTACCGGAAACGAAACCCGATCTAGATTAGGAGTCTCACGTCCTAACGTCTGCGCCTGGTCACTTCATAATCATCAAATACTAGCCACCAATTAACCAGATAAAAAGATAATGCTAATGCAACAAAAGTAAACCAGATATAAGGCTATTGCTGCAAAGGAGCCAAATAAATGAGCACAAATATTTGCGACTTGAGTCAACAAAAAGTGAAATTCGTAATATGACACTGCGCATGATGACACTGAATTTGGCCAATAGAAATCTAAATCAAATGTTTAACAATATTTCATTGCACAGTTAACAGAAAAAACTGTTTGAAAAAATTTCGACGTTATAATTGATATATTTTTTTGATAACAACCCAATTTGAGAAACGTGTATCAAAAGACAAAGATTTCATTCCACTGAGAAATCTGGATATTAAAATTTAACTTCAAAATGGGAAAACGATCACGTTTTTTGTGACCTTTGCACTTGTGCTGTTCGATAGAGGAGTTTGCCTTCAACCAAAGGATATGAACTGAACTTAATTAAAAATCAAAAGGCAAACCGCGAAAATCAGACAGATTAGAGCTTGAAAAAAGTTAATAACTTTTCTTGAAAAAAAAAATTGCCACGACCTATACAACAGTGTTCACTACGTTCATCAACTCTAATAAAATGGCATCTTATTATTGACAATTTTTCATCCAATTTAATAGCCCTTTTCTAAAAACTACGAAAAAATATTAAAGACTTCAAGAACAAGATTGAACTTTTTGATAAATTCTTAGATCAAATCAGAAAACTCGATCAATACGAAATTTTTTACTACTCTTGGAAATCCAAAAATTAAAATCTACTTTCGAACCTAAAAGTCATAGTTTTTTCGTTCCATTTTTTTAGTGGAAAGCAATATTTGCTTGTTACAATCATAGAAAACAGACAGGTGGAAAAAAGTCGATGAAAACAAATAAACAGAAAAAAATACTGACTTAATTTTTTGAATTATCTTAACTTTCGAGTTTCAACGAAAAAATAGATGCCTTTAAAACTCTTTAAATTTCTAGAGCAATTTATATTTGTCACTTTTTTGATTAATTTAACCCAATTTGAGAAAACTGGATCAATAGGTAAATCTGTTCTGCTGGGAAATCTGAAAACTAAATTCCATTTTCGAAACTAGAAATCAATCACGTTTTTCGTGAACTTTACAAAACAGACAGGTGGAAAAAAAGTCGATGAAAACAAATAAACAGAAAAAAATACTGACTTAAATTTTTGAATTATCTTAACTTTCGAGTTTCAACGAAAAAATAGATGCCTTTAAAACTCTTTAAATTTCTAGAGCAATTTATGTTTGTCACTTTTTTGATTAATTTAACCCAATTTGAGAAAACTGGATCAATAGGTAAATCTGTTCTGCTGGGAAATCTGAAAACTAAATTCCATTTTCGAAACTAGAAGTCAATCACGTTTTTCGTGAACTTTACACTTTTGCTTTTCGATAGTGGAAATTGCCTTCCTTGTAACAAAGGAAATGAACTGAACTTAAAGAAATCAAAATTCAAGCCGCAAAAAAACTACATGAGCCTGAAATACGTTTATCGACACTAGCAGGAATGTAATCGGAAGAGATTTAGTAATAAACAAAATTATAACCAATTGGGTTCCTTTTTGAAATCTAATATCCATTTCTGGATTGATCAATCAACGTGATCTTACACAGTACTAAACATCATGAACTTCGCCTAGAAATAAATAAAATGGCCGTGTCCTATCATCAATTAGTATGACCTTAACCTACCTCGGCACAGTCTGTCTGTATTTTGTCTCTTATCATTTCAAGTACGAATTCTGCGCTTCCGATAGCCTTGGCGTCCTCTAGTTCTTTCTCCATTTGTATACACTTGTCGTTCTTTTCCTCACGTTTGACTCGCTCAATCTCCTGTAACGTTTTCTCATCCATTTTAACAAGAGAAGCTCTAGCCTCTCAAGATGCGACACTATTATACCGAACTATTATACGTCCAAGAAATGATTTTACATCTCCAGAAACTGGATTTTGTTCCGTTATACCCCCGAATTTGAATTTTAACCGACTCGTTTGTCAATCTTTCCTATTCAGACCAGTGTTTTTCACCGGTCGTGCAGTGCGTCAATGCTAAGAAATTGTATGCTTTAAGACTTATGTTAAATCTGCTTCAAATGATGCAGTAACAATTCGGTATGTAAAGTCTCAAAGCATCTATGACAGCAAAACCAGATGGGTGAGTATAACGGAAAAATGCCCTCCATCCGCCCACAGAACTCAAAAGACGTTTTTATAATTAGTTTTTCTTAGAGTATATTTTAAGCTACTTATATCTAATTCTTATTTCAACTTTCAACAAAGAGTCGAAGCAGAGCTTCGCATCACTTGCGATACAATTAAACAACATGACAAATTAGTGGGCATATAATGAAATAAAAAACACTGTCGAAAAAAAACCAATACCTACCGTAACTTTCACATGCTTGTCGCAGTTTGTCACGTATTTATGTTCCTTTTGAGAAAAACAATTCAACCACCACAATTGAAAGTTAAATCAGCATCGAGAAAAATTTTCAAGCAAAGTTTGAAACTCGAAAAAATTCAAGACCCCTTCCTCAATACACACACACTTATACTACGGAAAATGACAGGGCACAAAACCAATATAATGTAAGCTTCAACCTATAAAGCAAAAAAAGGGCAACATTGTCAACAGATAATTGGAAACGAGCCAATGAACACAATTGAACAGAAAAAGAACTGACTTTCGAACTTCAAAGAAACACATAGATGCCACTAACGCTCTGAATTTCTAGAACAATTTCTGATTGGTCCTTTTTCGAGAAAACTCACCCAATTTGAGGACACTGGATCAATAGGTAAATTTTTTCTGCTAAAAATCCGCTGTGAAATCTGAAATAAAAATCCCATCATCTAAACTAAAAGTCGAGTACGTTTTTCGTAAGCTTCACACTTTTGCTGTTCGATAGAGTAGTTTGCCTTCTTTTAACAACGAACTGAACTTAAAAGGAAATCAAAAGTCAAGCCTCGAAAAAATAATTTTGAGCCTAAACAAATTTTAAGACTTTTCCTAAAAATCATAGCGACCTTCGTAAGAGTCTGAACTACATTTATCGACTCTAAAAAAACGAGACAAGCAACTTAAACAAATCAAGTGAGTTAAATTTCAACCAACTTAAACAGCAAACTTCAGATAGAACAGGAATTTAAATAGCAGAAACGCTCAAAATTGGTCTATTAGATGACGAAAGTACAGATTTGGAGATGACTACCAGCAGGACAGGCTCATAGAACGGATGTTTAAAATGCAGACATGCTTAAAATTTGTCTGCGTCACTGAATATTAAACATCCTCCGCTGTCAACGCTACGCTTTCATAGAAAACTCGCAGTTAGAGGCACTAATCACAGGTGAAATACACTTTTAATGTCGAGCTCATGACATCAATACTTTCAAGATGGTACACAAAATCAGAAGTCTATATCAGTGACGACCATTTAAGGATCCGTAAAAACTTAATACCTTTGAACACTCATTCCCTTTACGGAAAATCTACAAGCGGATTCTTTTCCGTTAAACAAAAGAGAGAAGACCAGGCCCGGATTTGAACCACTGTCACAAAAAAAAATTAAAAACTATCTACCAGAAATTGAAAATCATAGCTCAGAAGGTGTTGAGACCATCATCAGCTGATTTTTATGGTTTTCAACTCAATCACTATATAAATGCTCAATCCGACTATATAATCGATTCAATCTCTCTAGAAACTGTCAATCAACCACTGGAATCCTCTGATTCTCCAAAACCTTTTGAAGATAAATAGCAACATTTCGAGTTACAGGTTGATGAAAACTGAAATATCACCTATACAGTTTTAACTTCACTGCCTTCAACAGCTAATACTGAGCTCACGTTCTCATAAGCAACATTTTAGTCGGACAACGAAAAAACCGACTGAGCATGGAAAGCATTAAACTCGTTTTTAAGGTTTAAGTGACTGATTTGCTTGTGTGGTACAATTATCTTAAGGATCCTTTAAAAAATAATTTTTTCTTCAAATGACTTTTAAGGAATTATAAATCCATCAAATGGTCAATACTCTCTTTTATTTAAGGCTATAAGAAAGACTAAAATATGAGAAAAAAGACAAAATTTTTACTGTTATAAATTCTGAAGTGCATAAAATTGGATGTGCCAGCAATTATCATCTTTATGAAGAAGCAAAAAGTCGAAAAAACCAAGAATTATTTACCAATTGACAAGGGAAAAATGTTGACACATGAGGGTTAATTTTTCGGAGCACTTTCTTTTCGGAGCAATTTTGGCATACTTGCGCTGAAGGCAATTTTGGAAAAACTTTAAGAGACGGTCGGCCGAAGAAGAACTCGTACCACAGGGATACTTAGAAAAACGGTCTACAATTAGGGAAATCCCCATCCGCATGCGACTGCAATCATTTTAGGATGCTAATCATGATTATTTGTCGTCATTTTACCTCGACACAGTCAGCCTGTATTTTCTCCTTCAGCACTTCAACTATGATGTCATTTCCGTTTTTCTCTGCGGTTTCGAGTTCCTTTTCCAGTCCCCAACACTTCTCACTTTTCTCACTCCGTTTCACACGCTCAATCTGATCACAAAATCATTTACTCTTTCTAATACAGAATCTATCTTCCAAATCAGTTCGAGGAAAAAATCAAAAGACTGTTTTCAGCAGAGAATCTCAACCTTAACAAGAATTAGTCAAGGATCCTTCTAAAAATACTTTTTGTAAGAATAAAAAAATTCAATGTCAATTCCTTCGAAAGTTATAGTATTTATACGCATTTTAAAAGGTGAATCAACCGCTAAACATTTTTTTGACACAGAGGCGAAGCAAAGCTTCGCACCACTTGCGATATATCCCTCCCTAGCATGGGAAGCTAGCCAATTAAAAACATTCGAAAACTGCAATTTGATAACGCTTGATAATCCTTAGCGTTTTAAGCTCCTTGAAAAAACAACAAAAGCTGAATAAGTGATTAATCAATCGCTTAATTAACATTTCGATCAATACCCTTGAATAAATAGATTTATTCAAATTTCCATGCCACGACTTGCCTCGAATCCAATTTTGAAGAAAATACCCGAAGAGAGACAATTGCCAGTATTAAATTAGCATTGAAAAAAAATTACGGTGACAAAGTTGAGAATATTAAGGGTGATACTCGTTGGGCCGCAAAAACTGAAATTGAAACAATAAGCTTGAGACATGAAATACAAACTTAAAAATCGTATACACATCACCTGAAAACTAGTTTCTTCAAAATTAAACACAAACATACCTAAGAAAAAGTCGGAAAAGTTTAAACTCACAAAACCAATAAAAGCAAAAGAAAAATTTGGACACAGAGGCGAAGCGGAGCTTCGCATCACTTGATATAAAACGCAAGCGTAGCATTGCAAGCTAGCGAATAGAAAAGGAGAAGTAAATAGTAAAGAGGAAAAAGAGTAACAAAAGAGAAATGGTAAGAAAGAGAAAATTGTAAATTTTTGCAATGTCGGATCCGAGCTCCTATCTCGAGATAAAAATTCTCGCGTCCTTGCATCGTAGTCACAAGCCCTTGAAATTTTGTTTAAACTAGCACACAAAAAACAAGCTACAACTGCTAATCAATCGCCGATGCTATACCAAAAAAAATAGCGCATAAAACGGCATGGAAACTCCTACCATTAGACCATTGACTCTCACATCCTTCCATCTGTGAGTTCTTTTGTTTGTGAATTTCGTTGGAAAAAAAGTAGATTCATACTGTGGAACTACGCTCGATAGTGTTAAACATTAGTCGAAAAACAAAATCACCAGCATTAAATAAGCTTTTATTATTAACTGAGCGGTCAACTAAGCCGGAAATTATGGGTAGACACCCATTGAGCTGACAACAAAAAATTCCTCAAGCAAGTCCCATAAAAAACCAAATGAGTTGGGGAAGCCAATAAAACATTTAGGGCAATTAAAGCGCAAAAAAAGAGAAGGAAAATGTATCATCAACTCAATGTTAGTAAGTTTCGAAATCACAGAAATACGTCAACAACACTTGCAACTAAAATAAAAAATTTCTTTTCCCAGAAAAAAATTCGCGACTTGTCAACAGATCCGCTAAAATATAAGCAGATAAACGAAAGTTCCAAAAATCAATTTTTCCGCGGAATTTCATAAAAACTGAAAAACGAACAAATCCGGCCTGGACTTGAACCTCGGACAAAAGGATGCAAAAGTAACAGCGTTACCTCTAAAACAGGTGGGAATTAGCCTGAAAGGTCCATAGTAGACCAAGTTCACTTTTTTCAGACTTGTAAGAAGAGTTAGTGGTCGGGAAAAAGTCTAGTTCCCGATTACCAGACAATTGCTCTCGCAAATGTAAACAGTTTTAACTTTCAAACTTCGAAGCAAAAAATACACAATAAAGCAGATTGAATAATTTCTGATTCCCTTTTTCCCCTAAAACTATCACGAATAGAGAACTGGTTCAAAAGCATTTGTTTTTAATCGCTGGGGCATCTTCAACCTCAAATCCTCTTTTCAAAAAACATGTCATTCACACTAATTGCACGTTCGAAATTAGAGAGCGCATTTGCCTTCTTTCCAGCAAAATGAAATTGAATTTATTGAAGAAATTCTAAATCAAACAGCAATTAATCGAATTTGACGATTGTTTCTTCACATGATTAATTGACAATTAAATTTATACAGAGCCAAAAGACACCGACAATCCTAAAATCGAGAATCCTACAAAATCAAAGCGAAAATAAAATAGACAAAACGAGAACTCAAAATCAACCAAACAATAGAATCAATTCAGTATTCGGCTTTAAAAAAATAGCGGTAGAAAGAGCTTTAAAAGTTTAAGAAAAAAATGCTCCAAAAATCTGAAAGATATAACTTCTTGACTACATATTCAAATACAACGTTTACTACATAGGTATCAAACTCACCACTGCAAATGTCGACCTAATCACATTCTAGACTAATTTATTACCCAGAAAAATCTTGTCTTCAATTTTGGAACTATAGTGACGGTACTCGGCAAGCTATGGCAACCTATACGTGAAATAATTCTCACGTGTGACTGAATTATTTCACGTAACAGAGAAAAAAAAGATCTAACTAGAGTTCGAAACTCAGTTCTGAAGATTCCAAGACATGCCCGTTATTACTAGAAGGAATCATAAGTGGCTTTAAAGGTGTTAAAATTTCATAATGAAGCAAGTTACATTTCTGACATATTTTCAGAAGTTTGTACGGGAAACAGTTTAGTTACCAATTATGAGTCGCTTGATCCCGCAAGTGAAAATAAATCTTACATCATTTAAAGAATCGAAAAACTGTACTTCGAGTTTTCAGCTGAAAACTCAAACAAGTAAATCAACTAATAAAACTTAAGATATGCCCTTTTTCCAGCCATATCCACAACAACTTCGGAGAGAGTTCATTTTTATTAGAAAGTTATAATTAGAAAGGTAAAAAACTGCACGAACTAATTCGACTTCGTTCAAAAACACCTAATGAACTAGTAGACAAAGCTTTGTGTCATTTCATATTTCGTTATCGGCGAGCGAATTAAAACGAAGATAAGCGAGCTTGAAAATTCAAACCTTCAAAAAAAGTTGAGCATTATCGAAAGTGTTAAATGATGGCTTGAAGATACTTTGCGTTCCAGAGAAAAAATGGCCAACAAAAATTGGAAAAAGTCAATGAAAGCAATTAAACAAATAAATACCAACTTGTTTTTTGAAACATCAACTTCCAAATTTCAAAGAAAAAATAGATGCCCTTCAAGCTCTTTGAATTTTTTGTACATTTATGTCGTCAAGAAAAAAAACACGGATGGATGGGACATTTTTCATTTCGCTGGGACATCTGAAAATTAAATTCCGTTTTCGAAACTAGAGGTCGATCACGTTTTTCGTGACCTTTACACTTTCGCTGTTCGACACTTGAGTTTGACTTCTTTTTAACAAAAGAAATGAAATAAACTTATAAAGAAATCAAAAATCAAACAGCAAAAAAAGTAAATTTCAGCCTGCACAAAATTTTCCTGAAAAAAAAAGAATAAAGAAATCATCATGACCTATTTAAGAGTCTGAACTACGTTCATCGACTCTTAAACACTTCATAAAATTGGGACATGTTTCAAAACAGCTCCTATTAAACACTATAACTCCAACCTTAATTACACAATTTCCTTACAGCGCTTTTAAAAACGTCAAGAAAAAAACACGGATGGATGGGACATTTTTTATTTCGCTGGGACATCTGAAAATTAAATTCCGTTTTCGAAACCAGAGGTCGATCACGTTTTTCGTGACCTTTACACTTTCGCTGTTCGACACTTGAGTTTGACTTCTTTTTAACAAAAGAAATGAAATAAACTTATAAAGAAATCAAAAATCAAACAGCAAAAAAAGTAAATTTCAGCCTGCACAAAATTTTCCTGAAAAAAAAGAATAAAGAAATCATCATGACCTATTTAAGAGTCTGAACTACGTTCATCGACTCTTAAACACTTCATAAAATTGGGACATGTTTCAAAACAGCTCCTATTAAACACTATAACTCCAACCTTAATTACACAATTTCCTTACAGCGCTTTTAAAAACACAGCCAACAGATAACTGTAAATAGTCAATATACGCCAGTTAACACAAAAGAAGAACAATAACGCAAGTAAAACAAAAAAAGACAGTTGGATAAAAGTCAATGAAGACTCAATCTCAAAATTAAATTCCTTTTTCGAAAGTGGAGTTCGCCTTAATTTCATCGAAAGAAATGAACTGAACATAAAAAAAATTGCCGCCAAGTCAAACAGCCAAAAATTTGTAGACTTTTCCTTAAAAAAATCATCACGCTCTGTAAAATAGTCTTAACTACGTTCATCGATTATTAAAAGACAAGCATCAATTCTACTTTTATTTATACTGCATAGGTTTCGGTTCTATCACACAACAAAAACAGGGATTTAGCATATCACAAGTTTTAAAACAGTGTGAAATTTTTAAGATAAGATTTTGGCTTACTTTGATCTAATCTTATGCTTCTGATAAAATGAAGCAATTATTTCGATCATTAGAAGAATCCTTTCTACTATTTTACCTCAACACAGTCGGTTTGGAGTTTTTCTTTTAGTAGTTCGACCAGGAAATCATTTCCACTATCCTCGGCGTCATCTAGTTGCTTTTCCAACTCCGAACACTTCTCGCTTTTCTCACTTCGTTTAACACGATCATTCTGTTTCGAAAAAACTAGACCGGTAAATTTTGCTTCACCTCACATTTTAATTTAAAGCTGAACTATCAAAACAAAAAACAGTCCGAAGCAAATAATGAAACTTTTGCTGGTTTCCCAGAAAAAAAATTAAAATTCAGCAGTCATCCTTTTCCATTTTTTTCAAATCATTTTTTACAAATTTTCTCGGCTCAGCCTTTTATATTATAACACGTACTCGATTGAAATAAAACTAAAAAGCAAGAAGCTCCAACCGAGAAAGGGTAGGCTCCAATTGGGCATTTATTATCCTCTAGATGGTTTTTGTTTATGTTATACTGCAATAAAAGAGCACTTTCAAAAAGAGCACTAATATTTGCGACTTTTGTGAAAAAGCGAAATCGTAATATCACACAAGCTTTGCTTGTGTAAAAAAAACCTAATAAAACGCCAGAAATTCGTAAAAATAAAATTGGTCTAGACTAATCAGAAACGTTGAGGTTATCATAACAGTTGGTTAATCAAGGTGACCACTTCTTTGAGAGAAAAATAGTGACTATGACAATTTTCGAATTTTTTGTCGACCTTTTTTTTAGGTCGGCCAAAATAATTTTTCAAGCTCTGCCAAAGCACTGAAACTGGCCAAAATTTCTGCGCCGCAAGCATAATTAAGAATAAACAGGCTGAAAAAGACAGTTTTAGGCACTTTTTGAAAAATTTTGAAAAAAAATTGCGTTTTTTCGGCGCGCGCTCCCCCCTCAATATTAGTATATATTGGCGCCTTTAGAAAAATTTTAGGATCCGTCACCAAAAACCGTTGTAAATAGTGACTTTTAGTGACCATTGAAAGAATAGTTACCAATTAGCGACCAATAGTGACTGGTCACTAAAATAGTGACCAAGTGGTCACCCTGTGGTTAATTGCCTTATGACAACAAAGAGTTTAACTCATAAACCAAAAAGGAATGTGAAATTTTGTTCAAAAATCGTGGTTCAAAAACTGTTCCCGAGAACGAGCACAAAAATTCGCAGTACCAGAGTCCTCCAGTAATTGCATATAATAAGATTTTATAAAAATGAAGGAAACACTAAAAAATGAAAACAGCCAACTGGAAATGAGTCAATGAACGCAAGTAAACAGAAAAAAACACTGATTTGTTTTCTGAAAAAAATCTCAGCTTTCAAATTAAATTAGATGCCCTTAAAGCGCTTTCAATTTCTGGAACAATTTACTATTTTCATTTTTTTTTGATAAAATTAACATAATTTGAGAAATTTGGGTCAATAAGAAAAATTCAATTTCGCTGGGAACTCTGAAACTTAATTTCGAAACTAGAGGTCGGATCACCTTTTTCGTGGCCTTTAAACTTTTGCTGTTCGGTAGTGGACTTTGCCTTCCTTTTAAAAAACGAGATGAACTGAAGTTGAAAATAAATCAAGTCAAACCGCGAAAAGGTAAATTTGAGCTTGAACAAATTTTAAGACTTTTTCTGAAAAAAATTATCATCACGACTTATATAAGAGTCTGATATACATTCATGACTCTTAAGAACTTGTTACAAAAAAGCTTGCAGAAATTCTATGTAATAACTAATTACTTCAATGAATCAAATCCATGAAACTTATTCAATTATTTCAATTTTGCACAAAAGCAAAGCGAAGCCACATATTAATTGAATTGTAAGCTAGCTGTCATAAAAAAAAATTAAAATGAAAGCACTATCTCGAAAAAACTCGAAAGCGCTATCTCGAGAAGACGTCAAAAAACCACAACTGAGAAAACTTAACACAATCATCTCGAATTTTAATTTGAGGAAAAATACATATACGAACACAATCGCCAGCGTTGATCAAGCGTCAACTAATCCGACAACACATAGGTAAACGTCCGTTGAGCCGAAAACGAAAAATTTTAAGCTTATTTCTGAAGTTCGAAGTTCTAACTCCCCTAAGGGAACAACAACGAAGATAAAATCTTCCTTTTCTCATCAAACGACGCAAAAAAAGATGACACAGCCGAAACAACAAAACCATTAGCTGAAACCATTTAAGTCAAACATAGCTTTGAGGCAAATAAAAAAACTTATACAAAATAAGGGCTAGCAAATCAGGGCTCAAATAACAAGAGTAAAGCAGAAACATTTTCAATCACAGGTAAAATTGCTCACAGCACAAAAAACTCTATGCTGAGGCAACTAAGCCGACAAATTATAAGCAGACAAACACAAGGGTGGCCATTTTTTTAAACGAAGATTTTCAGTTTGAAAAGCAAGCCCTGATTGCATTCGAAACTAAAGCCATTCGCGCCCCAGGCGTAGACGTTACCTATGTACAAAGAACCTCGAGAATTTATAATAATTCAAGCTATCAAATGAATTTTTCAACCAATTTTAACCTGAAAAAGACCATAATCCGATTATTCACCGCTTTCTAATCGCAAGCGTAATTAACCTAGCAGTGGTAGTAGCAGTTAAGTTAACTCTTTTTTATTCTACCCGATGTCAAATTATTCCAATTAAGTTATTGTTGGCCTGAAATGTTTTCAAATTTGCAAAATATTTAGTATTTCATTGACCATGCTTTAGTATCAAAACGAGATCTTTGGTATGCAAAAGTTAATTTGACGGTCAAATGAGTGATCATATTATTGTCAAAAGATGCCCAGGTTAAGTTATTAGTTCATGATACTTGTCCCTCAAAACGCATATTCAAACATCTTTTTCATTCTACCAGAAGTTCATGTCTATCGATCATTTATCTCGAGAATTTTTATGGTGCCATATTTTTCCATATTCCCGTATAAGTTAAATAAGCGCTAAATATTCATCTTAACCTCAAAAATAGAAGTGGGAGAAGTAAAAACCAAATTGCAACCCAGACGGATTATAGGAGAGCCCCTCGTGGCCGAACGACCGATTGACCCGAAGAGTTAGACAATCAGAATTTAACATTCGCACTGGACAATTCAGTGGCAGACGAGTTGAAAACTCTCGTGGAGCATTCGGTCGTTCGGATGTGAGAACCCCCCCCCCCCCAACTGAAACACATATCTGCTGTCCACACATCTACCCCCCCCCCTCCCCCCCCTCACCTTCCCCAGGCAATATTTATTTCTAAAAAAAACTACTAACCTCAATGCAGTCGCGCTCGTAACTCTGCTTAACGATTTGATAGACTGCGTCCGTTTCATCATCAGTAGAGTCAAGATGTTCTTTCCATTCGGCACATTTTTCAGCCAACTCACTCTAAAACCAGCCTTTCATTTTCAACTTCAAGTTAAAACCAGGGTTTGAATGGTAATCAATTGTTCAGACCAGCTGCTCGCTTCTAGTTCATTCCCGTGTACATTTTCGTAAGAACAATTTTCCAATCATTTTTTAATTTAAAAGAAAACAGTTCACACTATTGGCTCAATTAAGGAGTACAACTGCCAACTGCTGAATGTCTCAAATTGTTATGACAATAGATTTTGTAATCTGATTTTGTAAAACTTTCACGTCGCGGAATGCTAAGGATTTTTCTTTTTGCGATTCGGACCTTCAAAATCTCCTTATTGGAGGCCATGTAATAGAAAGCAGAGCAGTTGATCTTTAGGTGAATCGGAGCTTGGAAGCAAACCTGGACAGCTCTACTTTGTCGTCGTTTTCGACTACTCGGCGGATATATTTCGTCGCATTTAGACATGAACTGCATGAGATTCATTTTGAACTCGTTTTCGATCGTCTTTAAGTTCAGTTTTCCTTCCTCCTTATACTCAACGCAACTAGCTTCTAGCGTGATTTTAGCCCCGTTTCCACCCTGTGTTCAAAAAAGTAAAAAACATATTTTATTCGTTCTATTGAAATTGAGTCATATTTGACAACAGACTTCGGAAAAATATAACATACTATCATCAATATATTTTTATCAATACTTCGGCCACTGAAAACTTCGCTCAATTTAAAAGCAAATTGCAAAACAATATTCAAAAACTAAAGAGCTAGCGCACGCAGGTTTGCTTCCGCTTGTTTTTTTTTGCGATAGCAAACCTGTCTTCTGTGGCGATTGTTCGCATATTGCTTCTCACACTCAGTAAGAAAGCCAATAACCGACATTTGCAGCTTATTCTGGACCAACTCGCGGTCGAGTCGGCCGTTTTGCATGTAATCCATGCAGAGCGTTTCAAAGTTCACTTCTGCTTTATCAGTTGACTAAAATAAATAAAAAACTGTCGAAAATGTAACAAATTTGTATATTTATTTTAAAATTGTGAGCCAATTACGATTTAATTGTTTTTGGCCATTGCGCATATGTAAAGACACGGAACGGAGGAATACGCAGTCGCTGAATAGAAAATAACGCTACAAAACGATTCAGTGTTGCCAAGCTCATTTTTACCAAGTGAATTCAATTCGTTTTTGTTGAGAATTCATCAAAAAACTTTTAAACGTTTAAAACAATCAGCCCGTTTTGTTGCTTCCAAGCTCGTTTTTATTCACAAAAAGCCCGAAATAAAAACCTGTTCGCGTTTAGCCCGTCTGTTAGTCGCATCACAACTCGAGATGAATTCGATCACACTCATTTTAAGCTGCTTAATAAGATCTCCTCTGATATTCGATGTTTTCTTGTAGTCCAGACAAAGACTTTCGAATGTAATTTCTTCAGGTTTGCCCTACAAAAAAAAGATTTCAGAGAAAGCAAAAAACGAAACCGGTCACTAAACGCTCCTTTATCCAGGTTTTGCTTTCAAGCTCTTGCTTTAAGACTAATATTTTACCAAATCGACATTTCGCTTTCGCCTCGACATAGGACAGTCTCGAATGAATTCAGCGATGCTGCTTTTAACTTGCAGAACTTTTTCAGAGTCGAAATTTCCGGTTTGCTGGAATCCAGCACAGACACTTTCGAACGTAACTTCCGACTGCGAACTTGCTGACTAAAATACGAAAATTCTCCGTGATATCCTACTTTGTTTTTAACAGATTAAGTGAAATTAAGCTAATAAAATCTAAGCATCAATTGCGTCTACGATAGAAAGACCAGTAAAAATTTTTCGACCTTATAAACTGCGAGGAGCACGACTATGATTATTGTACCGACATTCGAAGAAAGTGACAAATCTTCATGATTATGGTGTTTTTAAGCAGTCAATTTTCAATTAAACTTTTTTGACCAAAATTTTACCATCTGAAAAATATTGTTGTCCGGAGCTCAATAAGCACAAAAATTCACCTAAGATCATTCGTAAAAATTTTGGTTTCAATATTTTGCGTTCTTAAAACACACGTAAGCGGAGTATAATGCGTTCGTATAACAAGCGGATTAAATGTGTTCCTAAGGCTTGTAAGCGGAGGGTAAAATAAGAAAATCAAATGGAAAAAATCTTTCTTCCTGTTTTTTTTTCTTCAATTTTTCAACCAAACACTTTTTAATTAACCTTAAAGAACAGTCGGAACATTCAGGACTTAGCCCTGATATATGAGTAGTCATGTTCGTCTTAATGCTAGCTTCGAATTTCTTTTTAAAGTTTCGTAGTTTAGATTTGCTTCCAAGCTTCCTCATTTAATTCTCGAACTAACAATTTGTCTTTTATGCCTGTCAGTTTGTTTCGCAGGAGCAGGACATTTTTGTGCAAATTGAAACAAGTCCATGCCTATTTCTTTCAATTTACTTGGTTGAAAGTCTCCTGTTCGTTGATAATTGAGGCAAATACTCTCGAAAGTGGGCGAGACTTCGTTTCCAGACTAAAATACGCGAACCAAACTTTTCTCCTTATCAAATAAAAAGCATAGGAGACCCATTCATTGCTTTCTGTAAGCTTACGCAAAAATTTTCATGAGCCAGAAAAATCTAATTATCAGAGAAGCTCAAAAGAAGCGCCGAAAAAGCAAGCTTACGTTCATTTAGCGAATTGATAGCGGTGATTTCTAGCAGTTAATTTAAAAGTTCGAGCCCCATTTTTGCTTCCAAGTCAGTTTTCATTTCAAAATGCGTGATTTAAAACCTGGTCACGCCGAGCGCGTTTATTAGTCGGTTCGCACTTCGAGACAAACTCGATCACGCTCATTTCGAGTTGCTTAATCAATTCTCTTCTGATATTTGAAGTTTTCTTGTAATCCAGACAGAGACTTTCAAATGTCACTTCTTTGGGCGAAACCTACAACAACTTTCTTATCAGTTCATATCATTACTTAAACTACCGACGACACAAAATAACCAAGCCCTGGCTTTGCTTCCAAGCCCCAATTTAGTCATTTTATTTTACCCCTTCACTGTTTCTCTTCTTTCGCTTTGACAAGGGGCAGTCTTTGATAAATTCAGCCACACTACTTGTAACTTGTAAAACTTGCTCAGCGTCCAAATTTCCAGTTTGCTGGAATCGACTGCATACACTTTCGAATGTAAGTTCAGTTTCTATGACCGACTAAAAAAGGAAAAATGCGTTTTTAGGCAAGTTCCGCCCAGTATTAGATATCTCAGATATCGACCGTGTACGATAAGAAAAATCTCAGAGCTGCTTAAGGTTTGCTTCCAAATTAATTTTTCTATCGTCATTCAAACTAACGGTTTGTCGTTTCTGCCTGTCAGTTTGTTTCGCAGGAGCAGGACATTTATTTGCAAATTGAAACAAGTCCATGCCTATTTCTTTCAATTTACTTGTTTGTATGTCTCCTGTTCGTTGATAATTGAGGCAAATACTCTCGAAAGTTGGTGATTCGTCGCTTCCAGACTGAAACCAAACTTTGCTTCCTAACTTAGTAAGCCTACAGCACGTTGAATCGTTTTAGGCGTTTTAGTGGTCTTGATTTAGCTTTTTCTGACGACGCGTTTGAGCTGTCCAAATTCACTTCTTTGCCCATGATTTTTGACCTTTCGTACAAACCTTGAGGACCTCGTTGGACCTTCGTGACCTCTGAGAGGTACTTAGAGGGCACTTGTTCAAGAAGTCCATAATTCCCATGCCGATGTTCGCAACTGAGTCTACGTCTAATTTGCGCAAGCTGCGGTATGTTTGGCAGACACTTTCGAAAGTGAGCGGCTGGTTTGGATCCTTTAAGAGGATGAAGTTAGTTAAACTTACCCAAATACATACACATCACATGCAGCTATTTGAACTCAATTGCTATGATGCATGACTTTGCTGTTCCGATAGCCTCTCTTCTTGCCGTGATAGCATCTCTTTTTACGTTGCTTTCCATCGTATAGAAAAAATATATTTGGTTTCTTAAAATCAAGCTCTCCCACCCAATTTGTCTACGTAAGTTAAGCCAGTTAACTAAATTATAAATAACAAACCTGCGTTTATCGAAGAGACAGACGGTTGCAAACAAACGTTAACTCTACACAACATTCAAGCCAAAAAAATCAAGTTAAAACGAGCAAAAAAAATCCACCAAAAATTTTGTGAAAAAATAAACGTCACATAAGGAATTCAATAACGCGAGCTCTGCAACTTGTAATTGAAATTCACATCATATATGCAAATTGCAACGGTAGCAAAAATGACCTCCCAAAGAACACCACGCTTATTATTTGCTTAAATTCACTGGAAAAATAATTACGGGAAAAAGTCTAGTACCCAATTACAAGTCACTTGCTCTCGCAAGTTAACTAACCAAAAAAAGAAGCTCACAAATCTATTCTTAGTGCTCTTTATTTTTCTCTGAGCTGTAAAAATTAAAACCAATTCGTAGCAACATATATATTTTTTAAAAAAAGTCTAGTTCATTTAAAGGGGCTTTTTTTCCATATCCCACCCCTGTAATTGTAAAATATAATTACCTAAAAATTATTCATGCGGTTATTTGTAACTAAAAAATCTTGTTCAATTCTGTTCCTTTGTTATTTTGTTCTTAGTTTAGAGCATCAAAGTTGATTTTAAACAGTCTTACTGAAATCTATTCTCTAAAAAAAATCTTTTGAGAGACTGGAAAAGAGCCCTCAAATTTATTAAAATGAGCCATGTTCGTCTTTTCTATCATTTTTTAAAAATATCAAAAATCTTCAGAAGAGCTATCAAATATCATATTTTGCTATGAAAATTCGAAAAACAAAAAGATTTAAACGTACATCTTCATCATGGTTAGTGCAAAGTGTGGGTAGTTGGTTGAAGCTCAGATCAGGGTGTAGTTTCAACAACACACTGATGTGATCTGCCCTGAAGCTATTGTGCACTTCATAGTAGCTACACGCATCCCCCACAACCCCTTGCGGAGACAACCCATCTTTCCCCTCCCCACCCCCCGAAATCAGCTGAAACAACTCATTGCTGTCCATCTCATTTCCAAATAATATTACCCCTTCTCCAAAATTACCAAATAGATTATTAAATGCGGATTACGCATTTCTAGTTATTGATTGCATAAACATCATTTTCTTTGACTTATATTTTCAATGATCAGATTTCTTATATGACATGCAATGGTTTGTTTCAGCTAACTTCAGGCGACCGGTACAACAAAATTTGTGAATCTATAGCGCAAACACTTGAAGGAAAACCGAGCCGAGCAATTTTACTTGGCTGAGTACCAGAAGAGCTGGTGTATATATTTTTAAGGTATAAACAAATTCCGGAACACTTTTTCGCACTTCTGAAAAATGCGCCACGTTCTATCGAATCCAAAAAAAAACGAAAAAAAAACATACGCCTGAGTCTGAGCATAGGCTGGGTAGTTCGTTGAAACTGAGATCGGTGAACTTGTCCATTAGGTCGTTGATTTGATCACGCGTGAAATCTTTGTGCACGGCATAGTATTCACACGCTTGCTTCACGATTTCAGATTCAGAGGGGTTTGAGTCGCCCGAGTCCCCGGATATCAGCTGAAACAAAAGATCTCTTTTGTATTGAACTTAATTTTTTTTCGCTGTAACTTTGCATTGAATTGTTTATTTTTGAACTATTATTGGAGACCTTTTGTTTCAACCAATATGAGATATAAGCGTCGATTAGTTTGTCTTAACACATAAACAGAGACGAAGCAATCGTGAATAAAATCTTACAGCACAGCGATATCCAAGAAATTGCACAGCACACCAGTAATCGATTTCAACTTTTACAAGCTACGCATCCGTACCAGGGATGCGTAATAATATATTGCAATACTATTGTGTACCCGTTATCCAATATATTATATTGATTCTACCCTGCCAATCAATTATTGCAATAATTGCAATTAATTGCCGGATGGTTTGAGAAAAAATGTCATCTTAAAATGTAACCTAAGAAAAAAAAACATACATCAGAATCGGAGCATAGACTGGGTAATTCGTTGAAACTGAGGTCAGTGAATTTCTCCATAAGGTCTGTGGCCTGTTCTCGCGTGAAATCTTTGTGCACGGCATAGTATTCACACGCTCGCTTCACGATCTCAGAGTCAGAGGGTTTTGAATCACCCGAGTCCCCGGATATCAGCTGAAACAAAAGATCTCACTAAGTATTTTAGAACAAAAAATGAAGGCTCATTCAATGCATTTTGAAGATGTATAAATTGGTTTCAAATGTATTACTATCTAAGTGAGATCTTTTGCTTCAGCAGGTACCACAAATACGTTAGTTTTGTATACGTTATAACCACACACTAGTTTATAAACTATATCAAAATGTGTTTCATCTTGGGATAATAGCGAAAAGGCTTCAGCCATGACGTTAAAAAAGATTAATCATATTCATATAGACAGAATTTAAAATCACAAAAATTCAGCCGTAAGAAAAAAACGCTTCTTCTCAAATGCATTTGTAGAAAAATTGTTAAATCAAAAAATAATTTCTGACGCAATAGAAAATTTTCATTGGAGTGTCTATTTCATTTGAAGAGCTGCATAAACTCCTCAAAAACTTCCGATTCTTCCCACTTTGATTAAGTTACAATTTAACTATAACTTAGATACAATTAAAATTACGGCGTCCAAAAACAACCAAAAAACATTATCGTTGAATCTTACATTGTAAAAATGTATGTATATATTTTTTGAAAATAGGCTCTCCTCTAACACTCATGGAGTCAAAAGCAAATTTGATTCCAATTCTCAGACTTGAACCAACCTCATCATTTTTACACAGCTCAGCGAGTTGCTTGAACGAAGTTCTGTCTGGATAGAGACGCTTGAGGTCCTCCATTTGTTTAGTTGTGAAGTCCGAATTTACAGAATAGTATTCACATGCTAGTTTCACGGTTGCTTCGCCCGAAGGATCAGAGCCCCCCTCCCCATCCAATCCCGAAATGAGCTGAAACAGAGACCCATTTTCTCTAATTTTTCTCATCACAAGGCAGATGGGAAATTTGAAATTCAACATTTAGGTGGTCTTGTTTCAGCTCTTTTCGCGGATGCTTTTATTGCAATTTAAGTTGATATAAGTTATTTTCGGTTAATTTTTATTACTGCTTAAGGCTTCATTCCAAACTATCGAAAAACTTATTCTACTCAGCACTGATAATTAGCTTCTCTTTATTTCGACCATCTGAACCGATTAATTCTTGGACCAACTTAAGTGATGAACGGTTGGTGTGTCAGAGCCTTAAAGTGAAGGAGTACAAAAGATTTCCGAGCAAGATGTTAGAGCCTTGAGGTTGCTTGAAGACATGCCGGTAAAAATTCCATGTTAGATCTGGCAACTTCTCTCGATCCGCTCACAATGATTCGATATCGCAAATATTTATACTCCGAGTCTTCCTATGCACATGAAAGTTCGACCAAAAAAAAAGAGAATTTCGAAAAATAACACAGAGGCGAAGAGGACTTTGCGCCACTATAAAAACTAAATCTACCAAAATCCTCAAAAAACTCAGATCAAACAAACCTCATTATCGCACAGCTCTGTAAGCTGCTTAAACGTGGTTCTTTCAGGGTACAGCTGTTTAAGACTCTCGTATTGTTTGGTGGTAAAGTCAGAATTCAGCGAATAGTAGTCGCACGCTTCTTTCACGATAGCCTCCCGCGATGGATTAACTCCACCCTCCCCGTCCGATCCCGAAATGAGCTGAAACAGAACCTCGAGTTGCGCATTTATTATCTCTTTATTGATATTACAATTGGAGGTTCGTTGAGGCAAAGGTTTCAGCTCATTTAGGGATTGTTTTTTAATCCAGGGGCGTAACTAAAGTATCTCTTCATCTATTTCCCCTTTTCATAAGGGAGAGAGAGAGAGAGAGATTCGTTAAGAGGAAGAAAATTTGCATCTGCTTGACTGTTGTAGGGGTGGAAATTCGTCTCTAGGTACGAAAAGGGGTAAATAGTTAAAGAAAAAGAGATTAGCTAACTTTCAGATTATAAGAAATGTACGAAAGATTTACGAGTGAGGCGAAATTGAAATTCACATACCAAGCGTAAGTTACGCGAAAAATCAAGCAGACTAGACTGTAGATGGACGACACAGAACTTGAAAAAAAAGCTCCATAAACAAATTCAAAACGAAAAAATTGTTGACTCGTGAAATAACTTTCGGCAAATTATGCTTGAACAGAAGTCTTAATCCGAACGAACACAAAACGTCAGTTAGCTTTAGAACACATGATAGTTGGGTCTCGGACACATCGAACCCAAAATATAGCTGCGCTCGTTATCTGATAGGTCCGAACTTCAAGATCGGCAAATAAGCATGCGGATTCCAAATCTTCATTATCCATAGTTTTTAATAATCAGTGATGAAGGAAGTTTCGTTTATTGCAACCCAACAACAAAACTGAATTTTGGCTTTTAACAATCCTTCTATTACCCGTGTACCTATTTCATAGCTTCTTTTCATGTGATCGTTTTACGTGTAAAAAATGCATTTTGAAACTACTCAGAATAAAATAATCTTTCCTTTCTATAATGGTTATCTTTATAGATTTTTTGATGCCATAGATTTTAATTTTGAAATATGGTCGCTAGATTTAATTTTGTGAAGAAAAAATAGGTGGGTTGTGAACAACTAACTTCTCCGTCGGCGCACAACTCTGTGATTTCTTTCAGGGAACGATTGGGGAAAGCACTCTTCAGTGCGAACAGCTGTTCGGCCGTGAAGTCTTCGTTAGCACGGTAATAGTCGCACGCTTCCTTAACCATTGCATCCCGAGACCCACTTGATCCCGCCCCTCCCCCGTTTCCACCCGCACCACCAGAAATGAGCTGAAACAAAAGTTCCATCTGAAGGGTAATTTCTAGATGCTATGTAGGCTTTCTTTTGATGGATATTATTTTGCAAAGCTCATTTCTGGTAGGAGCGGAAACGGTCGTTCTACTACTAAAACTCACCTCCCGCGTCACGAAAATAAAGAACCTCATTTATTCTCTCCTTTGCTCTTTTGCAGAAAAAGAAGTAAGAACCAAATTTGCTAAAACTTTGTTGCGAAACAATATACGTCGCAAAAGGTTGAGACAGATTTCGTTCCATGACAGATCTTGTCCCATTTTAATTTCAACCGATTTCGTCCCATTTCAAAGCGTACACAGATTTCGTCCCACAAATTTGGATATGGGACGAAATCTGTTAATTACATGAATAGGACGAAATCTGTAGTAGGACCAAATCTTTGCCAATTATCGCAAAGTTAGAGATTATTTTAAACTTTAACTACAGCATTTGTTCATGCTTCAAATAGATCAGAGTAGGCAATTAAATAAAACAAGACTGCTCGTATCAGGGCGAAGCCCTGAATGTTCCGGCTGTCTTTTAAGGTTTATGGAGCAGTAATAACATAAAAAAATGAAATGAAATAAAATAAAATGAAATTTTTTTTCTAAATATTGAAATTTTTTTGAAAATCATCCCCCCACACGCCATATTAAGTACAAAAGGATAGATTTCGTTCCTTGCAAGTAATCAATTATGGCAAATAAGCTTCGTTCAACCTATTTGGAACGATTTCTAAGACGGATTAAATCTCCGCTTACGCGTTAATAGCTCGAATTACATCGCACGTTAATTGTCCCAAATTGGTCATAATGGCAGCCTTTAAACCCTCATAACTTTACGAAAAATGATCACAGGTGAAATATCTTTTCAAATTTAAGCTCAGGACAATACTTTTTGAATGATATAAAAAAAATCCCGTCAAAAATGGCTAGTTGAAAAGTCGAAATTTGTCTGAAGAAAAAAAACCCACCCCGAGCACAAATATTCTGTTACTTTCGTATCGAAAGTCGGAACAATAATTTTAACGCATAAGACTTAAAAATTACTTTTACGCATTTTACAAACTAATTCGATGCACATAAGTGTACTAGTTTCCTTGTTTGGCCCCTCGAAAATTCTGTGGTCCCTGATAAAAACAGGCGCAGTAATTGGGTTAATTTTCACAGTAAGCATTTTAAATTCTCTATATTGATAACTCAGCTGGCAAAGTTAGTTAAGCGGGTACGAATTTGGTTACCAACCCCAATGAGTTGGATCGAATCCCGCGCTTACTTTTGTTTTCAGGAAATAGGCAGGAAAAAGCATCTTAACTAGTGTTCTCACGGGACCAAACAAGTAAACTAGTACATGTATAAGATCATGGAACGGAGAAATAATTATTGTTGGCTAAAAATAATGGATTATTGCATGATAATTCTTTCATCCTTCAATTCTAACTCGCAGGCTCTATCATACAATAATCCATTGCTATTTGGCCAACAATCATACTTTCTTCGTTCCGTGATATTATGTATTAAGTTCAGCCACTTGAAACGAAAAGACGAAGAACTTGCTGCTGTAAAAGAAAACATCAGCACACTCAGACAAGACCTGTAGACGACCAAGACCTGTAGATGACCAAAACAAATCGGACTTTAAAAACTTTTGAAATTTTAACTAACTCGATCTTTAAGAGAACTTTAAAAATTGAAGTTGCCTCTGCATTAGATTACTGTTGGAGCTGACTTTTGCTAGTAGTCATTGAGCACAATGACAGTTCTTGATTCACGGAATCAAAAATCGTTCTTAGTTCCCTCCACAATTACAGCGCGCTTACGGAAGTAAATTTTTCCAAAGCGAGGAGGGAATTAGACACTCAAAAAAGACGATATTAAAAAACGGAATTTAGACGATTTCGCAGAAACAAATTTATTAGAATTGCCCGGAATTGTTTAGACCCCAATTAAATCAAGTTTCCACATGTCACAGTCGTGTAATTTATGCATTTCATAAATGTATTGAACTATTTGGATGTAATACTTTATAATTATCATTTATAATAAAAACTTATGTTTTGAGCTTATATTCACATTTGTGTGACTTCACGAGCAATATAAACAACAAAAAGTTTTTGTATAAATTCCATTTTATTGATATCGTCGTAGGTGCTTATCGGAAAATTTCTGAACTCCAATCAAAAACTGACACCTCGCAATTCGCGGCCTAGCCAATTAGAATAGCAAGTAAGACTTTCATTTACATTCAAGAACTGATGGATCAAGTTTACATCCTCCCCCCTAAACGTGTTTAGGGGGAGGATGTTAAATTGGTCCGAATTGATTAGCAAAATATTCGGAATAACGCTCGATTAAAATTTAGAATAATTTTTCATATGCGATGATCCTATATACTCTTTTTTAAGTGAAGTTTCGTTTTAATCAACCAGTTTTATTCGCTTTTTGTCCGAAACGCTAGTGACCTTTAATTTGCTTTCCGTCGAAGTTCCTGTCGCCCTCACAAGCTTTTCAAACTGTTACTCGCTGGTAGTTCCGACCATTGAAAATAGGGAACTTTGTATTCGGGTCTGTTTTATGATCGGACTCGATTGAGTGATATATCATATTAAATCCCTGACAGACGTGATTCGAACCACATAAAAAAACTTGAAAGTTTTCCCAGTGTCGAAAAACCGGTGATTTTTTTATATTTCGTCTTAATTCGAGTGAATAAAGCGAGCGAGCAGTCTAATTTTAATTGCTGTAAGCTTAATTTAAAAGGTAAAAACTTAGTTTTTGTTGGGTAACGTTAGTTAACTTAGAGTATTTTAGCGCCTTTTTGGAATCAAAATTTTCAAAATTCAAAAAACTTGAAAACTTCGTTTTTCTAGATATTTTTCTACAAAAACTGTTTTTCAACTTGCTTATTTTGCATGGATTTCAAATATACCTTATCCCCAATAGTACTGATTTTCTGATTTTTTTAATAACTTACCAACTTCAGATGATGCTGAGGATTATTTCACGAATGACTACTAAGAGGACTTTACTCATAAAGGAATGAAATTATGGAAAATTTTCAACCAATCAAAATCGGTAGACGTTCCAATTCGCGAAATCGTTTTTGCACAAAATCGAAACTTAAAACAGTTTTTCAAATTTTTAAAAATTGCTATCCTTTAATTAGGAATTAAATTTTTTTTCAATGCACTTTGTTTCAATCTTAGATCTGACAATCTGCTTATGTTGCAATCCGTCCGTTTAATTTTATTGGACTGGATTTATTTGCGCAATTAGGAATTTTTCCGATTTATAAGAGATTTTTGAAAAGCAACGTTTTACAGAGGAAAAATAGAGATTTGAGGTGCTTGTAAAGTTTAAATTTTGACCTCAAGTCTCTTCGGCTTGAAGTCCCGTCGGCCTGTTGTCTTAGACCCCTCCAGCATACGGGAACGCCGCTGCTAAGATTTACATTAAATTTGTTTCTAAATATACAGGGCATTTTTCGGAATGATAACCTTCAATACTAGACGTAATTTTCCAGAGAACTGGTTGTTTATACCGTCTTTCTTTGCACCCAGTAAAAAGGGTATATCCTAGTTGGTCTAGCGGTTAGGATTTGCGGCACTTACCCGCAAGGCCCAGGTTCGACTCCCGGACTAGGAATGGGAAACTCGATCAAACACAAATTGTGTTGTGATAGTTCCTTTTCCAGTTTCCAGACTGAGAGAAACGGGAAACACTTCGTTGAGTTTCTCTCATGTTAAACATTATGTTTTTTACTCTCTGTTTTAAACTGTTTTTACTCATTTGTTTTAAACAGTTTAACACAAAGTCCTCACCCTGTATGTAACGAACCGTATATGTATCTGTTGCCAATTTCAGAGAAGTCATTTCCCAACCCGGTACTACTATGAAAGAGTGGTCCCTCGAAAAAGTAACAATGAGAGACAGGTCCCGCATGCATTTCGCATCTTATAATTTTCACAATTGATTGGTGTATAAATTATTCATTTCAAAAAATCTCGCGAAATATGTTGAGTCAAAAACTTTTAAGATTAAAAATTGTAATTACTACATTGTTTATATATTGAAATTTGCTCGCTTCAATTTATTTTACGGTTTAGCAACCAAAATTGGATTGACTTATTTGTCATCAAATTGCGCTATTGGCGTTTTTTTTTAATTTTCAACCTTAAAATGGCGAGGGAGAGGTTTTAAGAAGAAACAAAACATAAAATTTGTTTGAAAATACTCTGTGTCTAATTCTCAACGGATCTAGTTATTTTCAAGGGACCACTCTATCATAGTAGTACCCTCAACCCTGGTTGGTTATAGTATAGCCCCAGCTATTAAAAACTAACGTCAGGGTCTTCGCACAGTTCGGTAAGCTGTTTGTAGGCAGTTCTCTCTGGGAACAGCTTTTTAAGTTGAAGAATCTGCTCTGTCGTGAAATCACTGTTCACCAAGTAATGTTCACACGCTGCTCGCACTATCGCTTCAATCCCGCTATTTCCCGAAATTCCGTCTCCGCCCGAACCAGAAATCAGCTGAAACAAAACCACTCTTCTAACTCAGGCAAATTTTGGTCTGTTTCATTTTTATTCGCGTTCATTTGTAAAAATCAAGAGTGGTTTTGTTTTAGCTGGTCGCCCATGCAATTCTACAATTCTAATATCAACTTATTTTTAAATTTACTTGTTCCAGCTTGATCTTAGAGTAATGAGCAAGCAAACGACAGCCAACCATATCCCAGTTGGTCTAGCGGTCAGGATTTGCGGCTCTCACCCGCAAGGCCCGGGTTCGACTCCCGGACTGGGAACCTTTTTCTGATCACCAACTTATTTTTCTTTTATTAAATAGACAAACCGACTAATATAAATTCCATCCGATCTTGTAGACAACTAGCAAAATAACAACAACTGGCGATACTGTATATGTTTTGTTGAGTGAAACTGCAAACTTCTTCCTTCTGATAGATACTAGGATAGATACTAGACAGTGACATTTAGTGAAAAATGTAAAAAAAAAAAAATAAATAGAAGGGTTGAAGCAAGGCAACGGAAAGATCAGAGAAAGAGTCGAAGCTGCGCCGAATCCCACATTTGAAGAATTAATTAGTAAGCACGACGAAGCTGAGGGAAAGCTGGACATGGAATAATCATTTCACAGGGACATGGCTTGACAATTCAACCATTGAACCGAACTGATCCCGACCCGAGACTGATTTCCACTACGTTTTTTTATTTTTCATTTTTGTGTAATTGTAGTAGATCGTTTTTTCAACAATCAAACTCTTTCTACGTAAATGAAAGAACTCTCCTCAACTTCTTTGAAATAAATGAAGTGTAGAAATGTCATTTTGCAAAAACTGAGAGCCAAGAATGAGAAATAGAAGCAAAATACATTTCTACAATTCACTTCTTTTCTTTAGGACGACGAGGACACAATTCTCTTTCGCAGAGAGAGTTAGTTTACGGGACCGATCTACAATTACACAAGAATGAGAAAATAAAACAATGGGCGCACTTCGTAAAGTATGAGACACTATTAGCTCTGTTCTAACGGAGGATTCTCGTACTTGGATCAAACGCTTGCTACCCGCGTATGGTCTCCAACTTTTGACGATCCTGGTTCCAGCTAGCTACAAGTACGATAGCTGTTAGTGTCTCTGGGAAAATCAATAATAGAAAAACGCAGGATAGCAAACGCAAAACGGTTTCCGAAGAAGTTGACTCAATAAAAATTTATTCGTGGACGCATTTCAATTATGGACACAGCTATCATACTTGCACCTCGAATTGTTCGTGGTCTACTCTCAAATCGTGGAAACTGACAACCTAGACTCTTAGATCAACTGCGACCCCTAATCGGATCCATCACACAATCCTCAAATTTCATACCGTCACTACAAAGTAGCCGTTTAGCAAAATTACGATCAAGACTGTTTCGACCTTATGCAGCCACGAAACAAAACCTATGTCTCTGTAGTTGCCTTGCTTCAGCCCAACCCTCTGCCGAGTTCGAATCTACCTGTGCTTTGCACGTGTCTTCCAGGTCCGAATAACTTTTCTTCGGGTACAATTCCAGGTATTTGATCAAATGGTCGTTGGATAGCTTTCCATTTTGAGAGTAGTACTCACAGGCTACAGATATTAATGCACCGTCTCCATTGATGTCGCTGGGGTCGAATTTTCCACCGGAACTCGATATCAACTGAAACCGAGGAAGGTTTCCTGATTCACTCACGACAGGCGAAAAATAATTGATGAATAAAACCAACATAAGCAAAAAAGCATAAAATATCCTCCAAGATACGCTTAAAAAGAGTACTTTTTTTATAGATTATTTAAAAAAAAAACAATTAGACGAGTTTCAGCAATATCACGTTTAAAAAGGTAACACAGATGAATTAATCCATAATGGACAAAATTACGAGAGAACAACAAGATCCTTATCAAACTCCTGACCAAGACTGAAAATTTTTAATTTTCACTAAACTGCAGATGACAATACAAGCGAAATTTTGACATCAGTTTTTACAACACTAATCCATGACCATCCGATTAAAAACTACAATCCAGCAACAAATTACTGCAAAGACGATGCTACTGCAAATATTCGTAAAAAAAACTCTGAAAACGAGTCAAAAACCACAATCTACAGGTCTTTGCAAAGCAAAAGTTGCACGACCTCGAGGAAAACGAAGGAGGAATAAAAACTAGACATCGTTTCTTGACAGTGTCAGACAGTTTGCAAACTTTTATTTCGACAAAAACGGGGACTTTCAGAGGTGTGACAGTCGAGTGCATTGCGAACGAATAAATTTCAGACTCTATGGATCCACGAAGAAACTACAAGATCCTCCGGACACTAACGACAGATATTTTTATGCAGCGTGCCATGCAATGGTAGCATGCACATGATTAATTACAGCTGGACAATTCAGGTTTCAACGACTATTTCACACCTGGTCTTTGTAGAACGGACTCTGACAGATCGTCAGCAGATCCTTAGCCGAAATATCCTCTGGCAGTTGGGACAACAAGGACGCATCAAATGTTTGTTCACGTAAATACGACAAACAGATGTCGGTAAGACGAGGATCCGAGGAATCTGAGGCGTCGCCGGACGAAAAGCCACCCCCTTGACCGCCCGATATCATCTAAACAAGGTCAATCCAAATCTTCAGAGAAAACAGTTTGGAAGCAGAGCAAAGAGAATAATTAAATTGAAACAGATGCTGAACAAGAAGTTGTCAAGAACTAGATTCCAAATGTTTGCACCAAAAGATGTCTTAAAATCAAGCAACGAGTGTCATTGAAAGCAAGGAACCAATGAGACCATTAAAAATTTTTAGTTCAACAACAGAAGCTTCGTAGCTTAAAAACTGTAATAGCTATCAAATGACGATTTTGTATTGTTAGCACTTAAATTATGCCATTTAATGTTCCGGCCACTGAAAGTTCGGGAGCTTTGTGATCGGGTGTTTTATTTCATTTTATTCTTTTTTTCCCCATGCAAATTTAGGTAGCACAAAGAATCAGATGAATTTGAGTGATATATCATATTTAAAACCATTTCAATCGTGATTCGGTCGACATAAATTACGTCAAAATATTTTGATTTTTAGCCAAATTTAGTGAGTAAATCAGGCAATTAGAGCAAAAACCGTTTTCTTCAGCTATAAAGCTTGTTTTGCTTAAAAAAACGTTTTATGAAGCTTCAGTTAGCAATTTCCCAGCCCGAAAAAAATATAGTACAAAAAATGTTCATGATTTTCATGTAACTTGCAATTATAATTGATAATGTTTCTAAAGCTAAGTTTTTTTCACTCGCCCTTCTCCCTACATGCATAAAAAAACGACAAAACTTTGAAAAAAAATTCTTAAAAAATAACCCTGGCCGGAACTTTTCTTTGCTTTAGCTACTTACACAGTCTGATAATACACTTGATAATATTGGATCATCGTTGACAATCAATCAATCCATTTCTCTTGAAATTAAAACTAATAAATTTCGAAATATTTGGGAATATAGTTTAAAAAAGAGCGGATTAAATACTGGAGACTGTTGATGCTTACCGCAATGGCGCTGGACAGTCCACTTCCAATACTTGTCTTTCCTCGCTCTTCGGTTGTATATTTCTCTGTCAGGAGAGTGTCGTTGTACAGATGGGTCAGCAGTCGAGCCCTGTCCGATTCGTTTCTCAATGACGTCATAGCCGAGAGCTGGGTGGCTTCACTTGCGAACGCCACCAATCCGACTTTGGACCCGAGCGGAACTTGGTTCATGATGTAGTTACCAACTGCTTGCCTGATTTCATTAGTTTTGTCAACCTGAAAAAAACGACAGCTTTATTCGTTAAAAGCTAATTTGCCTTCTTTTAAGCAAAATAATCAAACTTGGACATGAGCCTTTCAAAATCTATATTCCGTGTAATTTCAATAATTATCGTTTCAGATGCCATTGATCATCTAGAAGCAGTTGCAACCTCAACCCCTTTGCTAACGCCAGCAAAAAAAAATAAAAATTCCCTAATGAGTGTAGGTAGTTCGCTTACGTTTTCTCTGGTGGAAACATCTATTACGAAGACGATCTCTTTCGGCCTCTGGACCACATACTTGAACTTGGGCTTCACGTCTTTGATCACATCAGCAGGCACAGCTGCGTTATTCCCGTCCTAAAAAGAAAAATCATTTTGAAAAACTTGCGAATTGATGAGACAAATTGGGTTTTTTTTTGAAAATTGCTTTCGGTCAGACAAATTAAATAACACGAAAGTTTTGAAAGGATGTTAAATTTATTGTACCCCATAGCTTCACTCTTCGAAAACTACCATCTACGGGCTTCAATTGAAATGTCAATTCCGTTAAAACATCCAGTAGTATTGTGCATAATGATGAAATTCAAGTTCGAATCATCAAACTTCATAATTCAGGAGAAATTCTATTGTCAATTCAGTCTCGTTTTTCTACCTTGAAGTCCGGGTGGTCTCGCATGACAGACCAGGCTGATCTTCCGTTGCACATGGCATTATGCTTGTTGGGGGCTTCCGAGTTGTGGCGACGTCCAGCTGGGGTGTCGGGCTCATCGTCACAGAACTCAGTGATCTAAAACCAAATGCAGAATTTTCAACTTACCATAATTTTGTTTTATCATTAGGGAGCCAAATGACGTCCTTTATTTTGCAAAGCCCTTCCAATTTCATTTTTCGAATCAGTTTTGCCCTATGCCGTCCAATTTATATTGGTTTTACACACAGACGAAGCGCAGCTTCTCGCCACTTACGATACAACTTTAAAAAAAATGGCAGCAAGACCAGAAAAACTAAGACGCAAAAATAGAAAAGAAAAACTAATTTTTGTCGGAAATGAGGGCAAATTTAAGGAAAAACGCTATTGCCAGTATTAAATAAGCATTAAAAAAACAAATAGCATCAAGCGGATACTGAGCAGACAGTACTTGGGACGACGACTGTTGAGCCAAAAAGTGAGCTTTAAAACATTAGGGACAAAGAAAACACATTTCCAAAGTTTTACGCCCAACGCTCCTTCAGCAGAAGTGATAAACTATGAGGCAACTTAACAGATATACACCAGCTGAAAAATATATGTTGCAAGACATTCTGTTCTTTTGCCATCAGAACAGCCGATCTAACCGAATCAAATTTATTTGATAAAACAGTTATTAATCGGAAAACAAAGCCAACAAACAGACGGAAAAGAGTCAATGAATGCAGGTAAACAAAAAAACACTGACTTCTTTACCGAAAAAATATCAACTTTCGAACTTCAAAAAAAACGATAGATTTGCCAGTATTAAATAAGCATTAAAAAAACAAATAGCATCAAGCGGATACTGAGCAGACAGTACTTGGGACGACGACTGTTGAGCCAAAAAGTGAGCTTTAAAACATTAGGGACAAAGAAAACACATTTCCAAAGTTTTACGCCCAACGCTCCTTCAGCAGAAGTGATAAACTATGAGGCAACTTAACAGATATACACCAGCTGAAAAATATATGTTGCAAGACATTCTGTTCTTTTGCCATCAGAACAGCCGATCTAACCGAATCAAATTTATTTGATAAAACAGTTATTAATCGGAAAACAAAGCCAACAAACAGACGGAAAAGAGTCAATGAATGCAGGTAAACAAAAAAACACTGACTTCTTTACCGAAAAAATATCAACTTTCGAACTTCAAAAAAAAAAACGATAGATGCCCTTCAAGCTCTTCGAATTTCTAGAACAATTTATCATTTGCAATTTATTAATAAAATTAATCCAATTCGAGCAAATCTTTTATTTCGCTGAGAAATCTGAAATTTAAACCCCGTTTTCGCTGTTTGATAGTGGAGTTTGCATTCCTTTTAACTAAGGAAACGAGCTGAACCTGAAAAATAATCAGAAGTCAAACTTTTCCTGAAAAAAAATCATTGCGACCTATATAAGACTCTGAATTACTTTAATCGATTCTTGAAAAGTCTAAATTCCGATAACATAATGCTTGCTAATCGAAAGCGAAATTACTTTAAAAAATAATTATAAGGTTAGCCGCCTTTGCCCGCAGTTTGCATAATGTGTTGCAAGTTCTCCATTTTAATAGTATTTGAAAATCGTTTCCATTCTCGCATATTTTTCGACTTTTTACGTGAGATAAATCTCAGAGGCGCACGATTGGCAACACATAAATTAACTTTGCTGTTTTCATTTATTGAATAAAATTCGCCGATTTCGAAGCCTAGTAAATTCGCTGACAATTAAAACTCGCTGACAATTAAAACAGACAGTTGGAAAAAAGTCAATGAACGCAGGTGAAAAAAATTGGAAAAACTTTCGAGTTTCAAACATAAACACTGAGACGAAGCTGCGCTTCGCAAAAACTTGTGAGAACACGGCCAAAAAGGAGCTCTATGAAGTGAAATAAGAAAAAGTAGAAATGTGCCTCGAATTAGCAAAAACTCGGCTACGTGTCGGATTTGAATCTCCGATCTAGCAAACTTGAGTCTCACGCGCTAACCAGTCAGCCACGGATGCTTAAAATCCCCAAAGACTAGCCACAAACAACGCATCTACATATGCTAACAAACTGCCGATTCGATGCAGCAAAGTAGCACCAAAAACAAAAAGACACAAATTTGCATACAATAATTTGGAAAGCTTAAAGCCAAACTATGAATAAATTATGCATTTCAAAAAAAATTGCGAGATACATTGAGTTAGAAAATTTCTGAAATGCGACTTCGGTTGGGGAAAAAAGAAAGTTCGTATTAATACACTTAGCTTCGCAAAGAAAAATAGATGGCCTAAAAGCTCTGAAATTCTAGATCAATTTATGATTGAAACTATTTTGATTTAAGTACTCCAATTTGAGAAAACTGGATCAATAGGTAAATTCTGCTGGAAAATCTAAAAGATTAAAATCCACTTTTACAGGGTATCCCCTGTAAAATATAAATGTATCCCAAAAAAAGGGGTTGATCTGCCAAAAAGGGATGTCGCCAAAAAGGAGTCGAAATGGGGACACCTAGGGTTATAATATGGTCGAAGTCCTGAATTTATGGGGGGAGGAGTCCCGTAACTTCTTTTGCCCTGGAAACAGCCCTTAAGTCACAGTAAATTCAGCCCTTAATCCACGCCAGCCGTATATGTATCTTCTCTTCGTCTTCACTAACCTGCGGTAGAGAGTGCATGAACATGACAGATCCAGTGACTCCTTCCGGTTGGTCTCTGTCTGGCATGAACATACAAGTGTCAGACGGCAGGTCAGTCTCCAGGCCTTAAACACAAAAATCAAAACAACTTCTCAACTTGAGTAACTCCAATAAGTTAGAGCCTATCAACAGTCCCGCATCAAGTTCCAACAAGACTATAGTTGCAGGATTTTCTCAGAGGGCCGGATTTTCATAAACATTTCTGAAAATTCAAGACTTTTTCGGGTCGACCAAATTGATTTTCCAAGCGCTCCCAGAACACAATAAAGACCCTATTTTGACAGTAACTTCTTCACCGCAGGCAAAATTTTCAAAAAACAGACAAAAAAGGCGTATATTCAGAGCGCACTCTCTTTCAAATTTAGTACATATTGGGGCCGAAGGCGCAATTGGAAAAAAAAATAGATTCAGTCGGACTCGAATGCATGTCGTAAAACATAGCCAACTGACAGTTGGAACAGCGTAATGAACTAAGTTAAACTGACTTTGTTGATAAAATCTCAACTTTCGAATTTCAAAGAAAAAAATAGATGCCCTTTAATCACATTGAATTTCTAGAACAATTTATGGCTCTTTTTTGATAAAATTAACCCAACTTAGGTAATGTAGGTAAAGCTTTTATTCCGCTGGAAAATTAAATTCCACTTTCGAAACTAGAAATTGTTTGTTTTTTTAGCTAAGTTTCCACGTTCGCAAAAAAAATCAGTTGAGCTAAAAAAACTACATATATACCTCAGTACATTCATAAATGCCTTAATATGTATGAATGCACATCTGTAGTTATTAGAGCATTTTTGGACTTTTTCATGAAAAAAAAACAAACAAACAAAAAACCACAAGCCCTATATCAGATTCTACACTGCGTTCGTTTTTCTTAAATATTACCAAACGGGTACTATTAAAGCCAGTTTCGTGAAAATTTGCTGTTTGATCGTCGATTTTGTCTTCCTTTAACAAGTGACACGAATTGAACTTGAGAATCAAATTTGGATTTCAGCCTGAACTTTTCCTGAAAACTAAAAAAATAATACAGAGGGGAAGCTGCGCTTCAAAAACACTATCGAGAACACGACAAAAAGCAGCTCTACAACGAGCAATAAAATTCGGTTGTCTCGGATTCAATCTGCGACCAAGAGAATATAAGTCTCACACACAGACAACTCAGCCATTGACGCTTAATAAATCACAAACACTTGCCCCAAATAAGGCAGAGAACAGATGCTATGAAATTTCCAATGATACAGATCGTGATTATAGTAATATAGTAATGTTACGAAGTATAGTAATGTTACGAAGTAAGATATGAAGAATAAATGTTTTCACGATAGTTATTTTGTTCACCAGAAAAAATTTCATTACATTATAACAGCATAAAATTAGTTTATTAAAACTGCAAATCAAATGTGGTTGGAAGTCTAAAAATCTACTTAAAATGACTTTTCATGTTTAAAACTGTATCAAAACATGTCAGCGTGAACATGTGAACAAATTTTTACATTTCCTTTCATGCAAAATGCTGAGTAAACCATTTTTGAACAGCTATATTTTGTAACTTTACTAGATGGGTGGAAAACTGGAAAAGAGCCAAGGTTCGAATTCATACACTGCGGTCGCAAGTGTGATCACGACTTAGTTTTTAACGGGAATTAGAGTCAGTACTGGGTTTGGTTTTAACACCTTTCGTGAAGGCTAGAATAAAAAAATACTCACAGTCCAAACAAGTATTTTCAGTTTTCGCGTAACTAGCAGAAATAATTAAATCTAAAATTAATTCTATCCAAAGTTGCTAAAAATTGGATAAATTATCTTTTTCAAAATCGTTTGCATGCAGAAGTTACGTCGTTTGCATGCAGAAGTTACGATTTCGTTTACTCCGCGCTAAGATTGAGCAAAATTTCTCCGGTCTCTAGATTTTTCAGAACGCTCAAGACCGATGATAGCAACTTTTCGAAAATGCGAGTTTAACATTAATCTTTCCTACTCGGATTCACGTCTAAAAAATACGAAAAAACCTATCTCAATCTTTTGACTGAAAAATGTGTCTCTCGTCAAATAATATCAAAAACACTTAAACAAGCTTTTTCTTTGAACTTATCAAGGGAAATCGGATATTGCCAGAACTCTTCGGCACTATTAGAAAGTTCTTAACCAAAGCCAAAAAATAGAGATAATAGATAAAATCACTTTTCGCGGTCGTTGGGGAAAAGCCAAAAATTACCAAAACCCATCTCAAAAATACAAACATCGCAAAACAGCATTAATCAACTGCAATTATTCCCGGGTTCTAGGGCCGCATACAAAAAGTCAGGGAATTCTAGTGGGGAGGAGCTAACCGATTTCGCATTTTCCTCCAGTGACAGCGTCCTGCGGTTTGCCTCTTATTTGTGCAGAACATCGAGTTGGGTGCAGAGATCCGTCCATTCCGTGGTAGAACAACTTAGTGGGCGACTGGTCACTCGATCCAGACTCGTCGAACAGTCCCCATCTCAGATGCCCCCATTCACGAACCAACAGTTTACCTGAACATTACAATCTAACTGTAGTTCAATTACCTATATTTTCTTATTTCCAGCTGAATCCAAACACTTGCGAGAACACGACAAAAAGCATCTCTATAACAAGCAGTAACAAAAATTAGAAATAAGTCTCGAATTAGTAAGAACTCGGCTACATCTGAGATTCGAACCTACGACCAAGATATTAAGATTCCCACACCCTAACCACTCAGCTACGGAAGATTAATAGACACCAAAAACTAGCCAGAACAAAAACAGCAGAGAACAGATGATAGGCAATTTCCAATCCTACAGTAAAATTTCGAAATAAGTGAACACTTTTAACGAACACTCTTATTTTCGAGTTAGGTTTAAAAAAGAAGGTTCGTAATAACACACTATGCTGATCGCAAGTGTAAACAGTGATAGCCTGTTGCTGAGCAGAAAAAGTTAACACCACGTTCACAAAACGGCCCAAAATTTTCAATTATGTTCATCAAAATTAGTAGTTTCTTTTGGGTGGTACGATGAAACAACTATACAAACGTATAGTTTAAAAAAATCCGTGAGGCGATAATTCGTAATATGCGACAATTAGTAACAAGCGACAATTAGTAACAGTAGATTCAGCGGGAAACACTGATTCACGCGCAATATTCCTCTCGTAAAGGATGTAAGCGCAGCGGGGCAGCGTATTCTAATTGCCATTGCCCTGTTACAAATTTTCGCATGCTACGAATTGACAGTTGTCACAAACTGTCGCCCTACCAGAAAATAGGCATAATCGACAACAATGGCCTTCAAGAAAACTATTTGTCAACAAAGCCCCCAATAGAGGTTCAAAAACTAGTTATCACAAAAATTAATTTATTTTTGGCCAAATAACCAATTTAACGAACGTTATCATCGCTTTACTCGTTCGCTTTGATCACATGAAATTATTCAAAACACAAAAATTTTATCGTCACTGGGATAACTTAGTGAAAATTTTTTAAATTTTATTCCAATCACAACTGAAAGGGCTTGAATATGAAATATCGCTCAACCCATTCCGATGATAATTTGTGGTACCTGATTTTGCGTGGAAAACAAATACATATATAGAAAAAAAATATAGTAAAAAATAGTTAACTAGGCACAACCGTTAACAGTTTTTTTTAATTAATCAAAAACAATGAAAGAACAGAAGCAAAAAAAGATCGAATTTTTTGCACAATTAGTAAGATCGAGTTTTCTCAGCCTACATGAACAATTTTCAAGAACGAACGATATTCAATCGCTTTACTAGTTCAAAATTAGAGAAAAACTCAGTTTCAAACCAGCTTTTCTCATCACTGTGACTTTTTGAAAACTTTTTGATTGCTCGAATCACGACAAAAAGGACTTTAATTTGATATATCATTCGACCTATTCAAACGATTCATTGCGGAACCTGATTGTTCGTGGAAAACAATAAAAGGAAAAAAACACGGGAAGACAAACCTCTTCCCCATTTTCAAAGGTGGGAACGTATATAATTATACTTAGATATTATCTTTGGACCGTTTATGACATTCACGGCTACCATTCTTGCGAAAATTTAAAGCCTCCATTTTCAAGTCTTCTGCCATTAAATGCATACTCCATAGTTTAATTTTTCTTTGGAAATAGCATTCAGGCCACTGTAAATGATTGCAAGCTGATAACTTGAAAAAAGGCTACGGGAAAATTAATCTTTTCAAGTTTTTTCCATAACCTACGTATACTTACCGACATTTCCGAATGCCTGTTTCGTATATCTTTCGTCCGTGACAAACTTCTCCGTCAAATGAATGTATTCCCCTGGTTCTCCGCACTCTCCTGTCTGTTTAGTGTACGGTGCATCAGCAAAAGAGGGATTCCTCTCACTCACTAAAACAAAAAAAGTTTGAAGCCACACCTGTTTGCAGTGCAGAACCTTCACTTCGGATACTACTGTTGTCTTCAGATTAACTAGCAATCCAGTGCAGGATTCCTGCATTAATTTAATATAAGCAAGAGAAACATGAAATAAATTTCATCATAGAAGATTTCGAATTCAAAAATTTCTTTACGATCAAAAGAAGCTCAAAAGAGAAGTTCAAGTCCATGCACAGCGCAAAATACTGTTGACAGTGTATAAAATTAGTCAGACGAAACTGCTATAATACATGTTTTTTTAAGTTGTGTTTCTTACAGAGAAGTTGTGATTTTTCTTCAAAACTCAACTCAAATCACAAAGAAAAATAAATGCGCACTCGATAATCAAACGATCGAAAAAAAGTTTTCAATCAAAAACCTAGACTAAAAAGATTTAAATAAATTTTTCAAAATACAAAAAAAAAGAATTTTCTCCCAACCGCAGCAATTATCGTTTTTCGATGCTTTAAAAATTTTTGAGAAACTAAGACAATTCAACAAAACATAGTTTCATATGAATAAGATGATTAGACAAAACTTAGGTTGATTTTTTGTTTTCTGAAAAACCTTGGTTGATTTTTTCGAAACTGAAAAAAAACCGGGTGTGCTTCTCTCAAATCTAAACTATGATTTAATAGTCAAGCCAGTTCAACAAATTACGAAGGATGATAAAAGTATCAAACAACACTCGATTTAAGGATAGAGATGAAAAAAAAATGCAACACCTGCGTTGGAAAAACAACTGAAAGAGAAAACGAAAAATGAATGCAAACCGCATATTATGAAAAACAAAAAAAGAAATTGCTGCTAAGTTTATTCTAACAAGAAAACAAAAACACATTTGAAGACACGGATTCTAAGTAAAACTTCAAAAAAAAACATGACAAAAATCATTGAGTAACTTTGTTGAAAGTAGGTAAAAAAGGAGTAATTTTGTTTGAATTCCAAAGTAGAAAATGAGAGTAAAACTTAGGAAGACTTCTTTAAAAAATCAAAAAGAAATCAGTAAAAAATTTGATTGCAAGAAAAACTTACAGCACCACTGCTGTTTTTTACACTCAATTAAAAATTTTATTTGAAAAATTTAAAAACAACAGAAACTTGAAGCAAAAGTTCGTCAAAAGTATTTCAACATTTTACTAAGAAAAACAACGGAATTTGAAGAGAGTAATTATTTATTTAAAAAACAGCCATTTTAAACAAAAGCAAAAACCAGTTCGACGCTTTTTTTTTTTAATGGTAGCAAGGCTTTTGTACAAAGAATGTGAAGTTGCTGAACGCTTCACCATGTCGAGATAGCGAGTAACTATTTATTATGTCAAAAAGGTCTTGCACAGTCGAAAAATGTCACACGCGTTTAAATATAGTACATAGTAGGCGAAAAAGTACACGAATTGGATTTTGAAAAAAAAAACCGTTTTAAATATTTATTTCGAACGCTTTAAACAGATGGGTTACAATGACAACCTCTAACAGGGCACATACTTCTGTGATCCTGCGCGGTCAATTAAACCTATTTGAAACAATTATTTTAAACTTGGTCAGAAAAATCATTGCCATAGGTCCTCGTAGCCGGTTCAAGTAACTTTCTTGAACTTAGCACAGTTAATAGGAGCAACAACTAAAATGAACAAGTCTCTGTAGCCTCCACAACATCTGCAGAGCAAAATAGAGGCTTTTCAGACAGCGGAAACACAACTGAGCTCATGCAGCAGTACCAAAAATTAAGTTCAAGAGGGGCTTTAGCTTCCAACATAAAAACTGCAGCCCAAAACCAAGAATATTATTGAAATGAAAATTAGCATAATGGAATGTAGTATCGAAACGTATCACCAAGCATCGAAAGAAAGGCTCGAAATAGGCCGGATTCGAGTTTTAAAAAAGATACACAGAAAGTTGCAGGTAAACAAGGCAAAACATGAATCAGTTCAAACCTGCATGTGCTTAAAAAACAGCGATTACGCACAAAACGGATACTAGATGAAACTTCGCAGGTTAGTAGCAGCTCTTTAACCTATTTGCACAGCTATATGAGATTATGATTCCTGAACATGTACATTTGGTTGAAACATATTTGGAAGGTCTCACAGATTGATAATCGTCAAAACTTTTTAAAACTAGAGGGTTAGGAATTTCAAAATTAAAAACTTTTCAAATTAAAGTTTTCTAAAAACAAAACTTCAAAAAAACTAAAATCTTCACATTTCGAATTTTTTACAGACTTGAGCAGTCACATTTGGAGGCCCCTGATAGTACTTTGACAGTCCCCAAGTAAAGGGTTAGGAATTTCAATTTCAAAAAAAAATAAATTCAAGTTTATTGAAAATTTTTATTAAAAAAAGAAAAAACGTCATATCTCAACAACTACAAAAATTTGAGCAGCCTTATTTAGAGGTAGCATTCATGAACCCTGAGAGTACTCTGACAGCCCCCACCTACAGGGTAAGGAATTTCTTAATTTTTCTCAGAAATTACAGTTTTGAGAAAAAATAATTAAGTTTTCTGAAAATTTTTTGAAAAATCACAACAAAAATGATATCCGGAAAACTAACAAAATAGGTCTTGCTTTGCACTGTTTCCTGTGGCAGATTGTTCCAGTCGAGAGGTGATCTTATCGTGAAGAAATTTTTTCGCATTTCTAGATTTGCTTTACGTACTACTGCGGCGAACAACTGCCGCAGCAAGACGTACATATGACGATACAATGAAGGGACCAGGACCCCATGTGGAAACACAGAAGCCGTCCTACTACTACTACTAATACTGCTACTACTTTACATGCGTTACCTCTAGAATCCCTATCATTCCGCTCGAATAGTCCCGCAGTTTACAAGAGGTACAATTTATCTCAACATTCAAAATCTATTATTTGCTGCTTGCGAAAATTAAATTGGTAAAACCACCATGATGCTGATGTTGCAGAGATGTGTGACGCTGAGAAGACGCTGCGAAAACGGCGCGGGAAAACGTAAGATTAACAGCAAACATAGTTACCTATTACATTAGCCCAATCGATTCCTTGCTTGGAGGAGGCAGAGGAGAACTCTGAAGTTGATGAGATATTGGAGAAGTTGAAATGGTCCCAAGTAGAAGGCAGAGAAACTACAACTTGATTGAAGTACGCTCGTCGTCCGGTTGAATTGAAGAGTGCCTCAGAGAAATCAATCCAGGTTCGCTAAGAAAAAATATCGTTACGAATTTTAAAGACTACCTTTTTAAGAAAAAAAATGATCAAGTATTCACCTCGATACCGTCAAGAAAATCTTGAGACGGCAGTATCTCATCATTTATAGCAATCAGGAGGCCAGAATATCCATTGTTTTCCAGTTCGAACTGCGTTCTACGCTGAGTGAGTGCTGAGCACATCACACCAATTGCCAATAAGGCAAAGAATTTGAAACTTTTCATCTCAAAGCTTCGACAGTTTTTTCGATAAGTGTTTCTGACTTTTAATATCAATTACAAGATGCAATTACAAGATATTGTTTTTCTGAATTACAATTTTCATTCAAAAAATACGTTATACTACAAATTCCAAGAAATAAGAGCTTAACACGCGCTTCACAATTCGAAAAATTGTTTTCGCAAATTGATATATACCAGGACAAAATAAACATGTTGATTTCACATGATATCCATGTTGGTAATACCCATGTTGATTTCAGCAACAAACAAGGATACCCGGTACCCGGTATAAGTAATGTCAAGTGAACAAAAACTGCTAAGAAGTAGAAGGTAGATATTTCAACAGTACCAGGATATATGGTACTAAAAACTGCATTTTAAGCAGAAGTCACAGAAAGTACAAAAACAGTTTGTCGACCAGGATACCCAAAATCGGATTAAACAAAAAAATGTACAGAAACAGTTCAGAAACTATCTAGACGAGTTCTTAACAATTTACAAGTCATTTCTTGTGTCAACAATTAAGTTAATAACTCGATGAGTTGTTTTCGATGAAAATGAAATTATTTGATGTACATATTGATTATGAAACTCTCAACTAAGAAAAAAAATTAATTAAAATTTCAAAACAAAAATCATACGTCATGGAAAATCAATTTGCAAACATTTGTGTAATGTGAATCATGGAAGATACGAATTACAAAATGCTCCTTCTGATAAAACTACTAAGGATATGTTAGACTTCAGCAAGAAACTAGGATACCCGGTATCCGGTAAAAGTAATGTCAATTGAACAAAAACTGCTGAGTTTCTTGTATTTAAAGCACATGTCAAAGATAAAAACAAAAACAGTTTGCCTTTCAGGATACTCAGAATCCAGTCGAACAAAAAATAAACAGCAGCGGTTCGGAAACTAGCTCTTAACAATTTACAACCAATTTCTTGTGTCAACAATTAGGTTGCTAACTCGATGATTATGAAACTCTAAACTGAATAGTTTTAATTTACAATTTGAAAAAAAGCAATTTGTTTTTGACGACGAAACACTTGAGTAGGGTTTACAAGGCCAACTTGTCGTAAAAGACCTTATAACACTAATTGGGAATTAGATAGATGTAGATATAGATGAATCTTAATTATTTTGATCTAGATCAACAAAGCTAGATCCAATCGGCTGAGAAAAAAGGCTAACACTAAACAAATCAGGCTTGGCACAAAGAAAAAAGTCAGATGAACAGTTTCAAGACTAAATACCAATACAACACGATATACTGGGTGACTCAAATTCTGATTGTATATTAATAACTGATTTTAGAAACAGCACTTGTAACTTTCACCCGGAATTATATACCGACTGAAAATAAAGCTAGGTCCTAAAACGACTGGCTAGCGTCTACAAACAGCTTCACATGCTTTTAACCCTCTCTACCAAAGCCAGTTCAATGTGTGGTCCATTATCATAGGGTCAATAAAATCCGTACTGTTCAAGGCTATCGGCCAGATCGCGCGAATTAACTTAGTTACAGGCACAAATAGTGAACTCATGATTGGGTCTCAGAAGTCACTCCTAAAACCAGCGCTATTACTTATAATCTTAATATTATTGTTTTTGTTCAGTAGATAAATATCATCTTAACCCTTTGCCTCAACTCCTAGTTTTTCATATTCCGGAAAATGAATAAGATGTTAATTACACTCAACTCAAGACATGCCAGGAAACTAAAAGTTGTTAAAATTGAGTTCTCAGTCTCTTCCAAAGACCTTTCCGGATTCTTGAGCCCGGTCGAATGTTACATTCGACCAGAATGGACAAAAATGCAGATTCCGAATTGACAGTTTTGAGAGATTAGTGACGATATTGGGACGATTAGTCAAACGGTGAAGGTCAAGGTATTCTGGTATTTTGAAACTTTAAAAATTCGAACTGAGAAGTCGCACTTCTGAGAAACGGCAAAAACCGCCATTTTGGAAGAAAACCAGAAGAAAATCAGAACAACAATAGTTGCGATAGTGATAACTACAAGAATTGCGATAGAAAAACAACAACGAATAGCAGAGTTAACAGAGACCGTCCCGAGTTGCAACGATTGTGTCGCTACAACCGTTGCAAAACCGTTCCCGAAAGCCTTCTGGATTACAGAAAAATTGAATTTAATGTGTTTGATTCAGTGGATTCATCAATCCGGATGGGTCCAAATAGCATAGTTTTTCGCAAATTTTTTCAACTAAAGCGTTTCAGATCGGGTTTTTTGCAATGAACTAGAAGAGTATAGGCCTTCTGAGCTCGGATCAAAAACTTTTAGGTCGAAAAGAACAGAATTGCGGAAAAAGTTTGGCGGAACCTATAAGAGGGAAGTTTTTTGACTTTGGAAAAAAGACGTTTTGGTTAATAACTTTGGAACGACTGGACAGATCCAGTTGATCTTGGTACGATTAGATCAAAAATTAGCTGGGCTTACTAATAAGAACAAAAATTATTCGAAAAAGTAAGCTTGAAAATTAATTTTTTGAGATTGTTTTTAGCAAATTCACCAATTCGGGAGGGTAGACCCTTCACGTTTTATAAAATGTTTTCTGGAAACCCCTTACACCCCTACCAAAAGGTGATAACGGTTGAATAAAGCAATTTTAAGCTGTTATAGAAGAATAGGGAAGACTAAAGGCACTAGAAAACCTTGATCGAGCCGAAATTAGGCTAGCGATAAGACCCTTCACCGTTAGTGTGAATTGTTAGACAAGGGGCTTAACTTCAATCCGGAATGGGCTAGGGAAGGACCACATACCCTTCCTAGTTGATACAAACAGCATAATAGCATCGGAGAACGTATCCGGAAGGGTATAGGATGAAAATCAAGGAAGTCAACGTAAAGCTAAACCGGTGGGGTCCCAATCCGGAGGGGGTCCAAATTTTTCCTAATTCGGAGGGGTCTCAATCCGGAGGGGTCTCATTTTCACAAAACCGGAGGGGTCCCAATCCGGAGGGATCTTACATTTGCTAACCCAGAGGGGTCCCAATCCGGAGGGGTCTCCATTTTGCCAATCCGGAGGGTTCCTATTTTTGCCAATCCGGAGGGGTACTGTTTTTTGTCAAACCGGAGGGTATTATTTTTGTTAAGGACTTAGGTAAACAGAAGGAAAGATAATAGTGAGAGGTATTGGGTTATTAGGAGACAGGCTAGGAACCAGTGACTGCACTGGTAACTTGCCTTTCAAAAAAGACCAGACCAAAATAAAACAGGTCCAAACTCGGATATTCGCGACACTAAGTCTAAATTAAAAAAGAGTGTGTGACTCATTGGTGTGGATTGAAATCCAAAACGTTTTTGAGAAAAGAGACTGCCCTGAGGGTTTTAGTAGGTCTAGCTCGGGCAGTCCGAAGGCAGATAGGTAAAAGGAGACTCGGTGGATGCAATAGACGCGCACTTGAGAAAATTACTGCCTTCAAGTTTTGTCTGTTTGGTGCAGCACCAGTCATGGAAAGCACTTTCTTTAAAAATGCAAATTCGAACATTGTATTGCGACTGACTAAAAGTACAAAACACATACGTTTTTCATAAAAATATTCTTATTTTGTTATTTCTGGTTTTAAATCATTAATACTTGTGCTTGATTGGGTAGTGAGTACACTATCTTTTAAATTGACTGATATCATCATACTATGCTATTTCTCAAATCTTACGATTAATAATCGATTATTGTGGATAAATTGTATATACGCTGTACCGTGATAACATACGAGGATTGATGGTCACTATTTAATAGAAACTTTTGGAGTTTTTTGTGTTGTGTTATTATGATCATTAGTCGCTTAAGA